TCAATGCTCGGGATAATAACTGTTGGAAGAGACATTAAGAAGCTCTGCAAAAAAATATTGAGCTCGAAAACTCGAGAGCAAAGCGCATTGAAGCGAAAATCTTTGAACATGCATGTTTCACGTCTTCAAAAAAAACTGAAATAAATTGAAAAAGTGAAAAAGAGACGAAAATTTTCAAACTGTGCAAGAAAGCGCTAAATGAGAAGAGGTAAACAAGAAAATAAAAAATTTCGGGAAACAGGAAACAAAAAACAAGATTTTTGGTGTGTGATCTTCTGGTAAGAAGAAAAAGATGGTGCTTATTTTATGGTTCGAAAACTTTATGATCTAGACGGACAACGGCAATGAAACAACCAGTAGACATCATCAGTTGACTTCTGAAGACTTGCACTTGGATACATCATCCCTGACCTTTTTTTTTTGTTTTGTTATGCAGTTTTAAATTTTAAGAGGTTTGAAGACCAATTTGAATTCTCAATTAGTGTGTTCCATTAAGTGTTCCGTTTAAGGAGTCATCACTTTAAATGTGGAGATTAGAGATGGAATGGAAATAGAGACTTCAACATAAGACCCACTTTAAAATTGTTATGTTAAAAACCGAAAATTCGGAAAATGCTATGGTTTCTATAGAAATATACGCATAAACAGGAAACGAGAAAGGCTGTATGCAAAAATATAATGCATTGCAAGGGCATTAAAGTGCACACATCAATGCATCTGATCTGAACTTTTGGTACCACTATAAACTAGATAGAAGCAGTATTTTTTGAACTTAAACAGAATTTCGGAAAGGGCAAAAAATTTCAAGAAAGGCTAGAAACAGATGATAAAATTTGATATCGATTCTCAACGGTTAGGTACCGTTAAACCTAAATTAGAAGTGCCCCTTTCATAGAAACGCCTTTTTAATAGAAGAGCCCTAAAAGAGAGGCTCGGAAAAGTAGAAGTACCCCCTGTAATATAAGGGCCCCCTTCAAAGTGTGTTGTTGGAAATGAAAATTGTTCGTACGTTTTCAGTGAAAAATATTCCAGAATGTTTGTTCAAAAACTTACTCAATTTCGATGAAATTGATAGATTTTCATGAATTTTGAATCAAAATTCGCCGAATTTTTCGACGAAATTTTCCGGGAAAAATGGCCAAAAAAAAAGAGAAAGGTCTCTCTCATTAAAGAGCCCCTGTAATAGAAGGGCCCCTGTAAAAGAATGGAACGGAGAAGGGTCGACCCTTCTAAAACAGGTTTTACAGTAAATTAGTTCACTAAAAACTAAAACACACTCTGCGACTACCGTATCTTATCTTATTTTCACTCTAATTAATTCGATCGCTTCAGGAAATATAGTGAACTTATAAAATGTTTGAGATATCAGGAAAAATAATTTATCAGGTTGGCCATTTTCTATTATCTACTTCAAAATTAAGAAAATTGCGGTCACAGTGAAACTGGTACGGGACAGTCTGATTAGAGGTAATACGGTAGTCAAATCCGAATTGGATTTCAAGCCGATTTTAAAGTCACTCAATGAAATAGAGCAAGAGAAGGTAGTGAAGTCGTAAAACCCGAAAACTCGTGAATTTGAAATACTGAATAAACAAAATTGACAACGGCATAACAATTATCAACCTAACCCAACAATTAGGCTAAGCAATTACATCGTCTACGTACCTCAGTGGTCATTGGCTCCTCGGTTGTCATCTCATCACCTGATGCTCGATCATTCTCGAATCGACGGAAGTAGATCGAATTCCAGACGCCTATCATGGTTCCTAAAAATTGAAGAGGTTAATTGGGACCTGTAAGGAAAGTTTAGTAGTGGGAAATCAAAAATGTAGTAATTAAAATTGGTGTGGTAAAACAAGATCAACTGATCAAGAAGAAATTAGTACGTCTGAATTTCAGACAATTCCAGACTCAGAAAAAACACCTGAATTTAAGTTTTCAGAAAAAAAATTGAACACCAAAATATGAAAAAAAAAAAGTTGGGGGATATTCAACAAGAATAAAATAGAATGAACGAATTTTCCCATCACTAATCCTTGATTCTTTTTTTTTTCAAAAGAATGATCCAGACGAATTTTTCGCTGGTTAGTCACAATGATAAGGACGCCTTAATGACTATAAAGTAGTATCATTACCATCCTTTGTCAATAAAATGGTTTCTTCTATTCAATGATTCGTATATTGAAGTTTGGGATTCTTAGAAATGAGTCAAAGTGGTCTCGAAAATTCGGTGAGAAAATTTGTGCTAATTCTAGAGGTTTCAGGGAAAAGAGCTGATTCTAAAAAGTAGGTCACATTTGTTATTTTTCGGGGCTAAAGTTAATTATCCTTGTCAGGAAACAAGTTCACCAGGTCAAAAAATGCTTAGACCGTGGAAAAATGCTTCGCAACCTTTTTTTCCTGCTGAACAAAAACAAGAATAATGATGCACTTCCGGAGGTTGGAAAGAAAAGGTGACCGACTGGTGGAGAATTATTCTTGAAGGCGTCAACGTTTTCTTCTTCAACAATTTCTGCTTCACGTGCCGTTAATGAAGTGCTAATTCATTTGTCAAGGAGCAGACAATTGGTTAACTGGTGGTAAGAAATGTGAAGACAGGCAAAGAAGAAGACGCTAAGACAAAGTGAAGCTGAAGGATTTATGGCAAAGATTTTTCAAAAAAAAAATTGAAGTGGTAAAAGCCTGGTTGGATGAACAGTCGAATTGACAAGCTGAAGTGGAACCGGATCTTGAAATTTTTTGGAGTTGGAGCACCGAGGAACTACGGGTTCATAAACCAGGAATCAGACGAAATTCAATCAAAATAGTTAATTAGAAAAAGTGCTATCTATCTGGAAAATTTGTAGTTCAGAAAGAAGTTGGAAAGTACAAATCAGCATACTTGTAACGGGCCGGGCCGGGCTTTTTCCCGAATTTCGGAGGCCCGGCCCGGCCCGGCGGGCCTGTCATTCCACAAGTTTTGAAAATTTCAAAAAACACATATGGGGGGACCCTTATTTGATTTTTTTCGATCAAAAAATTTTTTTCGAGTTTTGTTGATATTTTTTGATCAAACAGACAAAATCCAAAAACACAAAAAATAATGGAGAAAATTGTATTGAGAGCTCAAAATGACAAAATTTTTGCTACCGGTCCTTCCGGGCCGGGCCCGGGCCTCGAAAATTTCCTCAGGCCCGGCCCGGGCTATGGCGGGCCGGCCCGGAATTTTACAAGTATGCAAATCAGGATTACTGTGAAAAATACGGTAAGACCTGTAAAAGAAGCTCAGCAAAAATTTGTAAATTGACAAAATATTTTTGATACTGTGACCAACATTTTATCAGTTGACGCATTTTTTTATCGTGCATAGGAATTGAGATAATTGAGCTCAAACTTGGCAGTGTGGGAGCCCTTCTATTACAGGTTTTACGGCATATCCTGCAAAATCGAATAATGCCTTTAACTGTAAAAAATGAAGTAGTAAAAAATCTAAAATTATGTGTGTAGTTTGACTGTCTCGGTTTTAAAGAACCAATCCTGATGGAATATGTTGTCATATGGAATTTTCTAATGATCCTTAATTTTTTATTTTCCGAAATACATTTGATCTTATGATTTTCTGACTTTTCAAAGCCTGAGAACTTTAGGAAAAAATATATGAACCAAAGATTTACATTCCGACAAAAAATTAGTATACTAGACGGCCAACAATTGAATGAAATGTCTCAAGGAGCTCCCACTTTTTGAATAAATGAGCAAATGAATACAAGTTTTCAAAGCGCAAATTGTGCTTGAGAGCAATAAATAAAAATGCACCCATTATGATGGATTGTGGTACGTTTATTGGGCATCCAAAAAATTGAAAGGATTATTATATGGGATTATAAGATTATTTTTGATTTAGCTACTAGATTTAAACTGTCCATTCAGGTTTTGGTTGAAAATGCTGCCAAAAAAAGAGAAAAACCTTTTTTCCAGGATAGATTTTGTTGTTGACCAGAAGGCCAAATGATGTGCAAAATACCAAAAAAAAACCCGGGGAGCAAATGAAAAAGCAATCGTACTAATTTCTAATGCTAAAAAGAAAACCCTTTGAAGGTGGTGTGCAGTGAATTGCTTGGTTCTAAAATTCATAAGAATGCCATACTATTTTTATTTAATTTCTTAGGCTTTGAAAGTTCAGATGATCATATATTCATAAGAACAAAAATTTTTCGGAAAAATAAGAAATTAGGAATCGAAAATTCCATAAGACAACATATTCCATCAGGATTGGTTTTTTAAGCAGTCAAACTACAAACAGAATGTGCAAAAAAGTATATGGAATCACATAAAAAAATTCAAAAAAAAAATTCCTGAAATAAAAAAATCTCAACGTGGTAACTGGTAGCCGGGTGGCCGAGTGTTAGTTTTCTAGTCCCCTTATCAAAACTTTTAGAAATATCAGAAAAAATTGAAGTTTCTGAGGAAAACCGGTTTTTTGAGGAACTTTTTTCACATTTTTTCTATATTTTATGTGAATCTACATACTTTTTTGTGCAAAATTCATCGCAAACCAACTTTAAAAATAAAAGTTAAATATTTGAGAAGCTAAGCAATGAACCTGGATCTAGCATAGACATCGTCTCATCGCCGAATCGAATGAATATTTCAAAAACCCTCAACGGCTGTCTATTTCTTCCTTTTGCCCCTCCTCCTGAAAAAGAATGCGTTCTTCATTTCCGATTCTCCATGCCTCCTTCTGCAAAAAAAAAATAAAGAAACCTACATTTCTGTAATTTCATGCGCATTTTCATTGCTAATTTGTTGTTGTCCTTCTAGTATTTTTCTAGAAATATTCCCCCCGCTCGATCACTTTTGTTTTCTGTTTGTTTGTAAGTTTCTCAAAGTTCAAAGCTCATGGAACGAGAGATGATGAGCTAAAATATTCTCCAAAAGACATTTTCAATTTTTAAGGGAAGCTTTATTTTTCATGCAAAAAATGATGTCAATAAATATTTTCAAGGGTCGTTAATTAGTTTTCAATCTTCTTGCCAATCGAATTTCTCGCTCATTCTGATTCCATTGTTCCGCATTGCCAGCTGGACCATTTCGGAGATGAATGTGTAGTCTACAGTATTTTGATATTTCAGACCCATCAAATACGCTTGGATACGGTGGAATTCGATCTGAAAGTCAAACAATATTAGGGGGAGAAATGTGGTAAAATAGCAGGGATATATTTGGATGGCCTTTTTGAAATTCTTTGGAATGTCGGAGTTCCAAGTTTCGAAATTTCGAAATTTAGGAATTTCGAAATTTAGGAATTTCGGAATATCGAAACTTCGGAATATTCCCATTTTGAAAATTTCGGAATTTTTCAGCATTCGAATTGTTAAGTAGAAATTTTACTTTTCCATCACAAAAAAAAAGAAATTGTTAACAGATTTTAAAAATACAAAAAAAAACATTAAAACTGATTCCGCTCAAGACCCAAATGCCAACTTTTCACATGTTTTTTGCCATACAGTAGACCAAAACATCTACTTCCGAAAAACGAAAAAAGACTTACTCTTGGACAAAACTTCATCATTATCAGTGATCCATCTGTGGTTCGACATGCTTCTTTCATCGCTGCAACTTCTTTGTTCTGCTCACGATGCATGAAGGACCAGGGGAGGTTTCCTGAAAATTCATTTTCAATTTTTTTAGACCAATCGAACAAAAACTCCTAGATTTTTGAAAACACCAACATTAGTAACAAAAAAAAAATTAACTTTGAGCTCAATTTTCTCGGTTTCTATGCAAGCTATCAAAAATGTTTTAATTGATAAAATGTTTGCCAAATAGTGATAAAAATTTTATCAGTTTACTTCTTTTTTATACTTTTGACAGGAAACGAGATAAATTGGATCAAAGTTGCGAGCTAGGGGGCCCTTCTATTACAGGTCTTACGATAATTTTCAGATGTTTATTATTACTGCAGTTCAAAATAACCCACCTGAAATCAACTCGATCATCATATAAAACCATGACTCCATGTCATCCTTTGGAGATTGCTCTTCTCCGTAATGAGCAGCCAGCGATGCATATCGGTTGGTTCCCCTGAATTTTATATCGGTTCTCGGAGTCTTCAACTCTCCACTTTTATCCTTGAACGATCGGCACACTCCGTAATCTATCAGAACCAATTTCAATGATTCGGGGTCCTGGTTGAGCATGTGGGGATCCGAAATACAGAAATTTGAAGCTTTGATATCTCGATGGACATAACCAATCTGGTGAAGTGCCTGAATGGGTTGAATAGCAAGAAGTGCCAAACGGAGACCAGTGGATAACGAGAAACGTCCATCTTCGAAGAGGTAGCGAAGATTCATCAGATTTTCACCGAGCTGGAATTCGTTCCAATATCCAAAACAATACTAAAATGTTACCTTACCAATGGCATTATTATAAACTTGAAATGCTCCTCAATCTTTCCCCGATCTATCATCCGAACCAAATTCTCTGCTCCCCTCTTTGCCACCTTATTCATCACACTGTAGTCTTGATCCAATCCATGTGAATGTGCTTCACAGATCTCCAATTTGCACGCAAAAGGTTTTCCATCAGATCTTCTCAGAACCTCGTAAACCGCTCCAAATCTGCCTTGAGCCACTTTTTTCCCAACTGCATAGACACCATCTTTTCCACGAATCAAACAGTTTCGACTCGGCAATTTGTCCTCGATGGAGCAGCCGGACGACTCGGAGTTTTCGCAACTTTCCAGATCAAAAGACATTCTGCAATTTTTTTAGTTTTAATAATACAAAAATGTAAAGGAATGAGGGAGAACAGAGAGTTTAAAGCATTTATGATTCCATGAGATTCTATCAAAGAATGTCGAATCTCTAAGAGTCCAAAGAAACAAACAAAGGGATAGATTGGTATCAATGACCTAGTCATACGATGGAATCGTCGTCATAAGACTTCAGAGAACATACGCAAAACACATGGTTGGATAAAGATCATCACAGAAGATCAGAGAGTTCTTGGGACTAATCCAGTACTACAGTAAAATAGGAGCCGACCTTATGCGTGCATTTTGAGCTCACTTATCTCGGTTCCTTTAGAAGATATGAAAAACTTGTCAACTGATAAAATTTTGATGATATCACGAAAAACATTTTATTAGTTGACTGCTTTTTGATAGCTTTTACAGAAACCGAGATAAATGGGCTCAAAAGGCGCATGTACGGTATGTCTTAAACTACTAACCCTTCAGGTGCTTTTTGAGCTCTATGTCGATTCTGCTAAAAGATATCGAATATCTGTCAACTGAAAAAATATTGGTAAAATGATAATGAATAATTGATCAGTTGACAGATTTTTGATATCTTCGGAAAGAACCGAGACAATTGACTTCAAAGTTTATGTATAGAGTGGGCTTCTATTAGGTATGGCCCATCTCTTTATTTCTAATTTCGTCATCTTTGGAAATTTCAAGAAGTTCTAATTTTCTTATATAACTAAAATATTCCAGATTAGTTAGGAAAATAAATCGAAGAGCTAAAAATCTCGAGAGCCAAAGAGTTAGAATCACGGAACTCAATAAACTGGGTCACCCTAGAATAGCGAAGAATATGTTTTTTTTTTCAGATCTGAGTCCAGCAACCAATGATCTACCTAACACCTCACCCATGGAAAAAACCAAATAACAAAAATAACGCAATCAAAATAGGATCTACACCAAAAACAAAAGGACCTCCGTCGATCTTCCTTCGTCACCCGACTAAATGGATTCTCCAAAACTTTAACTTAATCTGACCTTTCACCTCAAATAAACCGCTAGACAGTGTGATGATCGGAGAGACGCAGGAAGAAATAAACCAGTCAGGTGTTGTTGTTGGTTGGAAAAAGAGCCTCGAGAGCAACAGGCGCACACAACAGGAGCCCGATGGAAAAATGGCTCATGAAAAGAAAAGTGATAAAAGTTTTCTGTGAGAGAGAATCACTCTTGGCACAGAGCCAAGAGGGGAGGAATGGGGTTAACAGAGGATTGATAAGAAATCAGAAATCTCGTAATGTTATGTGTCTAGAGCCGTCTCGGCGGCGGCTGCAGAAAGGCATGTCAAAATGGTAGGATATTGCGACACGGGAAAAAGGGGGAAATGGAAGAAATGTGTTGACAGAAAAACAGAACGGATAGAGATGGAAGGGAACGGTTTATCCCCTCTAAACATTAGATAAGATTCTGACATAGAGCACGTAGCGCTTGTACGGTTTCTGAACTTTTTGAAGAGTTGGTACACATACAGGGTTTCGTAACAGACATCCAAGATTCCTAACTGATAAAATGTTTGTTATGTATAAGTTCAAAAATAATTTATGTGCTCAAAATGTTTTGAAATCTTTATAAAACTGAAACTTTGAGATTTGAAACCATCCCAAGTTGTGACCCAGTTCCTCAAAACTGCTCATATTTATATGTTTTTTGGGTTCCCCACATGATACATTCAGAACATAAAAAGAGAAAAAAGCTCGCGAGCATCTGGAGACCATTCATTTTGTATGGGGCGAACAGAATGAATGAAACACATAAAAATAACATGAAAAATATGGAAATTCTTTTAGAAATTACGGATTTTGACCTACTGTAATGAAATGTTTCTTGGGATAGAGGCCAAGGATGAAAACAAGAAAATGAAAGTTTGGGTGTGTGGGGGTATTTTCTTAAATGCAGTACCGGCCAATGAAATATACAAAAACGTACTTTTCAGTTATCAATCTAGGTCTGTTTGACAGCCTTCAAAAGTTTCAAAGTGATCGGAAACTTGACAGCTGAGCTCCAGGATCCGAACATGGTCAAAACGGTCCAAAATCAACTGAAAAAATCAGTTTTTATACACCAGTCGATTTTCACCGCTTGTCGGCGGCTACAATATGTGGGATTGCTTTAAAACGTTCTATATTTCTCACTTTTTCCACCTATTGTTTCATTATTTTCAGGTCACCCGGACCCACTTCACCCGGATCCAGACACCCGTATCCAGGTCACCCGGATTTAGGTCACCCGGATCCAGGTCACCGGATCCAGGTCATCCGGACCCAGGTCACCCGGTCAGGGTCACCCGGATCTAGGTCACCCGGATCCAGGTCACCCGGATCCAGGTCATCTGGACCCAGGTCACCCGGTCAGGGTCACCCGGATCCAGGTCACCCGGATTCAGGTCATCCGGATCCAGGTCATCCGGACCCAGGTCATCCGGACCCAGGTCATCCGGATCCAGGTCACCCGGATCCAGGTCACCCGGATCCAGGCCATCCGGACCCAGGTCACCCGGATTCAGGACACCCGGATTCAGGTCACCCCGAGGACCCAGGACCCAGGACCCAGGACCCAGGACCTAGAACCCCGGATCCCCGGGTCACTTTCTCTGGAGCCCAGAGAAGGTGCGAACTGATTCTTCCTTTCACTTTCCTATTCTTTTATATTAGTCTCCCAGAGGTCAATGGTTTCTAAACCAATTCACGTAGTCGTTTTTTTTCTAGAACTTTATATATTCTTTCGAAGCATTTTTTGCCACGGGGTTTCTTTTTTTTTAATTTTTACTTTTTAAATTTGTGAAACTCCTTAAAAGATCGTTCCTTTGAACCTAATTACCTCGTTTCCTGTTTGAGATATTAAAACATTGTCAACTGATGGAATGTTTCTGATATCAAGACAAACATCTTTGCTTTCAAAATTTCTGAACATTTTTTACAGGAACTGAGATATATTTGGACAAAGTTGCGAAAGTATGGTTGTCGATTTAGCCTGACACCGGGACCAACATACGCGCTGATAAGGAAGATGCTTTTGACCATAACTCATCAGGATGTAATATGAAAAACAAAAAACCTTAAAAATTATGAACAACTTTTTTTGAAGCTTTCTGCTTTTGAATATATTTTTTGAAACAAATTTAAGAGCAAAGATTAGATTTCAATTATTTTGGCAAATTCCCACTAGAACGCCACCTAACGTTCAACTTTAAGACAATTCATCTCACTTCCTGTGAAAGATATTAGAAAGTGGTTAACTGAAAAAATATTTCTGACATTTTAATAAATATTTTGTCAGTTGACTGTTTTTTCATATCTTTTACAGGAACCGTGATAAATTGACTCAAAGTTCGACGCTTTGAAAAGGGGGAGGGCGGTTTATTTGAATAATTACGGTATCTCGGTTCCCAGAAAAGATATTAAGAATTGTTCAATTATCAAAATGTGTTAATAAACATCACGAACATTTTATTATCTGGCGAACTTTTTGATATCTTACATGGGAACCGAGATAACTTGCTCCAAACTGACAGTATCTCTAAATCGACCCAGTAAAACAAAGCAGCAAAAAATATCCGCTTTCTGTTTTCTGTTTTCTGTTCGAACGAGAGCGTTTTCGGGAAACAAAGTAAGCAAAACTAAACGAAGAAAATCTCGAAATCCTATAGGTAAGAGAGCTCTTGTCGAGTGGCTCAAAGGGTCAAAAGTAAAGAGATGTGCTCAATGTCTTGTGTTGTGCTCCAAGCGAATCCTTCGGCAGAGATAAAGGAGCATTCTGAAAAAACCTTTCCTCGGAAATGGGGGAGAAAACATCCATTTTATCGTTTTTTTGTTTCGGGGGGAAACGAGTTGAGGAAAACAACAACTGCTTTTTTTCCCCCAAAACCTTTCAGAACCCAAAAACCTTTTTTTTTAATCAAAATTTATTTTGGTGAGTTTGAAATTCAAGTTACAGACAGAAAAAAGGCAATTTATAATTTATCAGGAAAAAAGAAAAAGAAATTAAAGAAGGCACATTTGAGTCGAAAGGTAAGAAGTTTGTCCAGAGACTAGGAGATAGTACCAGAAAACGAAAAGAAGAAGACGTTGTTTCAAAATAAGTGTCATTGAATTTAGATTCTTTGGTTGGACATCAAATCGGACTTGACAACCTTCTCGTCGAGGTCCGACATCTCCGATGCTTGCACTTGGAAGAGCGATTCGAGTCCGAGCGATGCCTTGAGAGCACGGACCGAGGAGGCGTAGAGCATACGTCTGCGGACTGGAGCGTTGTCTGGGCAGCTGGAAATCGGAGGGAATGAGATGAGCAGCGGAAATAAGAATCTTCATATTTTTGAATAATGCATAANTAGCATAATTGATAAAAAGTTTAATCAGTCATCAAAATTTTGATAAAGCTACCGTATTTTTTCTAATAGAAGCCCTCCCAAACCGTCAACTTTGAGCCAATTTATCTCGATTCCTGTGAAAGAGATCAACAATTTGTCATTTGATAAATTGCTTATCAAATATCACAAACATTTTATCATTTAAAAATTTTTTTATATCTTTTACCGGAATCGAGATAAAAAACTTGACGGTTTGGGTGGGCTTAGAGAAATACGGCAGGTATTAGTATCCAATTTGTATGTCAAGCAGTCAAATCTATAAGCCACGTGGCGAAACAGAAGAAATACAAAACTCACTATTGAACGAAGATGACCTTGTTGAGCGTGCTGGCTCCTTCGGCTCCCTGTCTTTGGACGGTGACCTCGACGTCGACGGCGGCGTATCTAGAATGAATGCATTTTTAACAAACTTTCGGAGTTTTCGATTCATTGAACTTGGCTCAAGTAGTAACTCGGGAATTGGAGACCTATTAAAAGGCACATAGCAACAGTTAGATCACTCAATGAAGAATATCCCGAATTCCTTGAATCCCTTCTGTTTGGTGACTAGCTAGAAACCACGTTACCCAGCTCTTTAAAAAATTTTTAGAGCCTCGATAACCATCTTCAGGAGCGATATTATTCTCGTCCGGCGCCGATGAATCTGCTGACCGAAAATTTCTTTAAAGGCGCATGAAGTCGAAATGACTACGGTGATTTTCAAATAAATTCGTGCGCCTTTAATACAGTACTTCAGAATTATTATATTTTGACCCATTTTAGGCAGTTTTTCTACTTTATGAGGAAATTCAGCTGATTACTCATGAGCATCTGGAGCATTTTAATGAAAAACAAGCAAAAAAACGGAGGGAAATATACAAAAGTAAAACGATTCCGAAGTACTGTATTAAAGGCGAATGAAGTTATTTGTAAAAAATCGTAGCATTTTCAGGAATTCAATTTCTCGCTGTTTTTAGTCTATCTTTCATCTAAAAATGCATTTTTAAAGGCCTAACACCTCGTCGCACTTTGTCATTAAAGCTCAAAAGCATACCACTGGAGTTCGAACCCTGTGCATGCCACGTGGCTTTTTTGAATTCAGAATTCGTAGTTTTTCTTTTAGAATTCGTTACCTGCATTCCTTTCCGTCCTCGACAAGCTTCTTCATTTCTTCAACAAACTCCGAGTATGGAGCATTCTTGTCTCCGACCTTCTCGACAACGATGGCGGTGTCATTTTTATCGATCTGAATCCTTTTTTCATAAACAATTCCTTTTTGACGTCTTCAAAATCCCACCTTAAAAATAATGTAGCTGTGTTGATGCTTGTTGTGAAGAAGATCGTAGGCGTTCTTGCACGATGGGTCGACTTTGACTCCGGAGGCCTGTACTCAAGGGAAATTTTTTTGAATTTCTCTGATGAGCTTATTTTTTTTTTCAATTTTCAGATTTCCACACATTAGATTGTTAGAGAAAGAAAGAGAAAGAGACACTTCAAACTCCAAACGTGATTTCATTGTGATAAATTTTTGATAAACGACACATACATGAACGGTTTGGGCGCTGGGATGGGGGGAACGGGGGGCTGATGAGAAAAGTGAAAAAGAAAGGAGGTGGGAAACCAATACGCAATAGAAGATTCGACAAAAAAACGGGGGGTGAATAGAAGATTGAAGAATTCCGGGGGAAGAGTACGACATAAAACGAAGATGCTTTTTGAAGGAGGGAAAGGCGTTTACAATAGAAAAATAATCGAAATGAGAAGGGATTTACCACGCATTTCATAGCGACGACAAGTACACGATGTGAAGAGAATCTCACAGCGGGACTGTCATCGTTCAGAAGGTTACCCGGCACATTGTATTAAATTAAAGGGCATACACACACTCAGCGCCCCCAGAATATCAATCATCAATCAGGAAAAAAACGATAAAAAGAGTGGATAAATTAGCATTGTTAAGAGGTGATAAAGAATGGAGGGGAGAAGAAGTCAATCACATCATCAGAATCGTCATCGCAGGCAACGTGAAACGATATCTGGGGACAAAAAGAAAGACAACGAAAGCACTGCAAATGAAATGCACTCGAACATTCAAACTGCACACAGAGCGACGAGAAACAGAAGACAGTGACGATAATTGCGACGATATGGTGTTGACGACTTCAAAAGACAATGTTAGCGTCTAGTGGTCTCCGTACTTCTCTCCCAACTTGTTGAGGAATTCCTTGTGGTTCATCTCTGGCTCATCGGAGACCTGGAATCAGCGATTATCGGTCAATGAGCCAAACTCGTATAAATCTCACCTGGAACTGCAAGATCTTTCCGGTTCCAAGCGAGGCCTTGATGGCAGCAGCAGAAGAGGCGTACACCATCTTCTTCTTGATGGAGGCACCATCTGGGCAGCTGAAAAAGACATTGAATTACTACTCGTTCGATAATAATAAAAAAATCTTACATCTGAAGGAAGATGATTTTGTCCATCTTGGAAGTTCCAGCTCCCACACGAGAGCAAGTGAACTTGAAGTCGAAGACGGCGTAGCGGCAGTCAGTGAGACCGTTGGTACGGCTCTTGATATCAGCAGCGAACTTCTCGAAAGCAGCCTTCGAAGAGTCGTCGTAGTCGTCTCCGGTGAGTTCGAGCTGATCCTGAGTTACAGCGGACTCGACGATCACCTTGTTATCCTGCAAAAGTTTTAGTTTCGCATAGTTTTCCCTTTCATCCAACAAGAAAACCCACCTCGATCTTGAAGATGATGTAGCGGTACTCCTTTCTTCCCTCGGAAAGCTTCTGGAAGGACGTCTGCACGTCTGGATCGACCATAACTCCGGAACTCTAAAAACAAGGCACACATAGAGGGGTTAGGTTAGAAGACAGATGAAGACCATTCCATTCTTTTAGTTGGTTTCTTTCACACACACCAAACCGAACATTCCAGACTTTTCTTTTTTTTTTGTTTTTGGAAGATTTTGTATATCAGATAACTGAAGCAAAAAACTAGTCACTCACCATCTTGATGTGTTTTTGTTGGTTGGGGTGGAACGAATCCGAGAATCAAGTTGAGTTTCCTGAAATTCATTTCGTAATCGATCGATAAAATCACGAGGAGTGTAAGAGAGATGAAAAGTTAAAGAGAGAAGAAGCTCTCACGAGGGCTAACAACGGAAACCGAACACAACAAAACAGAGTGTAACGGAGATAAGAAAATGGTGGGCAGAGAAGATAAGTGCTAGGTAATAATATTGGTAGCACATTGTTGGGACGGGGGACCCCAATGGTAGAGAAATATAGACAAAAGCTCAGAGGGAAACAACTTTGTGGGCCGCAGCCGCCGTCCCTTCGTCCTAGCCACCCCAACAACACAACCGCCAGCCAGAGTGCTTGCCTGTGCGAGCGCGTCCGCTTAGGAGGGAAAATGTGCATAGAGTGAGGAAGATTGAGAGACGAATACAAAAAAAGAGATAGTGACAAGTAGAAGGAGACTAGCGAGGAAACGCGATGCGGACAGCAGCAGCACCCCCCAGTCTGAATGGTCATCTTTTGCTGTGCCCGGGAGAGAGAAAGAGAGAGAGAACGATCTGAAGAGCTGGTAGGATAGAAGAGTGTAAGGAAGTGGGGAGAGGCTAGAGAGAACCGAGCAAACATTCACCAATGTGCAACACTCACACCATTGTCCAGCCCTTACTCTCCTCCCGAAATAAAAAAAAACACACGGTGACTACCCTTACAACGGGTGAGATCCAGTTTCTAGAAAGGGTGCTAAAAGGATAGAAACGATATAGCAGAAAAAAATTATGGGAAAATTGGCATCGCTAAGTTAGTCATCAAAAAAGTAAGTTATATACATTTACACTGGTATCAATTGAGAGCGAAAGAGAGGGCGAGAGATTAGAAAACCACCCGGTTTTGTGTTGTACACAAGGGGGAAGACGATGGTGAGTCACCATAAGCACAAAAATGACGAAGACTGTATTGAAGCTGATACACTAGGAGGAGAGGATCATGAAATTCCGGTAGTTTCAAACAGTTCAAAACTTGAAAACCGCCATCGATTTCGGCTTTGAAACAACAGAAAAGGACACAACACGAGTGACGGGGGTCGGAGGGGACTGCCGCACAGTGGAAACAATAGTTGATGAGAGTAATTAGCGAAAGGAACTCGGTGCTGCGACAGTCGAAGCGTATAATCTCTACTTAGCGTACGCGCAGACATCTACACCGCCCCATCTACCTCCGATTCTCTATCGACAGAACCGAAAAGTTCATAGGAATGGTACGTTCAGAGAGGAAATCAAGGAAAAATGATTCGCTGACTTTTAGGTCTCAGATTTCCAAATAACAAATGTATGAGGGATTTCTAAAGAGAAAAGAAATGAAAAAAAGAATTGTTATCAGAGTGAGATGCTGAAAGGCGGAGAATGAACTGGCCACGCCCCCAGGAATTAGTCATATGTTCCAGTAGAATCGAAAAAAAATTGGGATTTGAAAAAATATGATTCGGAAAATGGAAACAATTGGGGACGAAACTACTGGAAAAGGATGTTAGGACAACATGAATTGCGAAATCGGAATAGCTCGATTATGCCGAATGAAAGAAAAACGAAGAATCGTTCAAGGACGGACATGGCTGTGTGTTCTGTGTTTGAGCGATGATGTGTCATTCAAATCGGCACGGAGACTCGGAAAAATCGATTTCCTAACGAGCTCGCGTCTGCTATCGGATTTGAAATGATGAAAAATAAAATAGCCAAGTGCCAGATGTTGTAATGTGCGACACGAGGTCGTCAATGATCGTCTTTCTTCCGGCGCTGGGCAGTGTGTCCTCTACGACACTTTGTATCCGTCGACCCCCGCTTCTCAAGAGTGTCCCGTACGATGTCCATCCGTCGTAGTCCACTCCTCAGTCAATCAATCGAAATGAATTCAAAATGGGACGAAAGAACGAAAGAAACCACCAGCGAAACGAATATACAAAACATATGACACAGAATTTCTTAGATTTTAAAACAAAGAGAAGGAGCGCCGTTGAATCATCGCTTTTAGAGAGGAATCTATTGAAAGAAGAAACGGACACCACAAGAAAAGTATATATCGGCACGCTTCAAATACTGATTCATTCAAATGACCCAGAGCGGTGCGGTTGAAGAAGCGGAGCGCAGCGCCCGTCTGTCCGTTTTCGTTCTCTCCCCACATCGATTGACACAATGGGCCGTCGCCGTCGTCACTGCCGCGGCGCTGCGCCTTCTTTTTTCTGAATCAATCCTTGAAAATGAAAGACAGGCAACGAACAGACAAAAAAAACGAAGCGAGGATGGATGATTCTGGATGAGAATGTTTCGCAATTGTCATGACGAAGTCTGTGGGAGGAGGAGGCGCAGTTTCGAAATGTGACCGACGAGCTTGACGGAACTTGGAGGAGACAAAATTAGAAAAAAAGTTCAATGAGCAGAAAACAAAAACAGGTGTCGAAACTAGCTCATGGCTTCTAATTGACAAAAAACCGAAGTGGAAAAAAATGTGCCTAGACGGCTTTTGAAGCGAGAAAGCATGTCAAAATGGTATTAAAACCAATTTCGAAACAGAATTCCGCGGCTGAAACTCTATTCTTCTGTTTTCCCGCTGAAAAATAAACGAAAAACTAGCACATGGTTTCTAAATTGACAACAAATCGAAGGTGGAGAAAAAATGGCTCCCGAAGCTCGAAAATATGTCAAACTGACGAGAAAATTAATTTCTAATTAGAATTTGGCGGTTGAAACACTATTTTTCCGTTTTCCCGCTGAAAAACAATCGAAAAACATGAAAAAACAGGGAAGATGACTCAAGCGGGAGCGAGAAAATCGTTTTGAAATTTGAAAAATCCTCGGTTCGTGGCGAGACCCAGCGCCGAGGAAAAGCGCGCGAAGATGAAATTTAAATTTTTTCGGAGATTTTTTTCTATTTTCGGCGAATTTCAAGCTTGTAAAGTTAGAGAAACAAAAAAATCTAGCTAAAAAAATATCAGAAAAATAAGAGAGTAACCAAACTGATTTCCAATGGCTCTCGACGACCCCCGCTAACGACACAAATAACAAAATTACACAAAATCTTTGAAATCTTCAGAGAGAGAGAGAGAGAGAGTGAGAGAGGGAACAGAAGCACGTGAGCATCGATGAAAATTGCGAAACTATGTGAGATCTGAACTGATCGGAGGCCTGACCAGTCAAAAGTTTAAATTAAATCCAGTTCTACACGAAAATTTGTGTAAAATATGCAAATGTCTCTCTCGTTCTTGCTTTGGGAGCGTAAAATGTGATCGGCGAGCACATATATCCTTCGAAGTTCCCGAGAGATCTCGGCGGGAAGAGAAACGAAAAGTAGAAAGGCAGCTGTTTGTGTGCAGAAAAAACTTTTTGTGTACAATGGGGGCGAAAAATGAATCGCGGGAAGCGATAGGAAGAAGAAGATTGAAGAAAAACGGGGGTGGGAGGGAAGAGAGAAGATTCATCATTGGGGGATTTTTTTGAACCTGAGAAAGAAATTTATCCATTTATTCAAAATTATCCTTTTATTACAGTAAAACACAAGGTAAATAGTGGAAAGATGAAGCAGTTGCAGCTGTCAAGGTTCTAAGTTCCTTAAGGATAGTAAATACAAAAAGTTACAAAAAAAGCAATCAGAAGAGTGCGATGTTCAATAGAATTTATTAGTTCCGATGAACAATATGGATCCACGTGGCATGGCTTAGGAAAGATCCCTGGTTTCGTCGATTGGGCACACTTTGAGACCTTTTTCAACAAGATCTTTCCTGAAAAATCGATTTTAAAGAAACTATACATGTTTTTAGCTTCTCTAACTACTTCAAAACCTGAAATAGAAGGGCCCCAATATCAGAAGTATTTTGTGCATTACACATTTATGATATCTGTTATAGGAACCGAGAAAATTAAGCTCAGATTTGACAGAATGGGGGCTCTTCTGTTATAGGTTTTACGAGACCAGATTAGCCCAACAATTTTTAAAGCTTTTTCATTAGTTTTTATAACTTGTCTAATTCAATATGCTCCTTTTTTTAATCAATCGTAAGTCTTAAGATTCAGGCGAGTTGTGAGCCTGGCTGTGGACCGTCCGTGGCCCGGATTGGTCTGGTGGACGGGTATGTTTATAATAAAAGGCTGAAGAACTTTTAACTACCGTATTAAATTTTTCGTTTGAATAACCCAAAAATTTGCAGATTTCTATTCACTTTTTCAAGCTGTCAAAAAATACTTACATCGCAAAAGGCTTGGAGAAATACTTATGAGCCCAAGAGTGAGTAGATGTTTTAGTCTTTGGCGTCTGCCTCGAAACGATATCATTCTTTCCCCAGATGATAGATTTGGCAAGAAAGTCGATATGAGATTGACGTGATTTTCCGGCAACTCCCAGCATTGCACTATTCACAATTTTGGCAGTTTTCTCTCGCTCGCTTTGTTCAAAGTAGATCCTGTTCACATTCTCTTCAGATCCATAAACCATTAGTGTGAAGATCTTCTCAATTATATCCATTTTCTCATCATCTGGGCGCTTTCCATGTTTCATCAATTGCTCTCTAAAGTATAGCACTGGTTCCTCAGTCTGTTCTCCTCTGATCATTTCAATTATATGTTGTTTCCGAACTTCAAAGTTCACATTATCGTCATTCAGTGCTCGTTCTGGCATTATCTTAATAGCCTCATCCATCTCACCAGCCAGAATCAAATCTCGAACTTTGTTTCTCTCGTGCATTTCCTTGAGATCCTTCTCCGGTAGATTGATTTTCATCTCTCGACAAAAAGTTTCAACGACTTCAGTAAGACCATTATGCAGGAAATATTCAAGGGTGGTGCGAAGAAGCTCAGCACGAGTTGGGTCTGGACGCATAATATTCACAAAGTTGTTGAAGGCAGGGTCCGCGCAATCGGAGAAGTCCGCGGATCCAGTAGAATCGCGGCGAGAGGAGCTAGACGGAAGAAGGGATGGGTTGATGGCTTGGCGTCTGGAAATTGGAAGTATTGGTTCTATGGAATTCATTGCGAATTTTAGGATTCAGTTAGTGATCTTTAACGTGCCGACTATTTTTACTACTTTTTCAAAGTAGATGGTCCACATAAAAAATTTCAGATTCTGAAGCTAGTATCATCTCCAGGTGACCCACATAATTTGAAAAAAGAAAGTGCAGAATTTGTTTTTTAACAGGATCTGCGAATGTCAGATCAATTAGACAACTACGAATAACTTTCTCAATGCCTTTTGTACCGTAGCTGTTCAAAAAGAATTATTCCGTTCAGAAGCATACTTGTAGTTTTTTATTAAACCAATATTTTCGGACCATCCGAATTAGATATGATAGATCTCGACGAGAAAAAAACAATACTAGTTGGAAAACTTTATCTTGCCTATGAACAAAGTTATAGGACATAAAAGGGCTCATTCGGGACCTTCCTGTTCTAATCGGCCTGTTTTCTTTGTAACTTAGTTCAGCGACTAGATACAGTTTTTCAAGAAGAATCATTTTTAATACTTGTGGAGTTCTATCATATCAAAATTAGTTGGTCCAAAAATATTGTAAAAGAAAATATGGCAGTTCCCGCGAAGGTCCCCCAGGACCAGGTTAACAAGTATGTTCCGAAGCGCTTCTGATTTGATAATCAAACAATTAACCCAAAACCCAACTCACGTTGTTGTAGGCAAAGCGAAATTCGGGAACTGTGACTTTCTCTCAATCAACGGATACCATTCGTCCTCCATCTCACCATCTTCCGGTAGTTCTTCTTCGACATCACTAGCTTCCGAAAGAGTGTCCCATGTAACAGCATCATCCACATCTTCATCATCATCTTCTTGCATTGCGTCTTCATCTGAACCACCTCCTTCCGAGTTGTGAGCCTCTTGGGCATCTTCGTAATCTTCATATTCATTTGGACTGTCATCCAATTCCATGATATCGGCTCGTCGATGATCTAGGAAATCTCCTTCTTCTTCTACTTCTTCTTCTTCGTCTTCATCACTTTCCTGGTCGACAACCGGGTTGTTTAGATGGTAGCGATGGTCTCGATGAGCCATTTACTTTTCTGAAAAACTTTAATTCTAAATATAGAGATAAATTTTTGAAAGAAGAAGTATAGTTCAAACATTTCCATGTGAAGCCACGAGAAACGAATTCATGCAAATCAATAATTTTGCGGAATAGAGTGACCGAGGGGGAAGAGAAGAAGAGACACACACTCACAAGACCCGCTACCCTCCGTTTCTCTTCATCTCTGGTTCTCTATGGACAAGGGCAGCAATAGGAAGGAAAAGGAACACTTATACAGACGGAGTACAACCCCTTGAATGAAGGAAAACTACAGTAGTATTTGAATGGAGATACCGTACCGTAAATCCTGCAATAGAAGGGCCCGGCATTGATAAGTTTGAGCTCAATTATTTCAATTTCTATGCAAGATATCCAAAATGTGTCAACTGATAAAATGCTTTCGATGTTATAATAAACATTTTAACTGTTGCCAACTTTTTCATATCTTCCATAGGATCCGAGATAAATTGACTCACAGTTAAAGGTTAGGGGCCCTTCTATTACATGTTTTACCGGAGTAACAAAAAGTTAGGAGTTTTTCGTAGAGCTTTAAATTTGTAGTTTAGCACGCAAACTTTGAGCCCAATTATCTCAGTCCCTATAAGAAATATAGAAAATCTGTCAACTGATAAATTTTTCACCATAATATCACCAATATTTTATCAGTTGACGAAATTTAGATATCTTTCCCGGGAATGGAGATAATTAAGCTCAATGTTTACGGTTTCGGAGGGGTTCTATGAAAAGAAAAATTGCGGTCTCTCTGTGCTAAATGTGATAATTTACTGCATAAATTTTCAGCTGATAACATTTTTCTATTTTTCGTGTTGCCTCTACAGGGACACTTTAATTAGATGGGCCCTTCTAATACAGGATTTACGGTTTTTAAAGAAAATTCAAAAAGAAATCAATTCATTTATTAAGTTGAAGTTCTTGTGAAACTAAACGGTTTCATTATATACACAAACTTGTTTTTCTTTTGACTCAAAATTCAAGTCGTTCACTTTCTCTTGCAGCACTGTCCGTTTCCACACGGAGAGTAGTTGGCTTGGCAAGAGCACGAGCTGGTTGATGGGTTGCTAGCTGGAGCTTGTTGGCAGGAGGTCATAGCTGGCTGGGCAGCTTGGCAAGAGCTGGAGCACGAATCTTGGCAAGCGGTTTGACACTGTGCGGCTGGTTGCTGTTGCTGGACACATTGTTGTTGGCAGGATTGCTCGCATTGTGGAGCACATTGGGAGGATTCGGCCATGGAGCGTTGGAGCACGATTTGAATGACAGCTTGGGATGAAGCAGGGGCTTGGGTAGTGGTGTCTTGGTATGGGTTGTACATTGGGGCGGATGGCTGGGCTTGCTGGGCAACGCAAGAGTTGTCACAAGCTGGCTGGCACGCTGGAGCGCAGGAGGATCCTTGATTGTTATTGTTGTTGTATGGGTTGTACATTTGGGTGTTGGTAGCTGGATCTTGTTGGACTGGAGCGGCTTGCTGGCACATATTCGAGCACTGGGTGTTGCATGCAGAACTGCATTGAGCGGCTGGTTGCTGTTGCTGGGAGCAGGAAGATTGGCACTGTTGCTGGCACTGTGGTTGACATTGAGCTTGAGCTTGAGCTTGTTGTTGAATTTGCAGCTGAATGTGGACTACTTGAGGAGCTTGGGTGGTAGTGGTGGTAGTGGTAGCTGGGGAGCATTGAGCCTGGCATTGCTGTTGGCATTGTGGTTGGCACTGAGCAACTGATGGAGCGGCTTGGCATTGTTGAGTGCAGCTTTGTTGGCAGGCTGGGGCGCATTGGGTAGCTTGGACCTGGAGAGAAAATTATTAGGATTATTGCTGATTCGAGATTTGAATTACTTGAACTTGTTGAATCTGTTGCGGTTGAGCGCAAGAGCAGGAGGATTGTTGCTGGACTGGAGCCGCTTGTTGAACAACTGGAGCAGATTGGCACGAGCATGATTGAGTCTGTTGAACCTGTTGGCACGAGCACTGGCTCTGCTGCGGCTGAGCACATCCACACTGTCTCTTCTCACGGATCACATTGCCCTAAATTAAAGTAGTTTAAGAATGAATTACAGAATGTCTAGAAACTTACAGACACCACGAGGGCGCAAGCAAGGAAGGCAATGGCGAGTGAGGTGAAGCGCATGATAAGAAGAACCGAGAAGAATCGGATGAGGAATCATGCACATCGGCTGACTTTTATACTAGGTTCTCGATTTTTGCCCACCCCTTTCCGCATACCTCACTCGGTCGCGGCAAACAGTTTTTTAGCGTGAAAAAGTGTTCGCCAGCTGAAGGAGCAAAGAAAAAAGTGGCGGAAAGGAGGCTATCTAAATAATCTTTGATTGCGGGAAAAGAGAGATTTTTTGGGGGAGAAAAAGGTAACTGGTTCTGATAACTTTATCAAATATAGTTTCAATAAGGTCTTCTAGACTCTAGTTTTGATTATCTACCAAATACCGTAAGCACTCTCATTTCCTGTATATGATATCAAGTAATGATTGACTGAGAAAGTGTTTTTCATATCATTATAAACATTTTATCAGTTGGTTAATATTTAATATTTTTTGCAGGGAATGAGATACATGGGATCAAAATTCAAAGTGACTCTCTGTTATAGTGCTTACGGTACTATGTAGTAGACGACAACTGTCCCTTTATTCTGAAAGTTTTCAGAAAATTTTTTTTAAAGTTCAACTTCTGTAATTGAAAATATTTCTTTACAAACTCATTCAGACAAAAAAATGGGGCTCAGAAGAGAGTGTGAGTGTGTGTGTTTTTTTTGCTGTACACCGTAAACACTGTAATAGGATGACCTTACTAACTTCACTTTGAGCCCATATATGTATCTCATTTCTCGTCGAAAATATCAAAAAGTGGGTAACTGGCAAAATGTTCATCATAAAATTAATAATAATTTGTCAGTTGACCCCTTTTGATATCTTTCACAGAAACCGAGATAAATTGGCTAAAAGTTTAAAGTTTGGAATGATACTCAACTAGAGGTATCCTGCGTCATTGGTTTTCCAGCTTCCCACTTTCTCTATTTTCTGTACCAACGTTTGACATCATTTTCTTATTACTTCCAAAACAAAGACCAAAACATAAATTTTCATAAAAACTGTTTATTTCCTCCTCCTTCCGTCTCCTTCGCATTGTCGTCATTTATGTTTTGAAATTGAGTTCAGATCTTTCCTATTGTTTTTTCTTTCAGCCTCGAACTATACAATGTTCTCTCTCCAAATCATCCCCAAAAACAAACTTATCATAATACTGCTTCCTGCATTCTTTCACTCTTGTCATCGCCACTGGAAATAAAACGCGTGAGTTATCAGTGATAACGGTTAGACTGGAGTGCGTCAGTTTGATGGGAAAATGACTTTCCAGTCGCCGCAAAACAAGAGTTCGCTCTCGAAAGCTAGCATTTTTTTGTACTGTGCGTATATATCAACATGTCTGGTGAGTGACTTTTTGATTTGAAAGTGTGCTGAACATTTTAAATCTTTTGTGTTTGTTTCGTAAATACGGTTTTGGAGAGTTTCCCGAAATGAAATGCGAAAAATTCAATTTCAAGAAATTATTTATAAGGTTGTAATCTACGTCTTATCTGAAGCTCGTTTGTTATAATCAGTGATATGAACCACTATATTGAAAATCAAAAACTTATGGACTACTAGGCCACCAATATGTTTGGAACGATTTTTTACAGGAAGATCGAGCATGGTCATTCTGTGTCTCTCTATGTATGGATCTATTGGGTGGAATGCGAGTGGTTTCCATTGAACAGTTATTTGAAGGAGTTCTACAAATGGTCCTGAGTGGATACCTAGGAAAACATTTTGACGGATTATCCAGAAAACGAGGTAAGTTTATCTGTTACGTGCGAGCGACACTGATCAATATACACATTTCCAGCCATCATGACCGTTGTACCTTTAAACAATTTAAGTATTTGTGCGGCAGCTGCTCTTATTATCAGTGGGTTTCTCTGATGTACTCGACCCTGATGTAGGTACATTTTTCAGCATGTCTTTCAATGGACACTACATCACCATGGTATATCGTATGCTTGGTTGTTGCGATGTGCATGTGTGCAGTGAATCGATTATTCTTGAATTCTGAGAAATTTATCACTGGAAGAGATTGGGTAATGGTTCTTGGTAATGACGGAACACTTTCCAGTATGAATGCGACTCTTTTGACGTTGGACCAGTTCACAAATGTTATAGCTCCATTGGTGACTGGAGTAAGACACTAGGAGATCGGATATTTAAAGAAGCTGCCTAATTTCAGGCACTTGTTACCTGGGTTGGTCTTCGCGAAACTGTTGGAATATTTGGAATCGCTTCTCTTCTCTCCATGACTTCCAAGTCTATTTTCCTCCGAATGATTTATATCTCCAATCCTCTTCTCCAGGTTAAAAAAGACAAAAAAGAATATATCGATCCATTTGCCAATTCTCGTCTCAAAGAATCTGTTGTCTATACCTATTGGCGTCAAGTGTCATTCCCAGCTGCATTTGGAATGTCTCTCCTTTTCATGACAGTTATGGGATTCGATGGTCTTGCAGTTGGATATGGAACAAGTGCAGGCCTCCCCGAATTCGTGGTCGGGGCATTCAGATCCTATGGATCTGCGACAGCAATCTTAGGAGCATTCTCATACGCTTTCTTTGAGAAGCAGTACAGTGTGGCAACATCAGGCCTTCTAGGCCTCGGTGTTCAACAACTCTTTGCTATCCTAGCCGTAATATCAGTTTTCCTTCCTGGATCTCCAATGAATCTCGATGGATACTTTGGAAACTTCACAGTAGGAACATGGTGGCACGATCTGGTGCACAGCTTCAATGGGAATAATGCAACTAACTTGGATCCGCACGTGGATTGGAAGCATTTCAGTTCGGATGGTGTTAGTCTGGCAAGTATCTTTGTGTTCTTAATCGCTATTGCTTCTGCAAGATATGGTAAGAGTTATTTGGTACAATTCTTTTAATTAAGAACATTTTGAGGACTCTGGTGTCTGGACCTGGCCATAACTCATATTATGCAAGTCACAATTCCGGAAAGAGAACGAAATACAGTGTTTGGAATGCACAATGCTCTCTGTCAAACATTTTCAGTGCTCAAGGATGTTCTAGTTATCATTCTTCCGTTACCTGCAACGTTTGCTATTTGTATATTTATTTCTTATGGCTTTGTTACTGCTGGTCACGCATTCTTTTTGTATTATTTAGTCAAAACGAATAGTTTATCCACTATTGGAAGGAGACTTTCTCAAATAGAGGAGAAAGAGGAAAAGGAGGAATTTGCGAGGTTATAGGAGAATATGAATAAATCTTTACTGTTTGATATTTTTTATTCAAATAAATTCTGTGTTATTTCTTATCATAAATATTTGTTGAATCATAAAGTGTAAAAAAAGCTTTCCTTATCATGTCCTATTCACCCGCCCTATTCTTTGAAATTTTTAGGTCCTGACCAGAGATGCACGGACAGGCCACACTTTCGGACAACGGGAAATGTCCGAAATTCGTACAACAGACAGCTGTCCGAGTGTGTCCGAGTGGGCTGTCCGTGCAACTCTGGTCCTGACCTAAAAAATAAAATCTAGGTAACGACCTAAAAGTGAAATCTAGGTCATGACTTAAAAACTGGAAATTTGGTCATGACCTAAAAACTTATATCTAGGTCATGACCTGAAAATAAAAATCTAGGTCATGACCTAAAAAATGAAACCTAGGTCATGACTTGAAATTGAAATCTAGGTCATGACCTAAAAATTAAAAGCCATGATGCGGTCGAAATTCGACAGGAATGCAAAGTTCAGTAGGCAGAATAGCCGTTTATTTTAACATAAAATATGGACACGTTTTCATTAAATAAAGAACTACAAGTATAAAAATTTCAAACAAAGATTAAGGACCTATTTTTACATAAAAACTCTATGCTTTCTTCTTGAGACTATCTATCTGTTTTGACTTCACAAAATAGTAAACAAAACATAAATGACCAGTGGTCACAAAACCGTATGAAACAAAAATACAGATAGCGAATGTGGCGGGTAATGGAAGAACGATAACTAGAATGTCTTTGAACACGGAGAATGTTTGGCAGAGAGCATTGTGCATTCCAAACACCGTGTTCCGTTCATTTTCTGGAATGGTGATTTGCATGATATGGGTTGCCGCCAGGTCCAGACACCAGAGCCCTGAAAATAAAAAAACTGTGAGACAAAACTTAATTCCAAACTTATCATATCTTGCTGTTGAAATTGCAACCAAAAACAACACAATACTTGTCAAGGAGACACCATCAGATGTAAAATTGCTCCAGTCTATATGTGGGTCGTATCCGGTTTTGTTCTTCTTATCAAAGCTATGAGTCATTGAACTCGACCAGTTTTCAATAGTAAAATCTTTGAGATACCCATTAATATTCATGGGCGATCCGGGAAGAAACACTGAGACAAGTGCCAGGACAGCACAAGTCTGTTGAACTATCAACCCAATGAGACCGGCCGTGTTGACACCATAACGTTTTTCAAAAATCGCGTAAGAGAGTGAGCCGAGAATTGCTGCGATAGAACCGAATGACCTGAATCCACCTATAATGTAACCAGGAAGACCTGAACTGGATCCATAACCAACTGCTAAGCCTCCGAAACCCATTACAGTCATATAAAGCAGAGACATTCCAAAGGCAGCTGGAAATGAGTCCTGGAGCCAGTAAGTTTGTAAAACGGATTTGTTAAGATGGGCATTAATGGTTTTGGGTCCCAGGTCCTTTTTCACGTGGAGCGATGGGTTAGAAATGTACAGGGATTTAAGAAATAATGCTTTGAGAATCAATGCCACCAGAGAAGAAACTCCAAATATTCCAAGCATCCCACTTAGACCGACCCATGAGACAAGAATCTGAATTTTTCTGTTCAGGAACTTCCAGAAAACAATTATCTCACCCCCATGATAAGAGGTCCTATAACATTTGTGAACTGATCCAGAGTCAACAAAGTTGCATTTAATTTTGACAAATCCTTCTCACCACCCAACACCATCACCCAATCTTTTCCAATTATTGTTTTCTCGGCACTCTGGAACAACTGATTGATGGCGCATAGGAACATGGCAATTAGGAGATAGATTTGGTACCAGGATGATGTTGAATCGGTAAACAAACATGCTAAAAAATTACAGCTATATGATGTTAAAGAATTAATTATGATCAGACGTAAAACTTACTGATAACAAGAGCAGAAGCGGCGCAAATACTCAGGTTGTTCAACGGCACAACGGTCATAATGGCTGAAAATACAAAGTATGAGTTGACTGGATATTCCTATGTAAAATCTGACCTCTTTTTCTGGTCAATCTGTCAAAATATTTTCCCAGGTGGACACTAAAAAACATTTGCAGGATTCCTTCAAAAAACTGTTCAAAAGAGACCATCCTCATACCGCCCATGATATTCATACAAATCGAAACACAAAATGCCCATGTTCGATCTTCCTGGAATATCAGACGAATTATTTTTTAGAAAAAAAAAGACTCACCAGGCATGTAAAAAAATAAACACAATACAATGATAAATTAGTTTTCAGCTTTGATGCTTGATTTCCGGTTACTTCCACTGTCATTTACGTTTGAACTATGGCAGTTCACAAACTGAAAAGTCAATACGCATCGGCGTAAAGAGGCAGGTTTTTATATCGCTGACAGGCCGGTCATCAGTGATAAAAAATATGATTTCGCACGGAAACTTCCTTTTGTGGAAGGTTGTGTGATCATTTCCTACAAACTTTGAAAATTAATATACCGTAAAACCTGTAATATAAAGTTCCCCTAACATTGAGCCAATTTATCTCGGTTCCGGTCAAAAGTACAAAAACGCTGTCAACTAATAAATTGTTAGCCATAATATCAGAAGTGTTTTCTCAGTTAACAAATTTTCGATATCTTTCAGAGGAATCCGAGAAAAATTATCTCAAACTTGACAGTGTGGGGGCCTTCTATTATCTGTTTTGCGGTAGTTAGAAGTTCATTTAAGCTACTGGTTCAACGGGATTACAGGTTTTGAAAGAGCAAGGATTTTATTAAGAAATTGAAACTTAAAAATATTTTTTGTAAATCATGAGGTATGCGGAGGCACCCAAATAATAGGCAGACATCGCAACAAAAATTATTTTCGTGTTATCTCTGTATCTCTATTAGGATCACTCCTAATTTGTTTACACCATTGTCTATCATTAGGGCGCATCTGTGGAAGAGAAAAGCTTGTGGGCGTGGCCAAAGGAGGATACAAAATTTTAGGGTCATTGGGGTACAAATCAATTTAGGGGTACACATATCTCAATTCGGGGGTACGATTCCCTTGAAAAAAATTAATTTTGTACCCCCAAATTGTGGATTTTGTACCCTTAAATCATTTTACCCCCGAATGGTTGTACCCTCCGAATGATGTGCCCTAACTACAGTAGTTCGGCTGTGGCCGCGGCTACCAAATTTTCTCTTCCACAGCTCTGATATTCGCATACCAGCAGAGTAGAAAAAATTTATTCCAGGTTATGGTACTTGTTAATATTTTTCTTGTACACCCTACAACTATCAACGAAGGGTTTTAAAGGTTTTTTTGTACATTTTTCAAATCCAACACTTTTTTATGAATCTAATATGACCTGTTTGAAAGCAAAATATACAATTAGCAGAACGGATTATATGTACAGAAAAAAGAAATCAATAAGTATAGAATCCTTGCTTTGTTTTTCTTCCAAGTTTTCCCTCGGCGACTAGTTTGTCTAGAAGTTGAATTGGAGCAAAACGAGCATCGCCAGGCAGAGTTTCGCGGAAAACTGAAACACAATTTCCAGAAATCTATGCTGGAAAAGTTCAGAACTCACTCTTCAAGGTACTCTGCAACACATCAAGCCCAACATAATCGCACAACTCAATTGGTCCCATTGGATAGGAAGTTCCAAATCTCATGGCAGTATCAATGTCCTCTTTAGTAGCATCTCCACGCTCCAACATGCGGATACTATCCATCAGATATGGAATAAGAAGTCTATTGACAATAAATCCAGGAGTATCCTTGGCGGCAACAGGCAACTTTTTAATCTCCTTACAAAAGTTGAACAAGAATTCTGTGGTTTCTGGAGAAGTCTCATCAGTGGAAACAACTTCAACAAGCTTCATAACAGGAACTGGATTGAAGAAGTGGAGTCCGGCGAAGAGAGACGGATTATTGATGACTGGAGTCATTTGAGAGAGCTTTAGAGATGAAGTGTTGGTGATAAGCATACAGTTTCTATAAAAATTACATTAAAATTACTTGGCCTAGCTCTGGAAAAACTCACTCTGGGCAAGTCTTTTGAATAGTTTGGAAAATGTCTAACTTGAGATCCAAATTCTCTGCCACGGCTTCAATGGCCATAGCGGCATCCTCTGCGGCAGAAGCAATCTGAAAATTCAAATTAAAAAACTTGAAAGAATATATATATATATATATATATATATATATATATATATATATATATTTTAGCTTACATCAGTATGAATCTGAAGCAATTCCAATTGGAGCAGTGCGATTTGTTCCAGTGCAGCTGGTTCCGATGGAACTTCTGTCTTCTTACCAGCAACACGGATCAAGTTCTTTTTGATGGTTTCTCGTGCCTCCAGAAGCTTCTTCTCGCTTCTTCCGTATAAGTTAACAGGGTAGCCAGCTTGAATGCAGACCTGAGCAATGCCGCTTCCCATCATTCCAGCTCCAAAGATGGCGATAAGTGGTTTGTCGTTTTGCACTTCGGATTGGACCATCTTGAGTACGCTTCTGAAAATAAAATTGAGGTTACGACACTACAGAAAAGATAGGTCCACTAGAAAAAGTTATGTTATATCAAAGATTCAATCAGAAAATGATTTTAAAATATCAAAATCAGTAACTAAAAGACAAATCACAATAGGTATAAAAATGAAAAAAAATTTAGTTTTCCTACTGAAAATATATTTTTTGAAACTTTTGAAAATTATGAACTGGAAAGAACAAAGCCATCTGCGTTTATATACAAAAAATGTGGCATGTGAACAGGAGAGAGTGGGCTGTTTTAAAAGTGATAACGTTTCTGCTCTCATCCTCCATTATTGATAAAGATCATGAGGGGTGATTCCAATGCCTCTCATTCCGGAGTCTGTAATCAGAACACTCGCAAAAAAGTGTTTGTTCGTTGGTGGTGTTATGTTTGCAGGAAAAAAGAGGGGCGGGGCTTGTTTTCTCATGCTCGGAGGGAACCCCAAAATGCTGACATTTTATGGTCACAATGGACCCCCGGCCCGTGTCAGCTGACAGTGTATTTGCATTTTGGTAGTAGGACGGGAAAATACTACTTTTGAAGAATACGAGGCAATTATCGGGTGAAGATGACAAAGATTATTAGGCATATTTTGGTTGTTTTGATGATGACTAGAATATGTTATAGTACGAGGACCAAGGAGCAATAGTAGCAGAGCAAAAGGATTGGTTTGAGAAAACATGAATAGCAAGACAAAAATCCTGGAAAAATGGGCGGGAGGGGGGGGGGGCTGAATACTGTAACAGAAGGTACCTACCGTTGAGCTGATATATCTCAGTTCCTGTAAAATATATCAAAAATTTGCCAACTTACAAAATGTTTATCATAACTTCACAAATATTTCGTCAGTTGACAACTTTATGATATCTCTCACAAGAACCGAGATATAAAAGCTCAATGTCGGCGGTCCGAGTGGTCTTCTATTTATTAAAGTGTTTACGGTATGTTAGGCCCTGGAAAATGCTTGGAAAACACATCATTTCCGGTAGTAGTCAATTTCGAGTACTGTAAGTTAAAAATAAGTATGCCACGTGAAAGTTAAAACGACATATTTCGGCCTGGTACTGTATCTAATGTTTTAAGATATTTGAAATAGGTGCTGACCTAAAAAAAACAAAAGATGTTAATTTTTTTTGCAAAGAACACTCAACTTTTTAACCTCGACAAATGGTCTGATCGCCACATGGGGTTACTGATAAATAACTTTAGTTTTCCACACATAGTATGGTCTGATATTTTACTTTCCATGCTAATCAAGTTTGAATTGTCCTTTTTTCTGTTCCTCACTTTTAATTAATTTTTTACGCTCACGAGAATTCTATGCAAACCAGAGAACCTCCAAAAAAAGCGACCTCACCAAAAACAAATCTAGTCAATCTCTGATCCAAGAAAACTGATAAGACATATTTGTCGGTAGGTGCTCTGACGCCTCCAAAGAGCACACAAAGCACATACTCTGTTCACGTGTTCAATAAAAGTGGAGGGAAAAAGGATACTGTAGGTGTTGATGGGGTGATTTCTATCACCGCACCACCAAACTGATGTTTGACGGGAATGGGGAGGAGGTAGGAGGAGGAGAGACTGAAGCATCCTGTAAGAGCGACTATTCACGAGAAGAGCAATGTGACATTTATTTATAGTGACACAAAATTTTAAGCCAAGTTCGTAAAATAATCGAGTCCTTGTCCGTAATCCCAAAATGCGACTCCAACATTGTGCTCTTTAGCCAAAGCAAGACGGTATTCCAATGTTGTAAGCGATGGAAATAGTATGAAGGTATTCTGGCTTCTGAAAAATTGCATAATTTTTTCTGAGATGATTTCTATGCTCACTCCGACACCAGCTCATGTTCCTTGTTCTTCTCATTCCACGTCAACACGGAATCCTCTAGTTTCAACACCTCCAAAAATTGTTTGGATGTGATTGTTTCCCAGGGGCGGAGTCTTGGCCCGGCTCGATACTCTTTCAAGTTGTACTGTAGTCCATAGAAGTTCATGCCGAGAAATATTTTTGTGGAGAATCGGAATAGTTGAAGGTTAGCAAGAAGATACTGATCATTGATGTGGTGTCGAATACTTGTTATTCCATCAGTGTACGTCCACAATTGGACGAAGTCATAGGAATTGGTTAGTTGACTGCATTCCTCTTGAGTCAGCGGGGAAGTGTTCTTTCTGTAATGAAAATTTGATCTGTGTTTTAGGTACAAATTTGGGATTATCTGATCTCAACTTTCCTAATCTTGATAGCAATAACAGCAATTATCGGTTAAGATTTTTTGAAAAAAACTGTAAAACCTGTAACAGAAGGGCCCAAATATTATAAAGTTTGAGCTCGGTTATCTCAGACTTCTATAAGAGATATCAAAAATGTGTCAACTGATGAAATGTTTGTGATATTATGTTAACAGTTTATCAGTTAAATACTTTTCTATATCTTTGACAAGAACCGAGATAAATTGGCTCAAATATTCAAGTTAAGGGGCCCTTCTATTATAGGTTTTCACTGACTGCTTTTTTTCACCGTAATCCTCAGCTCCAGCCAGTGCCGGGATAGATAGAATCGCAATCAACTCATTCCGCCGGATAACGTTTCCAATTTGCATGAACATCTCTATCGTCTCCCTGGATATATATTTTTAGAACAATCTACACTTTGAAAATACCAATCTCACATTTTACTCTCACGCAAAGAATGAACAAAAGTTTCGATTCCATCTATTACAACTCCATCGAACCCATGCCTATGACACAAATTGGCAATTTTCTGAGCCGTCTTCTGCACCAAAGTCTCCTTTTTAACAAAATAATCAGCTGTCTCGTCTCCGAATTTTGTGAAAAAGAAACGCGGGACTATCTTTATATCCGGATTGGATTTTCGGAGGGTTCGAATGAAATCTCGATTTATATCGTTCTCCCCACGAATCACAACATTTTCCATTTGCTCCAGTCCAAAGGCAGGTGCTACGTTGAACCAAACATTGCTGACGAAATCGAGGTGATTGGCCCGCTTTTTGGCAAGAAGGAAGCCACGTGGATTCCACTGGAATTTTCAGATAAATTTCCAGATTTTTTAGAAAAACTAGAAACCAGGAACCTGTGTCACAAATGCAAGTGTAGGCACTCCACTGAATAAGATCTCGTTTGACAACTTCATATGTTCAGCTAGAATTGATTCTTTTGTAATTTGCTCCGGTTGCCATTTCAATTGTGTAATGGTGGCTGCCGAAATCTGAAAAATTTTTTTCTAGAGCTCAAAAATCAAAATCGCGAAAACATTATAGAAAACTGACCAATAGAAGTCCCTCAAGAAATATCAACCAAACACTCAACATCATTTTGAAATTTTATGAAGGCACAGAGTTACAATTGTGAAGTTTTCAGTAGCAGAAGTAACTTGCCACGTCTCCTAGGTTTGTAGAACGAGACACTATGCAGATGTCCGCTTTTCCAAATGCCCTGGATAAATGATTTCCACCTGCTTCTAATTCTAGAAGTTGTGACATCATATCCAAAGTTTTCAGTCTAGTGTCTTCTTTGACCTTCGCATCACAAATTCTGTGACTTGCCCTTCCACGTGCAAAACCGTCGTCAAGACCAGAAGAGATACATCTTCTGCTGATGGTGTTCATCCAACAGTCGAATGACCAGCAAAAAATTGAATGATATGATAAGGAAATTGTCATCGACCTAATCGTCATCAGTTCGTCAAATCAGTTGCTGTTGTGGGTCGATGGGCGGATTAGATCAGCATCATTCAGGTAGTATAAAAAAGGAGTAGCACAGAATTGACTCGTATCAAACCTAAAATTTTAATACAATGATTCGTTCTATCCTTATTCTTCTTGTCGCCTTGGCCGCTCTCTCTTTCGCACAATACGGTTAGTTTCTAATCATCAAAAAGTTCCTCTAATTTCAATTTCCAGGTTACGGAGGATACCCAGGCATGATGGGCGGTTATGGTGGCTATCCAGGAATGATGGGAGGATACGGAATGCGACCATACGGAATGATGGGCGGTTATGGTGGATATGGTGGCATGGGAATGGGAATGATGCGCCCTGGACTTCTTGGAATGCTCATGGGATAATCTGGATCATGTTTTTTGTGCTCTTCACCATACATTCCACGCTATCATAGTGCTTTTTTAGAGATCTCTTACCTGCTTCTGCGAATTCTTTTTAAAAGAACATAAATCTTCACAACGCTTTTGGTTTTTTTGGGAGTTCAGTTCATTATCTTACTAAAGATTCAAGCCGAAAAATCGGGCATTTCCAGTTGGACCTCGAAACGTTTTTATTTCCGGTACTGTATGTGGTCAACGAAATGTGTTCTCTCTCCAAAAATAATTATTATTTCCTTCTTGCCTAACAGAACCTGTTTCTTGACCATTGGCATGAAAGAGAGAAAAACAGAATTGTTCATTGGTCGCTTCTAGTTTCTTCAAAATAAAAAATTAACAAAAAAAAACAAGAAAATCAAAATTGAGATCATTCATCTAAGAAGCATTCCGAGAAGACCTGGACGATACATTCCCATTCCATATCCACCGTACATTCCAGGACCATATCCTCCCATCATTGGACCATACATTCCAGGGCCGTAACCTCCCATCATTCCAGGTCCATATCCTCCCATCATACCAGGTCCGTAGCCTCCCATCATTGGTCCATATCCTGAAATTCAAACCATACAAAGTGTATGAAATTAGGTCAAGGACAATTGTTTGACCTTTTTTTCAAAAACTTACCCCACTGAGCAGATGTGAAAGCGAAAAGTGCCAAAAGAATCACCAATGCGCGAATCATTGTCGAAACGAAAAAAGTAAAAAAAAAACGATGGTTTCGATCCGATAGGTTTTATAGGAAAACGGATATTTGATGCAGATGTCGATAAGGATTTGGCGAACTGAGGGAGTTTTATCTGTCTTTTGTCTTTCTCCTTCTGATTCGGTTTTTGTTCGTTGCGCCACCTGGTCTCGACGGTTCTAATTTGATAATGGAAATTATCTCAACAGGTTTTAACTTGTGATTGAAGTCAGAAGATTTGGATTACTGTAGAACTTGGAAGTTAGAATGTTCGTTAATATTAGTTTCAAAATTTCGGTCCAAAATTTCGGAAAACGTCAGTTACAGTGTCGGTCAATAAAATGTACAAAAACGTATTTTTCAGTTGATTTTCGTCCATTTCGACCATTTTCAGAAGTCTGGAGCTCGGCTTTCAAGTGTCGGATCACTTTGAAATGTTTTAAAAGTGTAAAGCAGACTTAGATTGAAAAGCTTTGCATTCACAGAATTTTTTGAAAAGTCCTAGTTTTTCAGCTTTTTGGCAATTTCTGACAGACACCTGCTTTTTTTACCGTTTTCAGTACAAAAATGGACAAAATAGGGGTGTCTTTCAGAAATCAGCTTCACGTCCTCCAAAATTTTCAAAATGATCAAAAAACTGACAGCCGAGCTCCAGACTCCTGAAAATGGCTGAAAATCATCTGAGAAACACTTTTTTTTGCATATCTCATAGACCGGTACTGTATACCGTTGGTCAACACTCTTCTTAAATTTCGAAAACGTACGACAACATGTTATTTCAGTGTTTTCGTTCTCTTGGTTTTTTCCGACTAGATTTTTTTCATATTTACAAAATTTATTCAAATCAGTTTCATAATATTAATAATCAGCACATAAAGATTAAAACCGGGTACACTGAGCTGAGATCCTCTGTGTCATAAAATCCTCTCTCAGAATCATCTACTTCTTTCCGATGAGCATTCCAAGGAGTCCTGGGCGGTACATTCCCATGCCGTAGCCTCCGTACATTCCATATGGACGCATTCCGTATCCTCCATACATTCCTGGGTAACCACCTCCATATCCACCATATGGACCGTATCCTGGAAAACGAAAATTACAATTTGTCTCAGTTTCTGGAAATACTAACCCCATTGAGCTGAAGATAAGGCGATGAGTGCGACGAGAAGAATGAGAATAGCACGAATCATTTTTGAATCAGGTGGAATAAGCTTCGAAGTTTCAAAACTGCTTGCCCTCACTCTTCGCAACATGTCCTTTATATACGCCTAATAAGTGACGTGATATCAAAGACTTTGTCAAATAATGACGTCATCTGTGGATACAGTTCGCGAGAAGCGAAGATTCATCTAGAGATAAACGAAACAAACATACGACAAACACTTGTGTACATGTTGTTGTCTGGGGCAGGTGCGAAGATCTTCAACCTAGTGAAGACTTGTTGCGATGACTAATTGACGTCATTTTTCTAGACTGGTCAGGTTGAAAGTTTAAATCAGATGTTGATTTACAATTAATTTCTGCTCCTTTATTTTCCATTGATAGGAATTTTACTGTGTTTTATATTTCTTTCCGTGATTTTAGAAGAGTGTCAAATTTTCAATAATTTAAACAAAACTTTAGATAAAAATGATCTTTTGAACTATACGGCTATTACTATTAGGCGGCCATGATCCTTGCGGTTGAAAATTATTTAGAGGCGCAGCTCCGGTCCTGAAGCAAAAAAAGCTACCGTTTAACAAATAAAATCATGCGCCATTGACACAGTACTTCGGAATTTTTTTATTATATTACTCTCTATTCCCGTCAGATATTTTGCTTGTTTTCGTTCATTCTCTTCCGACTCTCATAGATAAACTGAATTTCATTAAAAAGTAAAAAAAAAACATTCATAAAATGGATCAAAGTAAATGAATTCAAAAGTACTGTCTCTAAGGCGCATGAAATTATGTGTGAGAAATTTTTTAATGCGAAAAAAATAATAAAAGATAACAATTATTTTATACTTATTTATTTTCTAATGGACCGCCTGAAATGATCATTGAAATCCTCGTGCACATCCCATAACTCTATAAAAATTAATCTTTTGTACACGACTTGGACGAATTCACTACTTTAACTTGAAATTACACACAAACAACAACAAGAAATAATTAGTCCTCGTGGTACCTGAAACATAAACAATCTTCAACTTGACTTACTATAAACGATTCAGATGACGTTATCTTTAAAGAAATTTGTTTTATTTGTGTCAAGTTTCAAATTGGTATAAAAGGAAACATCTATAAGAAGACAGCCAAAAACATTTTCTGATTTTTTTAAAATGTTCCGCTATATTCTCATCCTTCTTGTCGCCCTCATCGCTTTCTCTTCCGCTCAATGGGGTGAGTTTAATTTTTAAAGAAATTTCAAAAAAAAAACTGCAAGCTGATACATTTTTAGGTTACGGACCATACTACGGGTACCCAGCTAATCCTGGATACGGAGCTTATGGTGGAGGCCTTCTTGGATTGTTGATTGGAAAGAAGTAGATTGATTATGGCCAAATGGATTCATCTGGACAACCAAAACATATTCATATGCTGTAATCACTGCAATAATTGTAAATCTATGTATCAATGTATATTCAATTGAATTCATTTATAAACATTCGAAATATTCCAATGTGTCATGCTCAAATTTTTGAATTTATTACAAGGAAAGCTCACAAAAGAAAAATAATAATGATTAATATGATGTTTGTAGTGGTCTGAAAATCTGAAGGCAACACTTCGATGTTATAGGAAAATGAAGGATTCAGAAATAATTCGAAATTTATGATTTCGAATTTTTAACTTGCTGTGATATTCAATCTTAAAATTCAATTCATTGAAAAAGTAATCGAGTTTATTAGCATTATTACAATTGCACAGCGGAAAATCAACGAATTAGTGCACTTTATTTCTTTCCGAGCAGCATTCCAAGAAGACCGCCTCCCATTCCGCCCATTCCCATTCCGTATCCACCATTCATTCCATATCCACCATACATTGGATATCCACCACCATAGCCACCGTAGTTGCCGTAATACCCTGTAAAGTTTCGAAATTAAAAATTTTCCAATTTAGTCAGAAAAAGGATTTACAGAAAATTTTCCAAAATAACCTTCAGGAAAATCGGAGCATCATTTGAAAAATACAAATTTTACTGATGTGAATTTAATTCTTAAAATATTGAAGAAATTGATAAATTCAATAAAACTTACCATATTGCGCAGATGCCATTGCCATCAATGCGACGAGAACGACAAGAATAAAGCGAAGCATTTTAGAATTGTAAAAACTGCGGTTTTCTGAGTTACCAACTGCACCCGTTCCGTTTTATACTGTATCCAGACGATGCTGATCTAAAACTTTGACGAAGAACATCCAACGTCATCTAGGGGTAACATCGTCAGGTGCAGATATTGTTTATCGGTTCTGTTCGGTCTTTTCGGATGAGTAAGATGACCATGCGTCTTGTTTTTGATCTTGTTTGTTCAGAATATTTCTGAATTTCAGAGTGATTTTTGGCATATCGTCGGGAGATTTTTGATTTGTTACAAATTGGATTTGTTGAATTTTCGTTTACTGTAATTTGGTTGTCTTCATTATTTCGCTCGTTTTGGCTTCCAATTAATATCAACAGATAGTATACATAAATTTTTTAGTTTACAAATATCCCCACGATGGCAGATTTATAGAGAGTTTGAAAAAAATGAGAAAATGTCTGAAATATGAAATTTCATTGATACAGTTTTCATGTTCTGAAACGTCGTCAAAGTTGAAAAAATATGTGAAAATCAATTTTTTTTGCACTGAATACGCGGTTTTTGGTACTGAAACTGATATATTTTCAGGGGCGTCAAGGTGAGCTATTCTTAATCTTTAATGAAATTTTCTTTAACAGCTGGGTTATCAATGTGTCGATTTTAATAGAAGCACACCTTATACGTGCACTTTAAGCTAAACTATCTCGCTTCCTATAAAAGATATCAACATTTTGTCCACTAATAAAATGTTGGTCATATGATGAATCATATGATGAACGTTTTATTAGTTGATAGATATTTGATATTTAGTGTAAGAAAATTTCTCCCAGGAGCAAAGTTATTCAAGATTCATCCCAAAACCCCAAAAATGAAGAAAATGTCTGAAAATAATTTTTTCTAAAACCAGACTGTCAAAAAAAAGGACTATTTTAACAAATTCCAACAAAAAATTCTCAATTCATTTCTCAAATAAACATGAGAGTTTCCGTTATCATTATGACACGGTGTGCAGACTTTTGGTACTGTAGTCCTAAAACATTTGACTGGCACTTGATTCAGGGGACACATAGGTTTTTTAGGATTCTGAATCTAATGGAATCTAATGCCGTTTTTCTTTTTTGCAAAAGACTCGAACTATGGTTTTTTAAGAAAAATGAGTTCCGGGAAGGACATACGAGGAAGAATGTCCTTCTTCTCTTCACAAATGCTTTAGCTATTTTTTAAGACCCGATTTCGATTGTTCAGCGATGCAATCGGATCAAAAAAATTTATTGGTCCTTTATCTTGACCAGAACCAAAATTCCCGAATACATTTATTAAATGCATTTAACAATATAAACCTCTTTTTCAGCCAAGTAAATAAATTTTATTATGCTTAAACGAAGTATACATTACAGTCATTACCGATGAAAAAATTATTAAGCAATAATTAAACGTAAATCGGTTTTAAGGATTACTTTCTTTTTCCAAGAAGTCCGCCAACAAGACCTCCTCCGTTGAGTCCTAATCCAACGTTGGCATTTGTACCGTATCCTCCATATCCTGGATTTCCACCATAACCATATCCACCATAGTTATTGTAATAGCCTGAAATCAGAAACAGTTCGTAATTATTTTCCACTGAATTAAAACTAACCATATTGAGCAGTGGTCATTGCCATGAGAGCGACGAGAAGGACGAATACAAAGCGAAGCATGTTTCAAGAAGATTTGCTTTCTTGTTGGATTACCCATTCACAGACTGTTATATACTGTACCCATGTATGGATGACGTTGATCGTTGATTGTTGTGTGGCGTCAAGTAGACCGAAGACGTCAGGTGCAGAATGTTTTCGTAAGGATATTTTGGTCATTTCTGACGATCTTAACATTCGATTTGTTTTTGATCTCTGACATATGTAGATGTTCTGGATATATATTTGTTTTCCATGTTCATCTAGACTTTAGACTGCATGATGATTGGTCACCAGACAGGACAAAATTAATGTTCTGCAAACTTTTTGTTTTTTGACTTATTTGACTTGAACGTCATGTTTTTAGGTATTTGTTGAACGAATGAAGTAGGCGGAGCTTGTATGTTGTTGAATCGCACCCAAAGTATGTTGTAGACGGGTGAGTATCTTATTGTACTGTTTAAAAAATTAGAAGTTTATGAAAATTAAAATATTCAAAGAACGTTGATTATACATTTCCATTATTAACGTCTTTGTATTCCGAGTAAAGACCTTTTCCAGAAGTTTCCATCAATTTTTGATCAATTATCGGAGATATGCTCCGGATTGATGGACGACGTGGGGACTCCTGAAAAGTTTTGGAGTTTTCGTAGAGCGAATTCGCAACTCACCGATGTTTGAATTTTTCTCTGTGAGACACTAGATTGCTCACCCAGCAGCCAATAGGTTTCCATTACACCTTTTCCTTTTATTAAAACTTCGCCACGAGATTCTGTTCTGAAACCACCGACAACTTCAGTAAGCATTCGATTGGCATCGGCGGTGACGTGGATTTGGCCAGCTGAAATAGATTTCGAATTTCATAATATTTAGATTTCTGAATTCATAGTTTTCGGTTTAAATTTTTTCAAATTTCAAAAACTCCTGAAAATTTTTCTAAATTTTCTAATTTCTCACGTTTTCCATTACTCTCCATCCGACTCGCTGTGTTCACTGCATCTCCAAACAGGCAATACCTAGGCATAGTCAATCCGACAACACCAGCAACCACCGATCCTGTAAACAAATCATTAATCGATTAATTAACCAAGCTTTGATCTACCACAATTAATACCAATCCTCAAATTGATGCGTTCATTAGGTAAATGTTGAACCCGAAAAAACTTAAGGCTGGTCAAGAATCCAAGAGACATTTTCGCAATATGTCGAATATGTTCATTTCCATTCCGATGTGGCAAACCGGATACGCATAAATAGCCGTCTCCAATCGTTTCTACCTGTTGAAAATAGTTTTTCTTGGGTTTTAAGGTTGTTTACCTTATAAACATCATTTTGCTCAATAATTCCATCAAAAATCGTGTATAAATCGTTGAGTAAAGTTACCACTTGTAACGGTGTACATTTGGCGGCTAGATTGGTAAATTGTACAACATCTGAGAAGAATATTGTGACTTGTTCAAAGGTTTCGGGTTCAACAGCCTGGCCAAGTTTTAGCTTGTCTGCTACCATTCTGAAATTTCAGGACCTTTGAAGTATACGGTTTTTGAGTTAAAGAAATCATAGTATTTTTGAATATCCTAAAACATTCGGTTAAGAATCGTTAAGTTCGGTTCTAAAACGCCCGGTTGCGAAATGACTCACTTTGGCAACATTCTATACAATAGAACATCCGATTTCTTTTTCTCTTCCACCAACTCTTTTGTCCGGTCTGAAACTTCTTCTTCAAGAGTCTGTGCATAGGTTTCTAGCATATTGAAGACGTGATCCATCAAGTTAGATTTTCGCGAATCTCTCATGCTATTCAAATGTCCACGGACTTGGTCAATGTTCGGTCTTTCAGATGGCCTCTCTGTCCAACAGTCGCGGATTAGATGGAGCTAAAAATTTGGGTTTCAGACGCTTACTTTTAAAATAGTCAGTTCTTGAACGTCCGATTTCAAAATAGCCGACTTACCAATGCTGGATTCACTTCTACACTCTCCATGGTCTCCAGAGATGGTCTCATCGGATTGTGACCTCCTTTCTTTACTTGATAGATTATCACATCCGGTTTCTCCTTCCGATTTTCCATATCAAACGCTGAAGATCTCGTCAGAATTTCGGAGCAAATTATTCCAAAACTATAAATATCTCCTTCAGATGTTCTTTCGTTATTTTCATTTCTCAAATGCTCAGGTGCGGTCCACAATAAATCCTTCGGATTTGGTTTTTCAAAACTTCGAATTGATTTCAATCCATAACCAGATATCTTGATTTGCCATCGATCATCAATTAGACAACACCGGGATGTTAAATGCCCATGAAATCCAAGAAATGAGTTATGAATGAAGCTCAACCCATTTGAGATGTCTCTGATCAGTGAGAACATGAAAAAACTGTCCATTTGCATTGAAGATTTACTGATAACATCTGATAACGATCCTCTTGAACAGAATCTCCAAAGTGATAGCAATTGTGGACCATCTAGACAAAGACCAATGAATTTGTTGAGATTATCGTTGTCAAAGTTTCTGATTTGACGGAATTCCGATTTCTGGTCTTGATCGAAAATTTGCATTAATTCGTGTTTCATACCAGCAAGAATTTCTTGTTTGTAAAAGTAGAATATGAAATTTGTGGTCTCCGAACGACTTTCTACAGTAATCTTTGTGGCTGTTGACGGGCCACTGGCGAAGGAGTGTTGGCTGGCATCCGCTTTGGATTTGGACTGGATTTGGGTCAATTCTAGGAAGGATACTTGCCATAGAAGGTCTTGTCGTTGCATTTCAAGTCGTTTTATACTGAAAAAGGTTGGTTATGGGACAGGAAAAATCCGCACAGCTCAAAAAAACTCACTGAACAGTGTAGCACAGTCCTGCACATCCAGCAAAAATTGCAACGGAAACTATCACTACCGCGATGATAACATAAGTCAAATAGTCCCTCACAAAATCTGGCGGGCACTCGGTCCCGGAAAATCCACAAATTGGGCGGGATAATGGTCGAGGACCACCCTTCCACAATTCGGATTCACTGGTGTAGTAGGAGGTGTACTCCTGTAAGAATTGGGAAATTTTTGGAAGTTTTGGGAAGTTCACTCAGCTGTCGGCGCCAATACTTGCACAAGTCTCTGAGCACATTATTCTATGTATTAGTTAAGAATTGTGGGAGACTTGTGCAAGACTTGCGGGAGGCTTGACCAATTCTTGTATTCTGTTGTTCCTGTTGTTATCGTAACGACACAAGACTTGGCCAAGCCTCCCACAAGTCTAGGACAAACCAAAAAAGTCTTGCACAAGTCTCTCACAAGTCTCAACAAATACATAGAATAATGTGCTCAGAAACTTGTACAAGTATTGTCGCCGACAACCGAGTAGGTCTGAATTTTCAGGAAAATTCCGGTTTTACGAAATTTGAAAAAAAGAGACTTTCAATTCAGAAACGCCAAATACCTCGAAACTTTGAAAACTCTAGAAGTATTTTTCGGAAGTTCGATGAACTACAAGAATGGAAAATTTCTGGTGCAAGAAAAATATGAAATTGAAGAGTTTACAACACCAAAAAGTGTTAAATTTTCAAAAAAGAAATGTTCAAAAATCTTCAACCTACCACATTATCCACACTGACAAGCATGTCTGCGGCCAGGTACGGTAGCAAGGAAGAATTCATTGCGAACATAAAAACTCTCACAATTCGAGAGCCAGTATCATCCAAACTGATATCGTTTCCACCGACTCCTTTAAAAGTCATGGCGATTTGTCCAGAAATCATGGACCCATTTTTTAAATCTGTGATTCCTGGATTCTTAGTTAACGACTTGTTTAGAGCAACAGCATAAGCATAAAATGCATCAAAAAGTTGTCCGGAATATGTGGCAGACTGCAAAATCTTTTTTAATTTTAAAAACTACAGTAGTCCCTTACAACTTTAAATGTCGAATTCGCACAGTCTTCAATACAGTTAAATGGAGCTTCAGACATTCTTTTGATGACTTGATTCGAGAAATTCTGGAACTGCTCGGTTATAGTCACTGGCTCCCCCATGTTCTGAAAATGATATCTGACTGGTTATAATTGCAAAATAATTACATCGCAAATGAACAAAACTCGGCTGTAGGCTTCACGGATTTGCTCATTGCTCAGCCCTGTGACGAATGAGCCATCAGTGTCGTCCCATGAATAATGACGACTACCGTCTTCCTCATCGACATCTGGAATTACAGATGAGTACAAAGATTACTGTAAGTTTTAAAAAACTCACAAAATCCTCTTGACTTTGGCTCTGCAAAGATGTACACATACTCATCGGTAGACATTCCAGCAAGCACTGTAGCCGAAACAAAAGCCTTTTTGAATCCTTTGCCACTAGCAAAACAGTTGGCGATAACTGAAAGTTTAAAGATAAACTGATAATTCCAGCCAGATCCATAGTTTGCAAAACTCACTCCTCCCCCGCTTTGCCACCTCCGTCAAAGCCTTCTTCAGCGATTCCATAGTAACCGTTTGGATTTGATACATGTACGCTAAAGTGACATCTTTCGTTTCCACTGACATCTTTTCCATGTCGTCCTTCATCGACGCACATTTTTCATCGTCACCGTCATTCGAGTAAATGAACACAAATTCTTCCCAATCGAATCGCTGCAGTACGTCTCGCATCGCGTTGGCCATGCTGAAAATGAGATTCAGAGAGAAACCTTAAAAACATGACAGATATATTAATTCTCCACATACCTATGAGTATCCAGTGACAAAGTAGATGTTGTTGGATATCGTGTGAAATTACCGATGTCTGCTGTTGTCGTTAGTCCCCATTGGAACACTGGTACATTATAATAGGCGGCTAGTGAAGCGGTCGCGACACCAGCACGATTACAAGTTGGACCAATTATCACATCCACATCGTCTTGATTGATTAGTTCGACCACTTTTCCAGCGGCGAGACTTTCCGAGCATTCGTCGAATTTTATTGTGAAGCTGGATGAAATTTTTTGGATGGATTTAAGTCTAACTGTTTTAGTTATGAAAATCAGAAATTTAAGTTTGTGTATCGCTATGGATTTCGAAATTTCCAAAAGTTTTAGAATTTCTAAATAGTTCTAAATTCTGATATTCTGAACTTTGTTTGATTGAATTAACAATTTTCAACAAGTTTCAGAATTTCCATTTTGTGACATTATAGTATTTTGAAGAGATTACTGAACGCAAGCGGACCGCAAGTGGGCCACGAGCGAATATCGAACAGCGCCTCTACTGGCTGGGCTACTCGGTCAACGTCGACGCTTGCTGATGGAACTTCTCGGCTCAAATTTGAAATTTCTTTTTCATCCCTTACTTAAAATCGTATTCATCCAACAAATGTTCCGCTCGAACCCTATCCCTGGCCACCAACACCGCGGCAGCCGACGTTCGATAGCCGACAGCTCGATTAACCGATTGCACATCCTTTGAAAACAGTAATCCAACATTAACAGTTTTCGTGTACTGTGAAAATGCGACATACGGTAGAAAATATATGAGTAGAAAAGACATAGTGTTGATCATAAAAATATAAATGAGCTTGTGGGAAAAAATGTGACAATATATGGTAAGAACCAAAAAGAGAGAGAGAGATAATCCTTTCGTTTTTCTTATAAATATGAGTACTTTGGAAGAATGGATTAGGCTGGGGAAATATATTGAAAGTCATAAAAGCTAGTGATCAGATTTATGGAACGGATGTATAATCTTGCTGGAAGAGCATTTTTTTATTGTTGCCAATATGGCATATTTAGATTTGTTCAGTGAATCTCATTAGAATGGAATTTTGCAAAAATTCAGTTACCAAAGTGAACCTGTAGTCTTGTTTAGTACCGTCTCAATATTTAATCAACAAGTCTCGACTACTATTTTTAGAAACATAATAAAATTGACTATGTATATCCTACTTAAAAATTAAACTATGATAATTTTTCAATGGCTTTTGAATGTTTTATTGATCAAACCTTTTCACAAAAACTTTTTTCACACAGCTCAAAGCAATTAAGAATTTCAGGAAACCCCTAAAATGTATCATTATTTGGACGTTCTGTTTACAGTGCGGAACAAAAAGTCATGTTTCGACTTTCCAGTGTATACTAAACTAATATACAGCTTCGTTTTTGTAATTGGCATTTTGCCAAACGCTCCAAAAATACCGAAATTAAGACTGAAATATGAGTTGTACTCTATCAAACCAGATTGTCTTGAATTTTCACAAAAAAAAAACGTTTTCGATTACAAAGTTAAAGCTCTGATCTTTTTTATCTTTTCTAAAAGTGTTTAATCTTATTTTATATACTCTGGGAATTTTTAGAACGTTTTTACTGAACTAACCCCATTACAAAACATCTGTACGATGGTAGATATAAAATCACAACTCTTTGAATTACCGCCAAAAACGAGAAAATAGAAATACTGACGAAAAAAAGGCAGTTACAGAATTAGAATAAAGTTCAGTAAGAAAGAACAGAGATACATAAAGTATATAATCACTAGTACTTTTCAAATCAGAAATAAAAGCTCCAAGGAAAAGAAAGTTATTGAATACGAAACAAACTGCTGAGCAATAGAATAATTGGTTGAAAATCGGACTGTGATATTGATGATATGTAGCGTCTTCTGATTTTTTGCATTTTTTATAGATTATAAGGAACATGAAAAAATATCAGTAATTGAAAATAGGATAAATTGAATTGATAAATTGATAAATTGACAGAATGACAGGTGAAATTTTGAAAATTAATTTTAGAAGAAAATAAGGTTTTTAATTTTTTGACTTTTATTGTAATATCACCTGAAAATTATCATATTATCAAGGTGCTTACTGATCAGAGCTCGGTATTTATGACCACTTTGCTCCTACTAGAGTTTCTGAGTATGAGCATGAGTACGTCAGAGATTCTAAACATGTGTGAATCTTCAGAAGTTGTCATTATTTCGTTGCCATTATTTTTAAATTTTCAGGTTTATTTCATTTTATTTTTTTTAAAGAACAACAAAAATGGAACTATTGTCCATTCGAAATATTCGCACGAGTGAACGAGTAAAAAACCTGCGTATCTACAGTGCCTCTACAGGTTTGGACACTCTCTACACGTTTTTTTTTACTCGTTAACTCGTTCGATCATTTTGAATAGACAACAATTGGAATTATTTATTGTGATAAACTATTTCGAAAATCAAGGTTTTGGTCACTGATTTTTGTTTTCAGTATCTGGAGCCTTCGAAATCCTATGTAGCTGTGATTTCCATTCTAAAAGCAGCTGAACACCCGAAAAATAATCTTCTGAAATTCTCCATCGCTAAAATATACGACAACGAAACTACAGCAGGAATGATTGGCAAAAAAATTATGGCTAGATAACATTCGATTTCAGTCATATCTGTAATTATCGATAGTTTGAGCAAAATGGACCCAATAAAATGGGCGAAGCTGTGAATCTGTAAAAATTAGCATAATTTGAATTTTCTCAACAAAAAACAAATTACCAACAGAACCGTATGAATTGGGCCAAATTGATATAATAAAAATTTTGCTTTGTTCGCGTTACCTATTTCCAAATTTTTAACAATTTTATAGAGATGGTAATAAAACCATCCACTGCATATTGAGATAATTAACAAAGCTGAATTCGTAGTGTGAAAAATTATGATTTCTAGTTGACTGGACACATTATAGCTGTAGTAAGCAGAGCCAGCTTTGACTGAAAATTAGTGTTTTTTTTTCGAAATTTAAACTTGTTGTATGTCACTTACTTAGCATATAAATGTATAAAACGAGAACAGAGTAGCAAAAAGCAATTAAGCATTTCAGGAAACCCCTGAAATGTATCATTCTTTTGACGTTCTGTTTAAAATACGGGGCTAAAAGTTATCATATTTCGACTCTTCAGTGTATACTAAACGAAAATAGAGCTTCATTTTTGTAATTAACATTATCACCAAACGTGCCGAAAACTCCAAAATTAGCAATAAAATGAGAGTGGTACCTCTTAAAATCTGCTCATCACAAAAAAAGTTGTCAATTACAAAACTGAAGCTCTGATCTTGTTTTACTTTTTTTTTAATATTTAGAGCAATTTTCTTGTACCAACCCCATCACAAAACATTTGTACGACGGTAGATATAAAATCACGATTCTCTGAATCACCGCCAAAAACGAAAAAATTGAAACACTGACGAAAAAAACGCCAGTCAAAGAAACCGAATAAACTTCGGTTAATAGGAACAGTATAGTAGCCCAAAGTACGAAATCATCTGTAGTATTAAAATCAGAAATAAAAGCTCCAAGGAAAAGGAAATTATTGTATAACAAACAAACTGCAGAGCAATAAAATAATTGATTGAAAATTGGACTGTGATATTGATGATTTGTAGCGTCTTCTGATTTTTTCCATTTTTTATAGATTATAAGGCAAACGAACAAAACATCAGTAATGGAAAATAGGACAGATTCAAAAGTGAGAAATATTAGAGACAGAGTTTGAAATGGAACATTTGTTTCGTTATTATTACGAAAAGCATTGACGAGAAAGGTGTACATGGATGTTCGAGCAGTGAAAGACTAAGATTTGAATGGCAGGTGAAACTTTAAAAAATTAATTTGAATAGGAAATGAGGTTTATAATTTTTAAACATTGGTTATAAACAAATTAAAGTACCACCTGAGAGCTTTTATTTACAATATCAATGATTGCTTAAAGTAAAAGCTCGGTTTTTGAGACCGCGTTGCTCACAAGAGAATTCCTGAGTGATAACGTCCGAGATTTTGAAAATGTAAGAATCCTCTAAACTGTTAATTTTTTATTGTTTACTTTTAAATTTAAAAATGTTTATTTTTCTAAGAAAAAGGCAACATGCATGGAATTTCCCACCAGATTAAAAAAAATCAAAAATTCAAGAATTTTTGTCACGGACCTTCGTTTTCAGTATCTGGAGCCTTGGAAATCCTATGCAGCTGTGATTTGCCTTTTAACAGCAGCTGAAAAACCAAAAAATAATGTTCTAAAATTCTCCATCGCTAAGATATAGGATAACGAAACTACAGCAGGACTGATTGGCAGAAAAAAAAGATTGGCATAATTTGAATATTTTCAAAACAAAAAATAACCGATAAAACCGTGTGAATTGGACCAAATTGATATAATAAAAATTTTGCTTTGTTCGCGTTACCTATTTCCAAATTTTTAACAATTTTATAGAGATGGTAATAAAACCATCCACTGCATATTGAGATAATTAACAAAGCTGTATTTGTAGTGTGAAAAATTATCAGTTCTAGTTGACTGGGAACACTTATGCGATAGACAACGGTGTCGGTTTTTACTGAAGGTTATTATTTTCATAATTTGAAATTATCTCATTTCGCTTACTTAGAAAATAAATGTAAAAAATGAGAAAAATGTAGCAGAAAGCAATCAAGCATTTCAGGAAACTCCTTAAAATGTATTATTCTTCATGACGTTTTGTCTACAATACTAGAAAAATGACATCACATTTTGACTTTTTCAGAGTGTTCCAGACAAAAAAGAGCTTGATTTTTGGGATCGACATTTTTTTGCCAAATTTCATTTAGATGAATCGAAAATTTCTAGTTGCCTTTTTCGGGACTCTAAGTTTCACTTTTTTCCACCAAAAAGTCTAAGTGTAAGTCTTATTTCTCTTGTACCAACCCCATTACAAAGCATTTGTACGATGGTAGATATAAAATCACAATTCTTTGAATACCGCCAAAAACGAAAAAATTGAAATACTGACGAAAAAAACGCCAATGAAGGAAATAGACAAGCTTTCAATAATTAGGAATACCAGGGTAGTCCATTGTAAATAATCATCTGTAGTTTCTAAATCGGAAATAAATGCCCCAAAAAGAAGAAAGTTCGTGTATACCAAACAAACTGCTGAGCAAAAAAATAATTGATTGAAAATTGGACTGTGATATTGATAATTGGTAGCGTCTTCTGATTTTTTCCATTTTTTATAGATTATAAGGCAAACGAACAAAACATCGGCAATGGAAAGTAGGACGGATTCAAAGGTTAGAAATATTAGAGGTAGAGTTTGGGACTTGAATTCTGTTTCGTTTCCAAAACGGAGCGCATTGACGATAATGCTGTACATGAATGTTCGAGAAGTAAAAAAAAGCAAGATTTAAATGACAGGTGGAACTTAAAAAATTGATTTCGAAAGGAAATGAGGTTGATAATTTTGTATCACCTGAAAGCTTTCGTACACTATAAGAACTGCTTGAAGAAGAGATGGTATTTATAACCGCTTACAGTACTGACCAAAATGAATACGTCGGCACTGTCGACTCAACAGGTTTTTTACTGTAACTTTCTTCAAAATAGAGCTAAAGTGTCAAACTTTTTTGTAAAATGTAACAAATAACCCTAGAAAACATATACTTACAGAGAAATTACACTTACAGAGAAATTTATGAATCAGTTTTTTTTTCAATGATTCCCGCTGTTTCTTCAGCCTATATTATTTTGGAGACCCTTTTTAGAAATGTTTTTTTTCTGCGCATTTTATTATTGTTTGGAGAGAAATTTGATCGTCAACTTTTTTTCGGCTTTTTGCACTGATGCGCACATTTTCCACAGATAAGAAATTGAAAAACAAACAAATTTATACAGAAAGTTAAAAAAGACACAAAATTCGAGAAGATATTTTTGACAAGAAAAAAAACACTTAATCCAAAAACTCGAAACAATTATTTCCCAACTTGCTGATACGTACAAAGTCCTGTAGGCTGATTGCAAACATGGAAATCCGGACAGCTGGAGCACACTGTTCCCATTTCATAGATTAGGTAATCGTTCTTCAACCTGAATACGCATTTTCCTTTCAATTGGAAATTTCAAGGTTTCGGAATGAAAAAAAAAAACAAGAAAAGTTTCAAAAAAATTAAACTTACGGAAACTTATAATAGCAAACTGTAGCAACTTTTGAACCACATTTTTGTACACCACATCCCATTGCTCCAGTCAACGAAAATGCCATCTGGGTGGCTTCGGCGAGTCCTTGGGAGGCCAGATTCGCGACGGTGTTATTCACTGGCCATCCTTTGTCTTGGAATTGTTTTTCCCAGAACGCCACCGCTTCTTTGGCCTGCAAGATTGTTATTAATTTTTAGTTCTGAAAATCGCGGTGTATTTTTTATTGGAAAGTTGTGAAGATCAACTCGAAATTTCTTGTTTATATGAAACTATCTCATTACTTCAGAATTTAGCATTAGCTTTGCATCGCCGATACCAGCTCAGCTACGCGATTGACTAACAGAACAAGCGGACGACCGCGGATGATCATGAATGAGACAAACAGCAATCGACGACTAGGAATTATCATCATTTAAGAACTCACATATTCATCAGGCCCCTGAGTACCCACTGCATCAACGACACGAATATTGGCTCCAGTCTCCGCGGGGTTGGGCCTACCAATGTTAGCCGGGCATTGGTAAATCGATCTGTACGCGTCCCTAGCCAAATCGTCATTCCAGCCTATCATTTTCATGTTAGTAGCGGCGCGTCGAATGTCTCCACTGATATTGTATTTTCCTTGGGCAAGTGTAGAACGAAGTTTGTTGTGAGCATTGACGATGGCAGTTTTTCCAGCATCGGTTAACTGGGCATGGGTGTCTTCAATGATAAAAGGTTCGGACCTGTTCTAGTTTCAAAGGTTTTATAGGTTCCAAACCTTTTTGGGACCTCTAAAAAACGAAATTCTAACTCACCAATAAAAATGATACACAAAAAGCCAAGAAGCACGAAGGTCTTCATTGTTGAATTCCTCCACTGATACTGGTTTCCTCTTGGACCACTACCGCTTTATATGAACATTTCAGTGTTATTTTTCTATTTTTCAATATTTTTATCAGCATCAGACGTTCCTTGTTTTTGAGTTTTTAGCCTTTGCTATTGGCCAGACTGATAAGGAAGCTCAAAGCACAAAAACTGCTGAAAAAACATAACAAAGTTTGAAAACTGCACGCTCTCCCACAGAACAATTCCGAACTGCAAATTAATTTTTGATCTACAGAAAAAAAGTTTGGCGCGATCACCATTGCAGGTCTATAACCATAATTTCAGAATTTTTTATCTGATTTTGTGGAGTTCCAAGATAATTCAAATGATTTTTAAATAATTAATTAGTGGTTATAGATTCATGTATGGTCGTTTTCCGGAAGAAAAAATGTCAAAATTGGTCATTTTTGAGAGTTTTTTACAGAAAAAATCTATCTCCTCTTTCAGTTTTTGACATTTTTAGAAGTTCTCTTTTTCTAATAGTTCTATAGCTCAAAAAAATCACAATTATTTTCTCTACATTTTCTATGGATGAATTTTCAATTCGTCTGATAAAACTTTTTTTATAATTAAAAAACAACGCAAACATGCGATTTTTTGCAATTTCATGAGGTTTTTGAATTATAAAAAAAGTTTTATCAGACGAATTAAAAATTCATCCATAGAAAATGTAGAGAAAATAATTGCGGTTTTTTGAGATATAAAACTCCTAAAAATGTCAAAAACTGAAAGAGGAGATAGATTTTTTCTGTAAAAAACTTTCAAAATTACCATTTTTGACATTTTTTTCTTCCGGAAAACGAGCATACATGAATCTATAACCACTAATTAATTTTTTAAGAATTATTTGAATCATCTTGGAACTCCACAAAATCAGATAAAAAATTCTGAAATTATGGTTTTAAACCTGCAATTGTGATCGCGCCAAACTTTTTTCTGTAGATCAAAAATTAATTTGCAGTTCGGAATTGTTCTGTGGGAGATCGTGAACTGGAGAATATGTTGGGTTCGGAACAAAAGTCAAAAATAAAAGTTTTTTATACTCCAGATTAAACTTCGTTTTAATCAAAACTCTTGAAGTCAAAAAGATAATATTTTTATATTCAAAAAACACTATCAAAAAATTTATTCACAAAAGTTAAATAAAAATTAATAGTATGCAAATTACAAACCAATATAAACATTTCACACTTTTCGAAGTTCTATACACAATTTGAATTCTCTCTCCACAATCGCCACCAATAAAATCCAATTTCAATCGATTTCTCCGGATTACTGTATCCTTATCAAAATAAAAAAATAAATTACATCCATTACTCCATCGAAAAATGTCTCGATGATTGTCTTGAAAAATTGCCTCTCGATTTCCAGTAGTCACAATATTCAACATCTCCACAAAATCTGAATTTGTCAAATTCTTGTTTCCCACGATTTGAAAAATTGGAAGGGAATCTGAAAAATAGTTTTTTTTTAAATTTTGTTAAAGAAGATTCTAATTTTGGTACCAACCATCAGTATGTAAGATGTATTTCAAACTATTAATGTCTTCTAAACTTTCCAAAGTTGTATTTTGGATTGTGAGAGATCCAAATAAGTATAAAATACTTTTCAGTTTATACATAAATTTCTCATCTCCAGAATTTATAACAATGTTTCCCTTTATAATATTACAAGCATCTGGTAAGTTTTCCATTGAATAGAAGCTACAGATTTTGGAAAACTCAATTTGTTCTCGAGAATCTTGGCAGATTTCCAGATTAAAATCGAAAAACGAAACAAAATTTTCCAGGAAAAATGTGATATCTTCAATTGTCAAACAAAAATCTGGATGATTATATTGAATATTGACCAATTTAATTCCATCGTTCGAATTTATAATTTCCCGCCAATTTGGGATTGATAATCTTTTGAGATTTGGATTTCCTTCCAAGTTTATAACCAAATTCTCGTTTTCACCAAAATTATTAATTTCCAAATCATCGAGATTTTCCAAAAACGATAAATTTTCAATTTGCGAATTTTGAATATTAATTCCACCTCTGATAATTTCGATCTTTGATAAACTTGATAAAATTTCAAGATTGGTGAAATTATCGAGTTGAAGACCTCGTAAAATTTTGGTGCAGTTTTGAAAAGTGGAAATTGAGAGATCGGAAATTTGATCTCCTTGGCAACCTGAAAATTAAATTAATTGAATTTTTGTTTTCTTTTATTAATTGAAATTTTGTTTTCTGAACTTCACTTACTTTCTGAAATATTATTTTCGTGTTTATCGAATTTTGGTTTTTGTAGTTTATTGAATTGAAAAAACTTTTCTCACTTCAAAAATTATTTTAACACTAAAAAACTTACCACAATCTTTCAAATTCCCGCTAAATCTCATATCCATAAGCGTTGCCAATTTTCCTTGATCACATAAACTTTCAGCATTCAATTTCGTATTATTTTCCACTCGAAAATCACATTCATTTCCCAAATCATCGCCTTCCAGATTAACTTTTGTCAGAAATCCAACGTCCGTTAAATTCTGATTGTTCAGAATAAAAATTCCATCTGGAAGAAAATAATTCAAAAAGATTTGAGTGTATAACAAACTTACAAGTGACACATAAAACTTTATTAATCGAAAAAAATGAAAGATGTTCAAAGTTCGAGTTTTCCACTCTTATCCCACCAGCCAATGATGTCATTTTTTTGAAAACGTTTTTCAACTGATTAGCTGATAAATCGGTATTTTCATTGATCACAATAATTCCATAAATAAAATTACAGAGTGGAAAAAATTCGACAGTTTTCGAATTGATTTCCGTGTGATTAAACATGCATTTTGGGTCTGAAAACTACTTTTTTTTGTTTTCAAAAAAAAAAAATTTTTGACCTACCAGCAGGATAAGAGTCCAGAACATATTTCAAGTCATCGCTTATATCATTTTTACAGTAGGAAATCGAAAAAATTAAAACTATTAATATTTTCATGATAAAAAATGGAAAACAAGAAGCTTTGGGTTGTAAAAGTTTTGAGAAAGCAAGAAATAAAAAATGAGCATTTAATGATTATATACTAGTGTACGAAGTTTGGTTTGTGAAAAAAATTATAGGGCGAGTTTCTCAAATTGAGTATGTATTTATTCTCTTTCCTCTACGCTCCAAGAGAATATGTTTTTCTGTTTCATCACTTTGAAAGAGGGTTTTGATATTACAAGTTCATTATACATAGGTTTTACGTTCAATTAATAAGGTAGAAACAAGTACAAAGCCTGGGGCCTATTGAAATCTAAAAATGCTAGAATAAAATCGGACCTACAAAATTTTGAGTTAGTAGCCTCGCAATGCCTAGATCCCTCCCCGGGAATGAAAATACAATCGTTTTTCTCGTAGATAATATAGTCTTTTACTTCCCTTATGAACCTCCCTGAATAATCTACAAGCGCCTGATAAGAAATATGACTTTTCCACAACGGGGCAACTAGCACGCCTCTCAATCTCCTTCTCCTCATAATTTTTATTAACTGAGGTATCAAAACTGGTGGAGGTACTAACCAAGGAAGTCCCATTCGCTCTGCTCTCTCGACGTGCTCGAAGACGTTGACTCCGCTCGTTCCAAACTCGGGATATCTAGAAAAATACAATTCCGTCTTCTTATTATTCGCATCTGCGAACCAGTCCACTTTTATCTCGCCCCACATTCTCTGTGCATGACTAAACACTCGCTCAGCTATTCCCCAGTCATCAAAATCAAAGTTTCTACTCGCTTCGTCCGCTTCTACATTTTTCTCTCTAGGAATCCACAAAAACGAGCTCTCACCGACGTTCTCCAAGTTATGCCACACTCTCTCAGCTAAAGAATGCAGCTCTGGCTTCATGGAGCCTCTTCTCAACACGCTCACGGCTGCCTGACTATCGACTAACACCTGAACTCTCCCTTTCAGGTTTGAACTTATTCTCGCCGAAGCCACTTCGACCGCGGTCAACTCTCTCCAAGCGCTCGACTGTTTTTCAAAGTTTCCGTCGCCGATTTCTGTCATTTTCCACAAAATATCCTGCCTCTCATTCTTTAACAAGCCTCCAATACCACGCGCAGAGGCATCGGTATACAGGAAAAAGTCGGGCATTGACTCAACTTCTAATAAATTTCTTCTCAAAAGTTCTGCGCCTCTCGCTCTCCAGAACTCAATCTCTTTTTCCTCACCTGGAGACTTCTTCTTCCTTGCCAACTTCGATTTGTTCTTCGTCTTCTGGTTTTCGCCGACCACCTGCATCATCCATCTTGCCTTCGCCACACCAATGTCACCTTGTTCCACAACGTGGAGCGGGGACACACATCTCGGCTCTTCTTCAACTCTGACGACGACACCTTCTTCCTCCAACCGCTTAATTTCTTCGTTGTTCACAATCATTGGCATAGTGCCCATATCCTTGGCATTTGTAGCAGCGAATGCTTCTCTTGCCATCTCTGCCTCCATAACCTTGGCCTCCATTTTGCCGAGTATTTCCCTGGCCTCGGAAAACACCCTCTGATCGAAACCACTGTTGTCTGCTTGGCAATGGATCTTGTCTTCTTCTTTTTACGTCTCCATGATAATCTCCACTTTTATTTCCAGCGATTCCAGTAAGGTTAGACAGGAGCAGAATCGACGTCATATCGGCTTGAGTCGAAGATCCTTCCGAATCTCCTCCAGAAATCGCCTTCAACGCGTCCAACTTCTCTTTCGTTTGTAGCAAATTCGGATCCGAGTCCAGCAACAACAACTCTCCGTTTCGAGACTTGATTAACTCCAGAACCTCTTTCACTCCATTCTCCAGATCATCGGCTGCCATCGCTTTACTCAAAACATTCTTTATTTTGAAATTAAAATCGATGTTCTTCTGGATCCCTTTTGACGAAACTTTTGGCGGCTTCTCCTCTTCCACTTCTTTCTCTTTCTTCTTCTTATCCACTCCTACATTGATAAGTTCCGCTACCTTGCCAAGAATTCTTCTCCAAACTGCTTCAACGCTGCTTTATCGATAGCATCAGCCATTTTTCTTCAGGATTTCGCCTAAACAATATATTAGTGAAAATTGACGGATAAAGAACCTTATTATCTCACTATTACCGTTTTCGACACAATTAAACAAACAGAAAAAAATAAAAAACTCTCAAAAAACACGAAAAACAGGCTACGACCTCGTTAAAATTGCGTAGAATGGTTTGAAAACTCCGTTTTCACGCCCGGCGGTCGTGAATCGTTGCGAGACCACAAGCCGCCGAAAGTCTATGCGCCTTTAACTCTCGCGCGCCTCTTTCTCCGTTCTTCAACGAAAAACATAATATTATCTGTTAGGTTTAGAAGGGAGACCTTTATTTTTTATGTTGATACTTTTTACAAATATTGATCAAAATATGTGTTTCCGTACAGAAGATTGTTGGAAACATCATTTTGCGGAGCACTGTAGAATGACCCCGCCCCCTCTCATTTGCAACTTTGAGCCAATTTATCCCGGTACCTGTGAAAGATATCAAAAAGTGAGCAACTGAGAAAATGTTTTTAATATTATTATAAACATTTTGTCAGTTGCTCACTTTTTGATATCTTTCACATGAAACAAGATAAGTTGATTCAATGTTGAAAGATATAGTGTCTAGGGTCTCGTCAACTTTGACCAGCTTTTTTTCGGTTCATGAAAAAGATATCAACAAGCTTTTAACAGCAACAATGTTTGCCTCAATATTATAAACACTTTATTAGTTGACAGTTTTTGATATAAGAAGGAGCGATTTCAAAAATTTCAATTTTCATCCCAAATCACTTCGATTTCCAAAATTTCTGTGAAGTTTCAGTAATTTCGCATTTTCTTTGCGTAGCGAAAAAAATGTTCAAATTTACATAAAAAACGATAAAGCCTTTTCGAGTAGTATTTTCTGTACTTGCAATAGAATTTTTCGATACACAAATATATATTTATTCGGTGATAAAAAAGAACACTTGATGCACAGAAATTGAAGGCTTCGAATTCTGGGAATTTGGAAATTTCACGTGATTTACAGAAATTGAACGTTTCAATTTCTTGGATTTTTCACAGAACTCGAACGGTTCGAGTTCTGGGATTTTGGAAATTCACGTGATTCACAGAACTCGAAGCTTTCAATTTCTGGGATTCTGGAAAAGCATGGGGGGGGGGGGGTAGGGATTCAAGAAGGGTCGTGATAAAGCAAAATGAATATTAGGAAACTATCGTTGGACTTGTTGTTTTCCATAAACCGGATCCTTCGAGCTTGAAGATAATTTTTCGATGTGAGCTCTCTGTTGGCTGAAAAACTAGTTGGAAATTCTAAGTCGCATTGGAAGGGTTGAAGTAAAAATATAAATACAAAGCTTAAAACTGACCTTTGTCACATACAGTACTTTTAAATGAAATTGATCGAGATAGTGGAAAATTTTTGTTCATAAGCTATAAAAGATTCCACGTGATGTTTTGAAAACTTGAAAAAGTTTTGAAAAATTGGCAACACGGATTTTTATTGATTTTCCGTCGAAGAAAACTGAGTTTTCTTCGACGTTCAGTTTTTCAGTTTTCTTCGACGGTAAATCATTAAAAATCAGTGTTGCCAGTTTTTTAAAACACCAAGTGGAATCTTTTATAGCTTTTGAACAACATTTTTCCACCATCTCAACCAATTTCATCCTAAAGTACTGTATGTGACAATAGTAAGTTTTGAATAAAATTTTTTTTTACTTCAACCCTTCCAATACGATTCAGAATTTTCAACTAGTTTTTCAGCCAACATAGAGCTCCCATGGAAAACAATTATCTTTAAGCTCGAAGGATCCGTTTTATAGAAAACAACAAGTCCAAGGATAGTTTCCTAATATTCATTTTGCTTTATCACGACCCTTCTTGAATCCCTACCCCCCATGCTTTTTCAGAATCCCAGAAATTGAAAGCTTCGAGTTCTGTGAATCACGTGAATTTCCAAAATCCCAGAACTCGAACCGTTCGAATTCTGTGAAAAATCCCAGAAATTGAAACGTTCAATTTCTGTGAATCACGTAAAATTTCCAAATTCCCAGAATTCGAAGCCTTCAATTTCTGTGCATCACGTAATTTTTCGCAAAATTGAAAATCAACAGAAATAATGTAATTAAAACCATATTTTTCATGATTGCGTTGAAATAAAGTATTTCTGGACAAAAACACATCGATTATGACATTTATCAGTAGTTTAGTATTTTCTGTGACGAATTACAGAAATTTGGACCATTTTTGTTTATGCCTTCGAGAATTAAAAATTTTGAAAATCGCTACTTCTTATATCTCAAATAGGAAACGAGATAATTAGGTTCAAAGAAACGATCTTTCCAAGGAGTTTCACAGATTTCAGAAGAAAAAACTCGAGTGTTATTTAAACGTGACGAAAAAAAATGCATTTATTTTTACAAAATAACTCCCTGTGGCATGAAAAGGATGTGAAAAAAAACTTTGAAATTATAGAATAAAAACCGCTGCGTGAAATGGTATGGACACCCACGACCCTAGATGGCCTATTGGCCTCAAGAAAAAAACATTATAAAGGAAGAGGAAAGTCAGAGGAAGAATCAGTTCTCAACTTCTCGGGGCTCCCTGGAGCTCTGGAGCTGGAGCTCTGGAGCTGGAGCTCTGGAGCTGGAGCTCTGGAGTTGGAGCTCTGGAGCTGGAGCTCTGGAGTTGGAGCTCTGGAGCTGGAGCTCTGGAGCTGGAGCTCTGGAGTTGGAGCTCTGGAGCTGGAGCTCTGGAGTTGGAGCTCTGGAGCTGGAGCTCTGGAGCTGGAGCTCTGGAGCTGGAGCTCTGGAGCTGGAGCTCTGGAGCTGGAGCTCTGGAGCTGGAGCTCTGGAGCTGGAGCTCTGGAGCTGGAGCTCTGGAGCTGGAGCTCTGGAGCTGGAGCTCTGGAGCTGGAGCTCTGGAGCTGGAGCTCTGGAGCTGGAGCTCTGGATGTCGACGATTGTTACGAAGTCGACGATTCAGGCGATGCAGACGATGCCGACGATGATGCAGATTATCTATGCGGGGGGGGGGGGGGGGGGCGTTCTGCTTAATTCAGACTAAAAATAAGAAAACTTTGAAGATTCTGGATAAAAACAAGAAGGAATCAATTTATTTGATCTTGCCGCTTTTTTCTAGGCCGGCTGTGTCGAAGGAATGAGTGAATTATATTTTCATGCATATTTACCTTCTTAATGGGTTAACGAATTGTGAATGTATTTTTTATCTTTCACGGGAACCGAGATACATGTGGACGAAGTTTACGGCTATGTCATTTCTAATAACATGAAGTTGGTAGGCGTTCTAATTTCCAGTGTAAAAATCTTCCTTATAGAGGCGTCTGTCCGTCCCGATGTCACTCTGTCGACTTTTGAAAAACTTGAAAATAAATATAGATTTACCTGACCCTTTAAAAAAGTATTTAAAGAAATGAGCGACCAACTAGTAAACAACTAGATTAAATTGCGCCGAAGGCGAACCAGCTTGCTGGTTTCTTACATGAAATAACTCGTAGCTTTCAGACGTTTTCAAATTTACGGTTCATCAGCATTCCTATATAATGAAACACGAACAAGTGAAGCCACTATCTGAATGCTTCTAGGAAACTCAGGCTCTTATGAACACTATGTTGAATATTCTGAGCAAATCTCCAGGATCGGATTCCTTTCAACAGCAGTTTTTTGCTTCATTTTAATTTATTTAACAGTGTAGGGTGTGACACGGAATTTCGGTTCCTATAAAAACCTATTAATTTTATTCCCAGTGTTTGGAATGAAATTTGCAACAATGGAAGTAATCTTATACCCGGTACAGCAACAACTGAAATTCAGGTTTTTTTTTGAAATATAGAATTTTAGAATACTTACTCTCACAACGCCGGTTATATTTATTACACAACAACGCGTCCATTGGATGACACAGAGATTCTTGTTTTTTGCTACATTGGAATCTATTCGTGCACAGTTTCCAATCTAGCCATCCAGTTTTTGTATAGATACTGGGCCATTCTTGAAAAAACTTTACTGAAAAGATAAAATCATGAGTATAAACGTTTCAGCGAATCTAAATTACGATTCTTCAAATGATGGAAATTCCTGATATGGATCGTATATTACTTGATGTTTGGCTTCCAATTGGAACTTATTATTCTGGCTACATAGATGATTACTCGAAAAATTATTTTGAACTGGACATGATTCAAAAGTTCGGTGTGGGTTTTTCCGGCATTTCTGGTTTCGTTCTGGTGGCTTATCATGCAAATGGGACCATCAGATTGCAATATATCTGTTGTACTATTAATATGACATTTATCATGTTGTTCCAGTATAGTATAATCTTGTACTGTGCTATTCGTATGTACTTTGAGATGAAATCAAAAGTGCAATTCTTCTCTCCATCCCTTAGAAACTTACACAGACAGTTCTTCAAGACCCTTGTTTTGCAAGTGGTCACTCCAACGGTAACCTTGTTTGCGCCAGTAACTGTATTGATCTATCTACCACTTTTTGATCTACAACTTGATCTACCGACTGGATTATCAACATCCGCTTTGGTCTTTTACCCAGCATTAGATGCAATAATAATAATCTATGTTGTACGAGACTATCGGAACGCCGTGAAAAGTGAGAGAAATCAGTTCGAATCCAACAGTAAATCATTTACAGATATTTTGAAAAGGTTGATTGATTGTTTACAGAATTGGGCTAATAGTTCAGATGCGGAGGAAATACCTACCACAACAATTCGTTCTCCATCAGTTTTAAATTAAAAATTTATGTTATTTTTTGTACATTATTTGTAAATTAGTTTTAGTGTTTCTATTCTAAATATAATTCATTTTATAGTATTCCAATTTAAAGAATTATTATCCAAGTGTTATAATTGAACAGCTAAATTTCATTTTTTCATCTAGTACATAATGCTTGTATAACTTTTTTGAAATATTAAGAGATTTCAATGTGTACATATAATCTTAATTTTCAATATAAAAACAGAATGATATCATTTAATTTCTAATTAGTAACACTCGAAGAGACAATTCTCGAACTGGTTTCTTTCGTAGTCTTTGGACCGTTAGAACGTATCGAATTCTTGTTGGCTCTTTTAAAATTGAACACGAACATCACGAATCTAAAAAAAATTATGGGAGCATTGATCATATTAGGTTGGTCGAAAAGTAATGCGCGCTATGTTTGGTGTTTCATAAATCGCCTGTGACCCAGGGCTTCGGCTTAATTTTTCTTTCGTTTGAAAGAGCATGTCATTAGCTTTGTTCTTGATTATGACTTTACTGTTTGAATTCATTTTTTAATTAGAAAAACATTCAAAAAGTTGTTCAATCAAAGTTTTCGCTTCCGACCCTTATTTTAGCATGAATTCACAAACAGATAGACTGCCGCCGAAGCTCACCGCATTATTGCTTCTGTATTTTGAGAAGGAGCTCTATCCGAAAATCAATATCAATGCTGATTCCAACGTTCCAATAAGGTCGGAATGACCTTGGAAAGCAAAATACACAGTTTTCTCTAAAAACCGTTGTCAACGATGTCTTGAGACCAGCAAGCGAACGGGGCTCGTGCCAAACCACTAACTGCTTATGAGAACAGTGCAATTACACCCTGATCGCAATTATGGAGAAACGAATAGATGCGGAAAAAAAGTGTTACACGAACTTTCTGATAAGGCGCATCTAAAGGGACAGTTGCCTCTTGCGTCGCACAACAATTATGGATTTTTTGTATCAATTTTTAATGTCGGATAAGAGGGGGACTCAGTATGACTGCATTGGAAAAAAACGGCAGTGGCTGAATCATGAAGAGGCACCGAAAGCAACAAGAAATCGAGCATGCACTCTGCTGTATGTCTGGTGGAATACGCGAGGTCTGATGTATTTTGAGTTTCTGAAGAATGGTCAAATAGTGACTGCCTGACAAAGGTCAGCTGAACCACGTGGACCTGGTGTTCCAACGGCAAGGAGTGGGCACATCCGCAAAGTTTCTGGTCCACGACAAAACTAGACCACACATCGCAAAAACCACCAAAAAAAATGTTCGGAGATGCGCTGAGAAAAGATTTTTATCCGCCTTACAGCCGAGATTTGGCACTATCAGACTATCACTTGATCCAACCAATGCCGCATCATCTCGCTGAGAAAAAGTTCAAGAATAACGAAAAAGTGAACATTTGGGTTCCGAACTACTTCGAGTCACAGCCAGTGGAGTTCTTCAACAGAGGCATCGAATCTTTGCACATGCGTTGCCAGTAAGGAGTCATTAGTGATTGAAAGTATCCCTTCAATTAATTTTGTCTTGTTTTGTTTTTTTCAATAAAAATAAAGTACATCAAAAACGCGCATTACTTTTCGACCAATCTAATATCTATCAACCCACCCGTCCACAGTATAGCTCATTGAATCCACTGCAAAAGTGGTCAAATGCATAAACGCATTATTTGGGCATAGCAGCTCAACGGAAATAATGTTCGTGCCACAGACCAGTGCAGTTAACCAGTCTTGAATACACGATTGGATGAAAAATCGAGTGGTTTGACGGCTCCGATTTCTAGCGACTTCCGATGAGATTCCACGCATTTTTTTCTGAAAATCTAGAATCTCCAGAAGTTTAGCGGGGAAAAAAATTACTTACTGCTGAAATGGCTAATTTGATACCCAACACGATGTTCATAGTGTTATTGAAAACAGCCAATGATACAATGATACATGCCACCCAAACAACAATTTTCTGATTACATTCGGTAAAATAAAATCCAACATGATCAAAAGTAAACGGAACAAAGCAGTTATCTTCAAAGCCGGGAATTGTGGACCACCAGATGCCAGCCAGCCAAGTGAGAGACAGAGCAGCTACAGTAATATGCGTACTGTACTTTGGAACTGAGGTTGGAGAGAACATGATAACGAGGAAACGGTTCACAGTGATTATCATTTGGGTCATGGGACCTTGGATAAACAGACCAAGTCCGAAAACTTGCTGAATTCGAGAATTGAAAAATGTGGAGCCGATGTGAGTGAAACTGAAAAGTTATTACAAACTTTTAGACAACTTGTCAGACTTGTTGAAGTAGGAAAAATTTTTCGAAAATTCCCGAGAAGTATTGAAAAAAAACAATTTCTTCGCTTTTTAGGAAAAATATTTTTGAGGAAGATTTTTGGAAATCCGCTATGCTGATAAAAACTTACAACAAGTTCACCGGTCCAATATAACACAAATATACCAATAGTGACATTGAATTTGAAACTGTTTTCGACGTGCACAAAATATAGAAACTCAATTTTTCCAAAGATAAAAAATGGAAAAATAATACAATGTTAAAACATAATCCAATAATGGAAACAGACATGACATGACCTCCAACAATCCGTGTAGCTAATTCACTAGTCCTATCCGGAGGCGAATAGTAGCATGGGAATTTCGGTTTTTTCGTTATCATGATCTGATGATTTTAGAAATCTGAAATCAAAGTGAGATTCTGAAAACAAAAGCCGGGAAAATTTATTTTTCGATTCTGTTGTATGTGCCCTGATTAGATTTCTTGAGTGCACAATGTACTCAAACGCCAATTAATAAGCAGTTAGGACTCGAAGTAAAAATATTTTTTTAGAGAAATTCTAGACAACATTTGAGGAAGACTCAAATTGTTATTTTCAAAGCAAAATCTAGACTTTAATGTTACAAAAAATGTTTTGAAAAATATTCAAATTATTTATTGACAAGGCACTTGGACTATTCGCCCAAGTAATTATACTTCCAGTAAATTTTTGGACCATATCTAAAAAAGTTAATTATAAAAAATTCGTCGTAGATTTTGTCACCCACTCTTCATGGCCAACCTGTAGTCCTGTACTACATACATCACAATAATTGCATCCGTACCAGGAAAAATCGATAAAGTTGATAGAAATATTCCAAATGGTAGATCAAGTTGTAGATCAAAAAGTGGTAGATAGATCAATACAGTTACTGGCGCAAACAAGGTTACCGTTGGAGTGACCACTTGCAAAACAAGGGTCTTGAAGAACTGTCTGTGTAAGTTCCTAAGCGCAGGAGACAAGATTTGCACTTTTGATTCCATCTCAAAGTACATACGAATAGCGCAGTACATGATTATACTGTATTGGAATAACATGATAAATGTCATATTAATGGTACAACAAACATTTCGCCATCTGATGGATCCATTGGAATCATAAGCCACTAGAATTAAGCCAGAAATGTTGGAAAAATCCGCACTGAACTTTTGCATCATTTCCAATTCGAAATAGTTTTTCGAGTAATCATCAATTTGGTCGAAATAATAAGTTCCAAGTCCCCATTGAAAGCCAAATAAAATAGAATATAACATACAGATGAGAAATCTCGATCCTTTAAAAATCCAAAGCTTTTTTCACTGAAAAAATTTAATTTGAACAAGTTTAACATTTCAGTTTTATCAAACCGCTTACTCAAAAATCGCCCAATATCTGTACACAAATTGAACGGCCAAGTTTGAAATTGTGGATGAATAGATGCCCGAGTAGAAAACGAGCAGCCAACTAGTCGCGTTTTGGCTCAAACGGACGGCTTGTGGAGTAGAAAATATAACCAGAATTGTGAGAAAAGGCATTCTAAAATTAACCTGTGTTTTGGAAAATAGTAAGTTTGGATTATCTGACAAAAATGGGATTTTTCAGCGCTTTTCAGTAAAAACGGAATTGAGTTTGAAGCTCAACAAAACCATACCGGGTACAAAATCATTTCGAGAGTGGCGAAAATAATTCCAAATACTGGAAATATTAAAAGGAGATGTTTATAACTTCCGAAATTCCTAGTCACTTCGAAGTTTGTTAAATAGATCAAAACGGCACAAAAAATCGAGGTAAAGAAAAACCCGAATTCGGAAATATTCTTAGCTTTTTCAGCGTAGTGTATATATGAAGTTGAGTTATTGAAAGGCATGAATATAAAAGATGGTTGATATGTTTTGTGATTATTTTTTGATGATACGCATAACATATAGACAATTAAATTACGGAAATTGGTTTTTCTTCCGTGAAACTTTTCTTTGATTCTAATAAATGATTGTCTGTTGGTTGATACAATGACATTTCTGTTCATCAAAAACGGTGTAAATTTACCAGCCTAGAATTTTTTGATTGTCTATAAATTTGAAACAAACTAAACAAGGTTAAGGCGTCAATTTTGTAATTGAAGCGATACAATTGGCATATCTGATCGAATTCGGCAAAAAGCTTTTGAACTGTAGTTTAATATAATCTTTATTCTCTTTTATACCGTGCAATTAACTTTGTTTGAACATACAAAAAAGAGAAAATTAAATAAGAAGTTCAACTTTGATTAATATAAATTTTATATTTTTTTAATACCAAAAAAATTAATACATATTTTCGTTCCAAAATACCTAACTATAATTTATTTCCCTATTACTAATATTCAATTTGCCTATACTGAAAAACAAACCAATTTCAGCGTCTACTATAAATTGAGTCATTATAACACGATTTGCGGACTGAGAGGCTTTTCTGTTACAAAAATCTATTTAACGAAAAGTTTTTGAACTTGAACTAAATCCAAAAAAAAAACTCGAAAAAATGTCTGATTGCGAATTCAAATCAGAATCTTCATTCGTATGCTCCTTTTACACTTTGCTCCGTGATTTTGTGAATTTTCTTCTAGAATTCGAAATTCATATCGCTGCTGGATGTATTTTAATAAATTCGTTTCATATTTTAGTCTTAACCCGAAAACCTATGAGATCATCTTCCATAAATATTATTTTGTGTTTTCTAGCATTATCGGACTTGTATTCCCAATTTTATATCATTGAGCAGAAAATTAAAAACTATTATGAGAACTTGGAAGTTTCTTGTTTGTCTGGAACTTCTTATTTTTCCGTTTTACTGGATATTTTGCTAAAATTACTTCGAGAATTTTCTCGAAGATCTTCCACGTGGCTCAGTTTCAGTATTGCTTTGATTCGAACGCTAGTTATTCAGAATCCAATGAATCCGAAGTTCGAAAAACTTTCAAATGCAAAATCAGGATTTATATTTATCCTAATTATCTGGCTTATCAATCTAGTTATCACAACTTTTGGATATTTTCAATTCATAATTTTATTCGAAAAAATCCTTGATGACTGTGGCCCGAAGCCTAGAAAGTCGAAAAGTTATTTTTTTGGCTTTTCAGAATTTTTCATGGGAAATGAGGAATTGGTCTATAAAATTTACACCGACTTTGATGCAATTATTTCAAAAGTAGGTTTGAAAATAGTTTTTCTCCAAAGTTTTTTTTTTCAGTTCATTCCATGCATTTTATTTCCAATTTCCACTATATTTCTAATTTTGGAAATTCGTAAAAATGAGATAAATAGACGAAAATTTGCAAACAATTCAAGCATAATTCTGGAAAAACTACAAAACTTGTGTTATGTCTAACTTTAACATTTTTCATTGCCGAGTTCCCATTGGCTGTAATTCCAGCCTTGGAACCTTATTATTCGGAAGCATATGGATTACTGTAAGTACTTAGATAAGATTCAAAATTAAACATTGAGATAACCATTTCAGAACGCTTCTTTATTATTTTAACTTTTTATTCACAATTATTCTATCCTTTAATACATCCAGTCACATGATAATTTGTCTTTTAATGTCTTCTCAATATCGAGAAAATGCGAAAAATGTGATCTGCTGTGGTTTTAATAATATAAAGGTAAGATCGATTTTTTCGTTTAAAAATGTGACATTAAAATTTTCCAGAAAAACAAGCCCAGTGTGGTTTCTGTGAGAACTTCAAATCAGATGGATTAGTAAATTGATTCGTTCTGTGTTTTCCTTTTTTTACATGATCCAGTACTTTCGTCAAATATTGGAATAAATTAGTCAAATATTGGAATAAATGAAAATACAAAAAAAGTGTTTCTCGTTCAAAAGATTTGCAGTTCCAAATAAATATTTATTACACCAAGTATAAGAGAATCGAAGCATTTTGAAATACTAAAAAAATCACAAACTATTTCTTCATGATGTACAGAACACTGCCTGGCGAACAATTCATAGCTTTAACTTCCACATCATCGAATCCGCATTGATTCATCAGAGCGACCGCCCGTTTTCGTCCCCACATGGATCCACAGCACAGAGCTTCCGGAGCATTGCTGCCAACTGGAAGACAATGGAGCATTGATCCACCATACTTCATCGCCGCCATTTTTCCAAAAGTTTCACGGTCCGTGTGAACATTGCTGGAGCCGTCGACGTCAGTGACAACCACCCATCCGTCTGGTTTGACGACGCGATGAACTTCCAGCATGCACTGGAAAATTAAAGATTTACGAATTTTTGAATTCTCTTTTTGAATTCTCTTACCAAATCCGGTCTCATCTGATCGTGACAAGACCCAAACAAGAGAACCAAATCGAACGAATCCGTGTAGCTCTTCGGCATACTTCCAGCATCTCCCACAACAAACTCCACGTTCTTAAAAGCAGTACCATCTGATTTCTTCACCAATCTAGCCGCTTCTATTGCTTTCTGAGTGATATCCAATCCAACGAATTTGGAGTTTGGAAAATGCTCGGCGAGCAAGCGAACATGAAGACCTCCACCACACCCGACATCAAGAACACGGATTCCAGCTTCTAGTTTTTCTTGAATTCCATGACCAACATCTGGGATCATTGAAGAAATCACATAACCCTCGCTGGTAGTTTTCGCAAACATTTGTTGCATTTCTTCAAAATCCGAGTAGACCGCGTAGTCCAGACCGTACGGCCCATCTTTTTTGAAACATTCGATTAGATTATCGATAGGGCGGAGAATAGTGGTGAGCATGGCGTTGTAGATGAGTGGAAAGTTGTCAGTGGTCAAAGACTGAAAGTTATACAATAACGGAAAAAATATACATTATTTTGATTTTTCATTGGAAAAATAAAGAAAAGACAAATTGAAGGACTCTGGAATCCTGGCCACATCCCTTCGTGCTTGACTTCATAAATATTTAAAGATATAGACAATTTACCTCCAAGTTCTCCTTGGCAATCCAGAATTTTTCCTCCTCATTAACTTCAAGAACATGCCCACATGCCAAAGTGTTACACCATTCGCGAACGTATCTGAAGAATCTTTTTTACACATTTAAACCCCTTTTTTGAAATTACCTCTCCTTGCATCCAGCTTTTTCAGCAATTTGCTCCGGAAGCACCGGATTTTCTGGGCTGGAAATTTCAGCGATCGCCTTGAACAAATTCAGACGGTACCCAATGTTGACAGCATTAGAAAGCACATTTCCAATTGCCATGTCCTAAAATTTGGAAATTTTGAATTTTTTTTCAAAGACTTTGAATTTCAACTTACAGTAAGACGGTCCTGCATTGTTAGTCAAAAAAGTAGTTGAGCTTTTAATAGTTGAGTAGCTTGAGCACAATCTGAAATTTTCAAAAAATGGGGTCTCTTTTTATACCAATGTCCCCAGACATGTTGTGTCCTCGCCTAGCGACTCTGCGTCTCTGCGGTTTGTGCAGTCTCTTTGTGTCAACTTGTGGTTTGTGCCCTGTGATTAGTGTTGGAAGAGGAAATACAGGGAAAGTTATTTCTGAAAAAAGGCTCAAAATTTCAAAACTCAAAAAACAAGCTGAAAAAAGAGATAAATGGAATTATAAAGTCTTACAAGATAATTGCCAGCTCAGCCGGCAGCGGTACCTCCAATATTCAGTCCTCAATTTCATTTTTCACAGGGAATTCGATTCACAGAATTTTGAGATATTTCTCGAAAAAACTGTATTAGAAGAGCCGGCCATACTATTGTTTCACTGAACCTTCAGAGGGTCCTTCAATTACAGGGAGATCTTCTATTTTTGCGGCTTTTTTTCTAAAATATTTCATCGAAAAATTAGTGAGTTCTCGTCCAAAAATCATGAAAACGCATCAATTCCATCAAAATCGAGCAAAATGTTGAGCAAAAAAGTGTTTCGACAACGTCATATGAAAACACTGAAAAATAACTGAAATTTTTAATTACAAACAACGCATTTTGATAGGGGCCCTTCTAATACAGGTTATATGGTATATTCTCCATGTCTTTTAAGAATTGTTATATATTAGATCATTTTTTTCCAATTTTTTTCATGTTCCGAGTTTTAAATTTCATGATCTCCAGTTGCATGTTCATTACAATGAGTACATTTCTATAATGAGTAAATTTTTATAATTGAAAATATAATATAAAATAGTATAGATTCTCAAATATTCATTTCAAAACTTTTCATTAAAGCTTCAATTACATTAATACTTAAACTTGAGCATATCCTTTAAAATCGGATCTTGCACTTCATCAAATACAGTAATCTCGAGTAGCGTCGTCACCAACTCATGCACTTCTGTCATCACATTTCCAACGGCTAACACGATTTCCGAGACTCTCAACATTGGATCCTCATGTCCCTCATCCGTGCATATTAATAATAGTGTCCGGAAAATATCATCTCGTTGACGAGCGGAAATTGCCTTTCCCGAGTCTTGTAGTTTGTAGTAGTCTGGAAAATTTGATTTTTGAAAAAGTATCCGATACAGAATTTCGAAGCTTACTGTAGTGCCAAATAGTGAGCGCCTTGAAAAGCGAGAATTCGGAAATTGACATTTTCAGCTGACCCAGTGGCACATTCACATTTTTCCATTGTCGTCGAATCATTGAAATCATGGACCTGTGAAAATTGAAGAGTTTTGAAAAGTTTTCTTCCGCGAATTTCATTGTAGAAATGAAATTGTGTCGGGAAATCGAAAAAATCGAACCTGGTGTGAGGTTTGAGATTTTTGAAGTGTGGAACAGTTAACGGCTGAGCTATGTGATCCGAAAAAGCAAAAACTCACCTATACATTGTAACATCTTCTTTACTATAATCTTCTGTACTTGTATCCAATTCTAGCGACGGTAAAGGGTCCATTCTCACAAATTTGGCCTCTCGAGTCACAAAAAAAGCCTCGTTGGGAAAGATTCTGAAAAAACTTCTTGATTTTTCGAAATGATATTTTGTACTGTAACCGCTCAAATAGAAGTTCAATTATCTCAATTTCCGATTTCTCTCAAAATTTAGCAAATTATGTACAACATTGCTGGTAATATGGCAAACAAACACGCAAACAAACTGGTAATATTATACCACAATTTTTATAAATTTACAAAATTTTGATTCTTCTTACTGAAATTGAAATAATTGAGCTTATAGATCTATTATTGAGGTAGACTTACACCTGACTATAATACGCTGGATCTGCTAAAGCATCTACTGCAGCCGCCGTTTGGAACAGTACAGTTTTTTCAGACTTGTTCAGCATGTGAAAATCGGGAAATTGATTCACATAATCCAAAATCATCGTGTAGTCATTGCGATTTTTAAATCGATACGATCGATGGTCGAATGGAAGGAGATCGGATTTTTCGAAAGGCTAAAACAAATATGATACATTTTTGTCCGATTTCGAATAAAAAAACTCACACAAACACATGGAACATCAAACATGGCTGCCAGGGAAACATTAGCATATGTTAAACGCCTTCTCATATTCAAACTAACAAACTTTTCCATATATAGCGAAGCCAGACTATATAATCGTTCATCTTCGTCGATTCTCGGATCCAGCGGAGGTGATATAGGTACTAGGAGTACGGTATTATCCAGGTGGTTCGGGATTTGAATGTATTCTTGCAGCTCGTGCATTTCCATGATTTCCACGTCATCTCGTAGAATTTTCGTTGGTGGAGAATCATCCCAGTATGGAGCTGGAGGATTTGAATCATAATCTGAAAAATAATTGAGTCTTTGATTGATGAAATTGAACTTACAATTTGAAGTTGTTGGCTGCTGCTCATCCATAGTTCGCTTGTGGCTTTGGTTCTCTGGAGACCTTTTGAAGCCTTGGACAACTGAAATCATGAAATTTTGAAAAACTTATATTTTTTTGGAGTTTCATGTGAGCTTATTTAGAGTTTTCAGACTTTTTTAGAAATTTTAATTTAAAAAAAAACACTCACTCTCTTCTTTCATCCCAGCTCTAAAACATTTCGTCAGCCGGCACTGTCTACAATTTTGACGAAAAGCGTGATAGATTTCGCAGTTATTCGTACTGGAACATTTATAAGCCAAGTTCCCCCTCACAGTTCGACGGAAGAACGCAGCACAGGCCTGGAAACAACACTCTGTTGGATAGGAAAAAAATGAGACAAAAAAAAAAGAAAAAAGTTCTGGAGGTATGGGGAATTGAACCCCAGCCCTCTCCCATGCTAAGGGAGCGCTCTACCACTGAGCTACACAGGTCCTGGGCGCGCATACGCATAATGGATGGGCGACGGAGGACGCGCCGATGAATTGGGTACAGGGAAAGGACGCCGGTATGGGGCATATACGGGGCATATGGGGCACACCGCCGCCGCAAAGCATATCCTCGCCTGGCTTGCTGGCACTCGATGAAATGAACTAAAACGTTGGTTGGGGGTTCCTAGAAGTATCAGTTAAGTTCTATTGTGATGTGATTTTGTTCAGGTCTTCCGATTTCGTACTTTTCCTTTATTATTCCATATTTTTTTATATTTTGAACGACATATTACTGATTTTTCGAAACTCAATGTTTTGGTTTTGAAAAAGACTTATGGCAGTTTCCATTTAAATTTGATATTCAATCAAAAACAGAAGAAAATGGGAAAAAAATTCGCTAAAAATTGTTTTTTTTTTCATTTGTTCAAAAAATGTCTCAATTTCACTTTTTTGAAATTGCATGAAAAATTGAAAATTTTTATAATTTACACTTTGTAATTATTGTATACTTACCAACTTACCTTTTACTCCACCTGAAAATACGATTTTTACAATAATTAAAAAGTGAAATCAAAAAATCTCAATATCACCTATTTTGGCGAAAAACATAGCAATTAACGAGTGAAAGACATGTTTCTGCAAGAATTCAGGGATTTTTTATTTTGCCATAACTCTTTTTCACAAAAAACATCGAATAATCGAAAAACCAGAAATGTAGGCTCGAATTGACGAAAAATTGACAAAGTTGCCGGTGTCACAGGTGGATCGCGCAGAACACTATATGGGCGCATTGTGGCCCATACTGTGAATGCGCGCATATAGCGTTCGTTATGCCCTCTATATGGGCTGGTGGTTGCTGGTGGGCGGTGGTGGGCGTCGAGTAAGCAGGGAAAGCATATGCCCAGTCCGTGCTCGCATATAGGTTCCATATTCCCTCAACATTCTAATCGAGTGCAAACCAAACTGTAAACTTCGATCCCATATATATCATTTCCTGTAAAAGATATCAGAAAATGATCAACTGACAAAATGTTTATTATAATATCAAAAACATTCTGTCAGTTAACAACTTTTTGATATCTTTCACAGGAACCCAGATAAATTAGCTCAAAGTTGAAAGTTAAAGGGGAAGGGGTGGATCATTCTATAATGTGTCTTCTAGGAAACCTGATGGCATTTACAGAACATGTAAATGCTTTTTGCAGAAATAATAGCTTGAAACTCTTCTCTTGATATTCTCAGGATAAAATTTTTGGTTCCCTAAGAATTGTACAGTGCGTTTCAATATTATACGTCCACTCTTGTTTTTGGCCGTAACTTGAGAACCGGTTGAGATATCAATCTAATTTTATTAAAATTGAATTCAGAGCAACAAATTACATCTAGAAAACCATTTTTGAGAAAAAATATTGAAAACTACTCGAGATACAGAGAAAAATCTGAAAATGTGACATTTGCAACCGTTTCAAAATTATACGTCCACTCTCAGAATCAATGCTAAAATAGAGAATAAAAAATATTTCAATACTTTGTGGATGAACCTTTACCAGCAATGACATCGAAGAGACGATTTGGCATCGATTTGATAAGGTTTTGGATGTATTGGGTGCTCTTAGTCTTGAACTCCTGCTCCAGCAGACTCCACTCAGCAATCAGCGCATCCCGAAGCTCTCCAATACTAGCATACTTCTTTCCATGGCGGTAAAGACGACGAACCAGCTCGCCCCAAACATTTTCCATCGGATTCAGATCTGGAGAGCAAGCTGGCCATGGCAAGACATCGATGTTTTTCGATTGGAACCAGTCCAAAGTGGAGCGGCTGACATGGATTGCAGCATTATCTTGCTGAAAAATGAACTGGCGGCGACTGAATCGACGACGAAACGGGATAAGGTGGTTCTGGAGAACGTCTTGGTAGTCTGTGGAGTTCATTCGACAAAGCGAGCTCCAAGTATCCAGCCGAAGCAAATGCTCCCCATACCATCAAACTGCCTCCCCCGAAATTCCTTTGGCAAAAACGGCTGGATCCTTCCGCAAGTCGTGCCAGTACGATTTGAATCCGTCGGGTCCATCAAGATTGAATTTTTTCTCGTCCGAAAAAATTACCTGTAAAAGATAAGATAATTTGGATAGATAATTTTAAATTTAATACCTTATCCCAGTTGGTTCCCATGTTTTTTCGAGCGAAGTCGAGACGGCGAGTTTTGTGATTGTCAGTGAGCTTCGGAGCAGGGCGCATGACTGCTCTTTTGATGTTTGGATCATCCTTAAGAGCCCTCCAGATTGTACACTTGCTCACTCCAAGATTCAGCTCTTTTTTGATATCATTACAAGACTTCATGGTGTTTGAAGCCACACGAACGATTGATCGTTTGGCTCTTGAATTGAGTTTTGGAGGACGTCCAGCCTTGTTGGGTTGATTGTTGCGGGTCCGGTTCGATACAAAACGATTAATGCAATCGTGGGAACGATTTAGATGTTTCGCGATAGCCCTGTTGGTCCAACCAGAGGTTTTGAACGCGTCGATGAAGGCTTTTTCAGCATCAGTGAGCAAATGGCCACGAGACATGTTGAAAAGTGGAGAAAAACAAGGAAAAGCATAATGAAAAAAGTTTCTCACATTGGCAGCAAAAAACAAAACTAAATTCAAGCTTTTCCGGCTCCGCCAAAGGTCAAGATCGACATACCTTTGAAGTGGACGTATAATTTTGAAACGGTTGCAAATGTCACATTTTCAGATTTTTCTCTGTATCTCGAGTAGTTTTCAATATTTTTTCTCAAAAATGGTTTTCTAGATGTAATTTGTTGCTCTGAATTCAATTTTAATAAAATTAGATTGATATCTCAACCGGTTCTCAAGTTACGGCCAAAAACAAGAGTGGACGTATAATATTGAAACGCACTGTATTTATGACTGTTGACTATCGAAAAATAGTGTTATCGGGGGAAAAGTAGTTAACCAAGACAGATGATCAGAAAACATATACAGCTGCTGGATTTTAGGCTTGGAATTCCATTAAACTTGATGGGAATTTTGTCTTTGAAAAGTTCAACATTTTCTGCAGGCTGTGTTGCGACGTTTACTCCAAAAAAACCTGTCAAAATCCGAATTTTATGTTACCATAAAATGACCTTATGCTCTGCCTGCTTATTTTACATCACAATATTCTATATTTCCACATGAATCGGATTTTTTTGCCCATTTAATTTGGTAATTCCGCTGAAATAGTACACAACGACGCTCCGATATACCGCATCCCGCGTTGTTTACCTACACTCAGATTTTTGATGAATTTGCAGATATTTTTGCCTATTTTTGTTCGATTTTCTTTGATTTTTTACGATTTCACAGGTTTTTTTTTACAAATTTTTCACTTGCGAACTCATTTTCATCGCTTCTAGCCATTTTCCTCGGGTTTCTACACTTAAATTCCTGAAGAAATAATTATTTTAGGCCCACCGATGGATTCCAACGCCTCGCATGTCTACCTAAAGCTAAAAACCAGAAGTTTTCTGCGGATAGCTACAGGTAAGAAACATGCATGACATTCAGTTTCTCACTGACTTTATTTTTCAGAAGCGGAGCTCAGAATTCGGTGACAACTAAACCCTTCACCGTCTCCACTGGCCACACGACAAGTGAAAGAAACAGCACCGACAGTAAAACGAAAAGGTTAGCGAATTTTGTGTTTGAAACGCTCGAAAATAATTCGATAAAAGAACACCTGCGAAATTGTTCAGACTGAACTTGCAAAGAGCATTCTACTCTTGTTTCTATGACTCCAGTTCTTCGGAGCTTTCGAAACATGATGAAAAACGTGCCAACACGAAATTCAGCTCTCTCAATAAATCATGTATACGAATTTGCAAAAGCAGATTCGTTTTCTAAGTACTAGGCTTGACAAATTTTCGCTGTGAATAAGTAAAACTATCGAAAATTTTCAAAATATATTCAGTTTTTCAGAAAAAAAAACAACCAAGAGCAACTTCTCGATTGGACTTTCGTCTAATGGATATAAAGAGGGAGAAATGCGACGAAAATATCGAGTCCAAGAAGCCAGGAGACAAAAATGTTAATTTTTTATTTTTATGTTCTTTTTACTTCATTTTTTGTCATTTTTATTAATTTTCAATAAATTTGTACTGGTAAACACTATTTTCAGTTCACAGAGAATATTAGGACCTGGGGGAGGGGAGGAATTGCTGGGCGGCGGCGTGGATCCTATATGCTTTAGTCGGCGCGTGGATCCTATATGCTCGCATAATGCGCCCCTATATGTTTCGTATTGCGAGCATATACTGGACCGCGCGATCCCATATAACGTTCCTCGCGATCCACCTGTGGTGGATTTACGGTAAACAATTGGCGCATCCGGGATTTCGGAGTGTTGTAGTCGGCATACCGTATCAGACCCACATCGCACACATCGCTGACCCACCTAGAATCCATCTAGGATACGCGCGCATTCGGAACACTCGATTCAGCCTCTCCCGCATCGCACACATATGAGACTCATCGCAGCTCATTGTTCGCGATATGTGTCAGACGGACTTCTAGAGGATCGCATATGGATCGGGTCCTTTATGCGCATCATCGCCCAGGACCTGTGTATACCCCCGCACGAGTGACTTGCGACACAAGACTCAGACATTACGACGACAATCGGCAACTACATTGTAGTCAGTCGACAAACATTTTACACAGAAACAAACTCACTTTACATGCATGTGCTCCAAAATGCAGATTAGTGGCGTTTGGGGAGTCGCAAATTTTGCAATTCCGCGACATATCTGGAATTTTCGAGTAATTCTACAGAATAGAAGAGAAAAATATTAAAAACACTTGAGACACTAAAGAAAGTGAATCAATGAAAGAGGACACAGAGTGTAAAAGAACGGCGAGGGGCGAGAGAGTGTGTGAGGGATGGAGACGTAGGAAAAATGAGAAGTTTCCCAAGGACACTTGCTGTCATATCTTATCTTGTGTCTCCAGGTCGAATGCCGTATGTTTTTTATGATCAAAGGACGAAGGTCACTGAAAGACATCTAATCTTTGTAGATAAAATTTTTTCCTGAAGATTATCATATTTTCAGAATTAAAGATATTCCAAAATCTTTAGACATATCTCATAATGAAACATCCAATAGAATTGCAACCTAATCGTAAACCTATTTTTCTGGGTATCTGTAAGGGATATGATAGTTTGCAAACTGTAAAAATATTAGTGATATCATGACAAACACTTTACAGTTTGACAGATTTCTCATATCTCTCAAAGGAAAAGAGATAATTCAGCTCAAGCTGCCATCATCTTATATTATCATGTGACCAAATCTGAGTGAATGTTCTTTAGTCTTAGGATGACTGACATTTTCGCAACATGACAAAAAATAGTGCACAACGTTTGTAGTTGTAGTCTTATGTATAGTTTGAACTTCAGGCATCTGATATTGAAAACTTTTTGAAAATAAAAAAAATCGAACCATAATCTTTATTTTTATTATACAAACTGATTGAAAAAGTTAAAGCTTATCGACTGATAGGATATACTTTGGATCTATCAAAAAATTTTTTTAAAAATTGAATTTCAGAAAGGTAAGTCGAAAAAATGAAGAGATATTGCATTATACAAACATCATGATATCCAGAAGTCCAAATTAGAAATTCTTTAGGATTTTCTAAATGTATAAAATAGGCAGAGTAGACTGATGATAAGGTGATTGACTGAAATTTCGAAAATAAATGCAAATTCGCTCCATTGACAACTCACCCAGAATACAAATGTGAATAGTGACACGTGACAAAGTAGCGCGTATTCTAGATTTGTCACTTTTCCGAATTTTTGTCTGGTTAACAGGTGATATCAAGATGAATATTTCAATGCAGAGAAGTTATTGGATGATGATTCCGATGGTCGTCAAAAAAAATTATGAGAACTTTACGGAGCTTTTTGAAGAGACTGAATTCGCTTCGGAAAACAATGAATGCGAAAATGATTTAAGCTCCAAAGACAGTGAGTTGTTTTCTTCATTATTTTCAAAATTCCAATAACTGATTTCAGTACTCGTCTTTGTCTCGTTTATCCTTATGCTCCGGTTATCGCGAACCCAAGTTAAAATGGCAATCGCAATCGTCGAATATTTCCTAAAATGTTCTCTGCCTTTCACGATCAGTCCAGCTACTTTAATTCAGATCATAATGTCATTTTCAGGCAAAAGAAGTGTTCGATGAAGTAAACCGCCGACGTATGAGTCTCGGCTTTTTTGTCCAAAGTGTTTATGTTTCATACCGAAAGGACAATCATGCTCAAATTTTGGTCAGCAGCAGAAATTCGAATGCGGAGCCCCGAATGGAACGAATTCATCAAAGATTCATCGTCAATTTAGTATGTTTTCCACTGAATTTTTTGTTCGTTGACTTTGGAATCTTTTTCCAGTTATCGAGCTCTTGTGCGAAATCAGCCGTTCAAGTCTACATCATTTTCGGATCCGGGTCCGCAGAAGAGTCAAATGCATTTGATGAAATTTCGAAAAAGGAGAAATACTAGAGGATTTTGATCTGTATGCTTATTCATGATTCGAGGAGGCCAGAGCTACGTGCTCATAGAAGAATATGGATCAGCAGCTGCTCTAAGACTTGATTTTTCAACGTTAGCTCGGAACACGCAACGTTTGGCTAGGTCAATCAAACTTTTTGCTGACAATAATTGTGACTCTCTTATTGTTAAATGCACTAACCTAGTTGGTCTCACATTGATCCCCACTTCTGATGTTTTATCCCCTTTCCTATCAATCCAGTTTGATGGAAACACTTATTTCTGCCCCATTCGTTACTCCCCCATTGTTGTTAGATAAGAATAATTTCTTTTGATAATAAAAACTTATATTTTGTTAATATTCTCATTTGATTTTCATGAAAAAGGCCCTGGAAGAGGAAGGGGGAAAGAACAGAAAGCATTTACCTGCCGGCGTGAAAGTCCATGCCGGCAAGCTAAAAAAAGTCCCTGCCGCTGCCCTGCGGCAGGAACTTCCCTTAACCCCCCGGCGGGAACTTTATTCTTGTCTGAGTGAAATTCTGAAATTCTGAAATTCTGAAATTCTGGAATTTTGAAATTCTGAAATTTTAAAATTCTGGATATGTGAAATTCTGAGATTCTGAGATTCTGAGATTCTGAGATTCTGAGATTCTGAGATTCTGAGATTCTGAAATCCTGAGATGCTGAGATTCCAAAAAATTCTGAGATTCTCTTAGAAATTTCGAATTCTCTAAAATCTAGGTACATAAAACAAAAGTTTATTCCACAATTGGTTCAACACTAGAATTTTGAAAAATCCCATTTTGTCGTTTTCGTCTCCATAGCGTAAAATAAGTGGCATAAATAAAAACATATCTTAAAAATAAAGAATCTTGGAATCCCAAAACACATTCCTCATATTTTTGAGACAACTTGTCCAGATTGAACAAAATTATGTATAAAATTGAATTTGTCTGAACATATAATTTTTTTAAATTAAAAAAACCAATTTTCCACAAACCCAAAACACTAAAAGATACATGCCAATGTGCACCATTTGAGCGTATTCAGAAATTCCCAAAGTATGATTTTGGAATTGTACCGTAAATAATTTTTTGAAAAATCCCAAAATTGTGATAGAAACTGTGAAAAATCGGATTTTATCTAAATTGATCACACGCCCATCTTTCAGATTGAAACTAAAATGTAAACATTGTTTGTGAATTTCCAGATTATTCACATGAATTTCTGGAAATTTCAGCATGTCTGAAATATGACGTGCCAAGTCGAGAAAATAAATTAGGAACACAATTACACCCAAAATTTTTGTTTTAGATCCTCGAAAGAGGCAAAATCTAGAATTCGAATCAATGTTTATATTCAGAAAAATAGAATACGTCATGCTCATGGAATATGGAAATGTTGGAAGCACAAAAAATGATATCACATTTACATATGAAAATATAAAAACGATAATGTATAAAGCTTGAATATTCAAATGCATAAACTGAAGAAAAATATCATATTTTATACACAAAACTAGGATCAAATCAAATGGTACAGTAATCAGAGATAATTTATAGAAATGAGGGAAAAAATTGGTGATAATGTTTTTCTTCCTAATTACTAAATCTAGGAACAAGATTACACTAAATAGTGTGTAAAAGCACATAAAATCTATAGATTCATTAATTGGCATTGTTGAACTTTGTACACGAAGAGATTCATTGACTTTGGGAAATCGGAATATATCGGTTTCCATTTTTGGACAATTTAGCTAGCTAAAATGAAAAAAAAACAAGAAACAACTTTTTCATCTGCATTTTGACGCCTTCTGGTTCCTGATTTTTCTTTCTAAATTTAACTTTAAAAACATTCGTAGGCTACATCTAAATGCTTTATTTGTAATCAGTTTATCGGCTGGCTGGAATTTCATTTCTAGAAAAAACAAATTTCCTGAATGACGCAAGAAATAAGAAAGATGGCAGAAGATAAAACGTCGATTTGTACAATAAAACATCATATCCATGTCGTTGAAACCAGGGCATTTTCAAGCTGTATGGGGTCATATGGTGAAATGGTCCGTGGCTGAAAATTATTTCAGATTTCTATTTTTATTCAATTATTTGAAACTCACTTTCCAACAAACTCAGTATACTTGACTACCAACTCTTTTGGCTTGATTGGCTGGTTCCGTACCACATCTGCCACATGTCCAGCATTTTTTCGAAAACTGTCATTGTGCAAAATTTTGTGAAATGCTGATTTCAATTTATCCAAATTTCCCAAATCAGTTTTCAGGAGAGTTACTGACGTTCCTAGGCGACTCAACATGTGGGAATTGCGAAATTGATCAAAGAATATTGGGATCTTAAAAATATTTCGATTTGTTATCAGTTTTTAAGTTCCTGATTCTTCTTAAATTACCATAATGGTTGGTTTTCCGAAAAAGACCGTTTCAATCGTACTTCCCAACCCTCCATGACTCAAAAATGCACTCATTCGCTTGTCATCTGTAATTTCACATAATTCAAAAACTTAAGATATTTATGAATCTACTCAATAGTGTTGTTTGTGGAGCCCATTTCACTAGTTCTAAATTGTCCAGACCCTCCGCAAAGCTAACATTATTAGATTCATATTTCCAGATAAATGTGACATTGGGCTCGGATTTGAAAACTTCCAGCAAATTTTCCTTGTAATTTTGGGGCATTTCAAATGACTTCGCCATTGAGCCAAATGAAATGAACATTGTTTTCTCTTGCTTGTCCAGAATAGCATTGAATTCGTTGCTCAGCTTTTGCGATTCGATTTGTTCGACGTCCACGGTGATTCCTCCGATATCAATAGTTTTTTGAATCGATGGTCTTGGAAAATCCAAGTAGGAAATTGAATTAGTAAAATGTACAGATGCATCAGGTATCAACTCTCTCCAATCTGGGAAGTCTTGTCCTAGAAAACTTCTGTACACCTTTGCTTCATCATCAAACACTTGGCCGTATCGCTTTACCATAAAATGGTACATATCATAATTTTCAAGACGATCAGCAAAATCCATTCTATCTCCAGACACACTCGAGTAAATTGCTGCAAGTTTTTTTTAAATATTCCATTTTTACAGTAACCAGTCGGTTTACGCCCCCTGTCGAGGGCTCAACCACCTGGCTTCCGCTTTCTGTATCTTACAATTGCATTTCTAATTAAAAAATTTTCGAGTTTCCGAATTCACCAAAATTTGTGAAAGTTTTGCATACTATCAATTTTCTTCGAGGAATATTTGATTTCCCAAATTTTCAAAATTTCCAAACTACTGAAAAAAGATTTTTTATGTTCTGAAATCCGAAGTATGTGAACTCCCGGTTTCCTGAAGTTTCAAATTTTGGATAACTAAATGTCAGGTTTACTAAACTTTCTGGTCTCCGAAAATTCTGAATTTCGAAATTTTCGAATTTTGAAAAACAGTCGGTTTGCGCCCCTCCGGGCTGAGCCTCCTGGCTCCCGCTTACAGTACCCGTTGCCTTATAGACAGGTTTTGTCATTTTTTCAGGGACTATTTTTTCTGTTAGGAAATTTCTAAATTCGATATTTTGGTTATTCAGAATTCCTAGAATTCGGAAAGTCGGAAGTAAGAAAATTCGGAAATTGAAAAAGTAAGACACTCGCAAGTTCAGAGATTAGTAAATTTTAAAAAATCAGATGTAGGAAAATATTAATTTTGAAATCTAGAAAAGTGTTTCAATCTGTATGTCTCAAAAACCCAAATTTTGGTATATCAGATTTTAAGGAATCGGAAAATTAAGATTTTTGCATACTTACTAAATGTCGGGCTGGCCTGAAACGGCCCTGTTTGCAAAATTTATAGAATTTCGAAAAAGTTTAGAATCGAGAATTTGAGAACCTGAAAAATTAGAAATTCAGAAATTCAACTTTTCGAAACACAGTCTCGTCGAAAAGTTTTTGGAACTTCGGAAAATCGGAAATGTAGATTTCAAAATTCGAAAACTCTAAATTTCGAAAATTTTGACATTCAGAAAATTGAAAACCGGAAATGTTGGAAAATCTGAAACTTTGAAATTTTTTGGCATATTCGGTGAATAAGATCTCAGAAATTTATAAATTCCGAAATTTGAAAGATATAAAATTAAGTTCGGAAATTTTAAAAATTATTCTGAATTCTGAAAAATCGAGTGATCAGAAAGGGCGCTGTTATTTTCCCTCTCATTCTGTTTCTTTCTTTTTTTTACTTTTTTCTTTCTTTTCCACTGTTTCAGAATTTTTTCTTCCTTTCAAATCTTTAAAAGCCATACTAAAAGAATATGTCGTGATTGTTATTCCGTGAATTTGGTGATTGTAACAAGTAAGGATCTTCCCAGGCACATAACTTGTTTCAGCTGGTTCACCCATCGCTGCCATCACAACATCAAAATTTGGACAGGAACTGGCTAGAATCGTTTTTTGAATTCCAAGATGTCGAAAAAGTGCCAAACTGCATGTCATCATTGGTTCGGATATCCCAACATCGTATTCATGAGATCTCAGAGTCGCCAGAAGTTCAGCATTGCTAAACAAGCTTCGACAACTTTGCACAGTTAGCTTGTGAACTGGATCAAAAAGAGAATGACCCTCTTTGGAGTTAACATTGATATTCCAGAAGGATGAAGTCACATTGTCCATTGTGACAGGGTCTAGTTTCATCTCTTCGCTTCGCTGAAAGTTTGATTTTTGGTTTCAATTGGTCCCATTGAATGATTACCTCCATCTTAATTACATTTTTCGTAAGCTTCACTCCCAATTGGTTACTCCTATTATCATCGAAAATCGGTACAAAAAATGTGACATTATGCCCAGATTCAGTTAAAGTGTCCGCAATTCTAGCCATAAAATTCGTGTGGCTACCAGCAAATGCTGGAGAATATACTAGAATTTTTAAAGAGTCCGTGAAAGCGACAAGTACAAGAAGTGAAAAAATATTGTTAGGAGTCATTTTGCTAGACATTTACAGGAATTCTCAATCCCTTTTATACAAACGTACTTGATAGTAGAGAAAGATCAAAGGATCAAAATGATTTCTATCAATTGACAGAAAACACGAAATTCGAATTCACATTGAGGGAATACTTTGTTAGTTTGTAGGTAAATGTTGATCTTTGAATGTGGAAATTAGTGTAAGAAGAAGAAAAAGAAATTATATTTGATGAGACCAATTTTATATTGGTAGTTTTTGTTCAGTATTTTATTAATAAAAGTTCAATTTATTTCATTATTTATTCTTTTTGACAGCTGAAACAGAAAATCTTTCTAATTGTAAGAACAATTTGAAAATAGCCGCCAATAATACTACTGGAGCTAGAAATGATCCAATTTTGAAAAGCAACACATCATATCCATATCGTTGAAACCAGGGCATTTTTAAGCTGTATGGAGTCATATGATGGAATGGTCCGTAGCTGAAAATTGATTTGTTTGAATGTTTTTTTTAATTCAAAAGTTTGAAACTCACTTTCCAACAAACTCAGTATACTTGACTACCAACTCTTTTGGCTTGATTGGCTGGTTTCGTATTACATCTGCCACATGCTCAGCATTTTTTTTCGAAAACTGTCATTGTGCAAAATTTGGTGAAAGCCGTTTTCAATTTATCGAAATTTCTCAAATCGGTTTTTGAAGAGTTATTGAAGTTCCTAGGCGACTCAACATGTTTGCATTGCGACATTGATCAAAGAAGATTGGAACCTGACAAAAGTTAGTTAAGGATCAAATGTTTGATTGGATATCAATTTTTATATTTTCAGATTTTTCTGATATAATATTTTGATTTGTTATCAGTTTTTAAGTTCCTGATTCTTCTTAAATTACCATAATAGTTGGTTTTCCTAAAAAGACCGTTTCAATCGTACTTCCCAATCCTCCATGACTCAAAAATGCACTTAATCGTTTGTCATCTGCAATTTTCCACAATTTCAGAATCCATTTTTTTTTCGAAAACTGTCATTGTGCAAAATTTGGTGAAAGCCGTTTTCAATTTATCGAAATTTCTCAAATCGGTTTTTGAAGAGTTATTGAAACTCCAAGACGACTCAACATGTTTGCATTGCGAGATTGATCAAAGAATATTGGAACCTGAAAAAATAAGTTTAAAAACCAAAATGTGTATTCGGATATCAGTTTCAAATTCCTGACTCGTTTTAGATTACCATAATAGTTTGTTTTCATAAAAACGCCGCTTCAATAGTACTTCCCAAACCTCCATGACTAAAAAATGCGCTTAATCGCTTGTCATCTGTAATTTCACATTTCTTGGAATTTTACAAATTTATAATCCCCACTTAGAAGTGCTGTTTGTGGAGCCCACTTCACTAAATCCACATTTTCCAGACCCTCCGCAAAGCTAACATCATTAGATTCATATTTCCAGATAAATGTGACATTAGGCTCCGATCGGAATACTTCCAGCAAATTTTCTTTGTAGTTTTGAGACATTTCACTGGACTTTACCATTGAGCCAAATGAAATGAGCATTGTTTTGTCTCGCTTGCCCAGGATAGTTTGAAATTCGCTGCTTGATTTTTCCAATTCAATTTTTTCAAAGTCAACTGAAATTCCTCCAATATCGATAGATTTTTGAATCGATGGTCTTGGAAAATCCAAGTAGGAAATTGAATTAGTAAAATGTACAGATGCATCAGGTATCAACTCTCTCCAATCTAGGAAGTCAATAAATTAATTTAAGGTCCCATATTCAATTGGATATTAGTTTTTTTATTTTCATATCTTTTCTCAAATTATCATTATAGTACAGTACTGGCCAAAAAGGTATTCGCAAACGGTTTTTTGAGAGTAACTTTGCTGAAACTTAAGGGATCGATCTGAAAATTTTACTGTGCATGTCGTACACGGTGACGACAAATTGCGTACAAGGAAATTGCATCATTTTCAGAAATTTTTTGTTTTTTTCAATTTTTTCAATTTTTTCGTTTTTTCACTTTTTTCATATTTTTATATTTTTGGATATTATGGTTTCTAAGAATGTTGGTTTTGGCTCCTATGTATTTAAAACTGTTTACAGACATGGCCAGACCCCTCGGAAAAAAAAACATCTCTCAGGACATCCGTAAAGCCATCGTCATCGGCTTCAGAAGTGGATGTTCCAAGGACCTCTTGGCGCAGCAGTTCAATGTTACTAAACGTGCCATCGAGAAGATCTTGAAGCAGTTTCGGGATGAGGTAATATTCAAAAATAGTATAGTTATGGAAAAAAATGTTTAGGGAGCCTTGGTGGAGCGAAAATCGCCTGGAAGACCGCGTATCACGTCGAAGAACATGGATCGGAACATCGTCCGAGCTTCAAGAGAGGATCCCCAGAGGAGTTCTACGGACATTCAGATGGTCGTGAAGACTCCAAATGAAGTCACACCATCCCTGAGAACCGTCAGAAGACGTCTTCAAGATGCTGGACTCCATGGACGACGGCCAGCTAAGAAACCATCGATCAGCAAGAAGAACAGAATCGCCCGCGTAGCATGGGCCAGAGCTCATCTCCACTGGGGACGTCAGGATTGGGCTAATCACGTGTTCAGCGACGAATCCAAGTTCAATCTGTTCGGTACTGACGGTATCAAGTGGATTCGCCGTCCGGTTGGATGTCGGTTCGATCCCAGCTACCAGCTCCAAACCGTCAAGCATGGAGGTGGATCGGTGATGGTCTGGGGCTGCTTCTCTGGGTTTTCAATCGGCCCGCTGAGAAGAATTAGAAGCATCATGGATCGCTTTGTGTATGAAGACATCTTGGAGAACACAATGAGACCCTGGGCAAGGTCTACTGTGGGCCGGGCGTTCGTTTTCCAACAGGATAACGACCCGAAGCACACCTCGAAGCACATCAAGGAGTGGTTCCGACGCCGCCACGTGGATCTTCTGGACTGGCCAAGTCAATCTCCGGACTTGAATCCGATCGAACACCTCTGGGAGCATGTCGAGAGACAGCTTAGAGGGGTTCGTGCCTCGAATGCCAACCAGAAGTTCGACCAACTCCAAGATGTCTGGCAGGCCATCCCGATGTCTGTCATCGACACCCTTCTCGACTCGATGCCAAGAAGATGTCAAACGGTAATCGACGCCAAAGGCTTCCCAACGAAGTACTAAAGCTATTTTATTCATTTTCTATTATTATTTTTCGTTTACCGGTCTATCCTAGATCTCAGAAGCCAAAGTTCCATTTACCGGTTTTTTGCAATTTTCATGAATTTTTCGATTTTTTTTCAATTTTTTGAAATTTTGACTATTCTTGTTGTTGAATCAGTTTCTTTTACCGTTTTAAACTTTGTCTTAAAATATCAGATCGATCCCTTAAGTTTCAGAAAAGTTATGCTCGAAAAACTATTTGCGAATACCTTTTTGGCCAGTACTGTATGTCAAATTACCAAAGTGATGTTTGTGGTGCCCAGCCCCCACTGGACCAAATTTTTTCTGTAGAATATACTAGTATTTTAAAAGAGACCGTGAAAGCGAAAGGGAGAAAATATTGTTACAAGGGAACCACGACACCTCGTCACCTCAGATTTTGATGAAATGTTTAGGATTGGTCAGTGATAACCTATCTAAACACCACTGAAAATTTTAGAATCCGCTGGCCAGTTTCATCAGTTTCAGTACCAAATATCGCATTTTCAGTGCAAAAACAGTGATTTTCAAAAACGAATTTCCGCTTCCAGGAAGTCCTGGAACTTGAAATATTTTGCGTTATACTCATAGTTATGTGTTATATCATATATTTTTTTAGGAGTCCATTTGCTAGGTATTTTCAGGAATTTTCAATCCCTTTTATATAAAAGTACTTGATAGTAGAGAAAGATCAAAGGATCAAAATGATAACGCAAGACAGAAAACACAACATTCGAATTCACATTGAGAGAATACTTTGATTTGATAGACGACGTTAGTTTGTAGGTAAATGTTGATCTTTGAATGTGGAAATTAGTGTAAGAAGAAGAAAAAGAAATTATATTTGATGAGACCAATTTTTTTTGGTAGTTTTTGTTCCCATATTTTATCAAGAAAAGTTCAATTCATTTCATTATTTATTCTTTTTGACAACTGAAACAAAAAATCGTCTTAGGAAAAGTTTGAAAGCAGCCGCCAATAATACTACGGGAGCTAGAATTGCTCCGATTTTGAAAAGCAACACATCATATCCATATCGTTGAATCCAGGGCATTTTTAAGCTGTATGGAGTCATATGATGGAATGGTCCGTAGCTGAAAATCATTATAAATATTTTTTAATTCAAAAGTTTTAAACTCACTTCCCAACAAATTCCGTATACTTGACTACCAACTGTTTTGGCTTGATTGGCTGATTTCGTATAACATCTGCCACATGTTCAGCATTTTTTCGAAAACTGTCATTGTGCAAAATTTGATGAAAATATGACTTTAATTTATCGAAATTTCCCAAATCGGTTTTCCGAAGAGTTATTGAAGTTCCTAGGCGACTCAACATGTTTGCATTGCGACATTGATCAAAGAAGATTGGAACCTGACAAAAGTTAGTTTAAGGATCAAATGTTTGATTGGATATCAATTTTTATATTTTCAGATTTTTCTGATATAATATTTTGATTTGTTATCAGTTTTTAAGTTCCTGATTCTTCTTAAATTACCATAATAGTTGGTTTTCCTAAAAAGACCGTTTCAATCGTACTTCCCAATCCTCCATGACTCAAAAATGCACTTAATCGTTTGTCATCTGCAATTTTCCACAATTTCAGAATCCAAGAAATTCATAAACCCACTCAAAAGTGCTGTTTGTGGAGCCCATTTTACTAATTCCAAATTTTCCAAGCTCTCCGCAAATCTGACATCATCATGCTCGTATTTCCATATGAATGTTGTATTTGGCTCGGATTTGAAAACTTCCAGCAGATTTTCCTTGTAATTTTTGGGCATTTCACTGGACTTTGCCAGGGTCCCAAATGAAATGAACATTGTTTTCTCTCGCAAGTCCAGTATCCTGTCAAAATCTCCATTCAACGTTTCCGATTGAATTTTTTCAAGATCCACTGAAATTCCTCCGATGTCAATAGTTTTTTGAATTGATGGTCTTGGAAAGTCCAAGTAGGGAATGGAATTGGTAAAGTGTACAGATGCATCAGGTATCAACTCTCTCCAATCTGGAAAGTCTTCTCCTAAAAACCTTCTGTACACCTTTGCTTCATCATCATACATTTGACTGTATCGTTCAATCATAAAACTATACATGTCGTAGTTTTCAAGACGATCCGCAAAATCCATCCGGTCTCCAGAAACTTCTGAGAATATTGCTGAAAGTTGAAAAAATCAGAAACTGAACATTCAAGAAGAAAAACTTACAAGGCACGTAACTTGTATCAGCTGGCTCACCCATCGCTGCCATTACAGAATCATAATTTGGACAGGAACTAGCCAGGATCACTTTTTCTATTTTCAGATGTCTAAAAAGTGCCAAACTACAAGTCATTAATGGTTCGGCTATTCCAACATCGTATTCATGGGCTCTCAAAGTCTCTAGGAGTTCAGAATTACTGAACAGGCTTCGACAACTTTGTACAGTTAGCTTGTGAACTGGTTCGAAAAGTGAATGACCCCCTTTGGAATTCACAGTGATATGCCAGTAAGTTGCAGTTATGTTGTCAACCGTGATAGGGTCCAGTTTCATCTCCTCGCTTTTCTGAAATTTCGAATCATAGGGACCTAATGTTAATGTTAAGCCAGTTTATCTTGTTTCCTTGGAAAATTATCAAAAAGAGATCAACTAAGGAAATGGTGCAAATAGTACAATCAGCAAAGTTTGGACTGGTGATCTTTTCTGTATCTCAAACTTCTGGAAAATATATACTTCAATATTAATACCTCCATGACAATGACATTTTTCGTAAGCTTCACTCCCAATTGATCACTTCTAGCCTCATCGAAAATCGGCACAAAAAATGTTACATTATGTCCAGATTCCGTTAAAGTGTCCGCAATTCTAGCCATAAAATTTGTGTGGCTACCGGCAAACGCTGGGGAATATACCAGGATTCTAAAAGAGTCCGTGAAGATGAATAACGATAATAGTAAAACAATAATCATTTTTGGATTGTGTGATGATCGAAGCAATACTTTTATACAGTATGCGGAATGATAAAGAAAAATGATGACAAATCGTCAGGCAAAATGGGAAGATTGGGTACAAAGAGACAAGTTTTTGATTTTTTGTAAAGTTCAACAATGATGACAAATTAGGTTGATAAAAACAATGTTCAAAGGAAAAAGAAGGAACACAGCGATTCCGAAAAAATCATTTCTACTCAAAAACCATTTGGATGAATATTTATCCTATTAAACCATTTTATGACTCGTTGGGATTTTGCCAGAGGAACTGCGTAAATGAACATATAACTCAAAATGCACGATTCTTGGAATCCCAACAAACGAGTGGGATATGAATAAAAATTTGTATGGTGAGTGAGAAAAGATATAAGGATTTGTGGAAGTGTTAAAACCTGAAAATATCTCATTTTTTACACATACAGTATCAGACGTAAGAACATTTTTTGACTTTTTCACACTCACACAAAAAACCAAAAGAAACAATGCAATATAAATCATTCTGATGTATTCCGTGGTATAAACTTTGATGGGCCGTTTGGCGGATTTGAAAAAGTATAAGCGCCTCGAATAATACAAAGTTGTTATGAGAACCGGTAGGTATTTTAGCATGTCTAGTTGCTGGAAAAGTCATTTTTGTTTTAAAAAAATTGAGGGAAAAAAAAAACTTACCAAGGAATGGTGGTCATCGAAATTGATAGAAATTACGAGGCAGCGTTCGCCTCTGTTATTTCGAATATAATAAATTCCCGAAAAAATTGCAATTATGACAATCAGGATTTTGTTCCTGAAAAAATATATGAACTCAGAAGAATTCGGAATTTCAGATTTTCAGAAATTCAGAAATTCAAAATTTCGAAAATCTTACTTCGTGGCTCTTTGCCCAAATAAATGTTTTCCTGGCGCCATCTTAATATTCAGAAAAATGGAATAAACCATTGTTATGCAAAATGGGACGGGTGGAAAAAATAAAATCGGATAACAGGTTATAATAACTGGTAAAAGCCTCCATAGAATTTCGTCTACACCCAGTTTACTAGTAAAAAGAAGATTTCGAAAAGTATTGACAATCAAGAATGCCATATGAGTGATAGGGATAAAAGTCATAAGAAGACAGAAATGAGGAAACGTTTTCCAGATAAGTTTCTGGAATAAATTTGTAAAATTAAAACTAAAAATTAGTAATTACCCGCTTGTCACAAAGCCTGCCCAAAAATTGAAAAGTTGAGAACATGACGAAAATTAAAAGAAAAAAACGTTCTTTCAAAGTTCTCGGTGGTTCCAGAAGTGTTGTATTGGAATATAAGGTGAGATTCATTTTCAGCAGTATTTTTTGGAAACAAAATACACCAACTTGTAATTCCAAAATTGGTGAAACCTCTGAGTCAAACGGCACGACCAGTGAAACTAACTTTTTCACCTGTTCTGTTTTGGTATTCAAAAAAAATCATATGACTTTTTGTGTTACGTAGCACGAATAAATTGAAAAAAATTTATCTGACTGGCACTTCGAGATGTTCAAGAAAATTCGAGTTTTTCCTCAAAGGCAGGGGGAACTTGTGGAGGCGAGGATTGAGGGTGCGGCGCCGCAACCGACTGAGCTACGCGGCTCATTAGGCCGCCCGAAACGCGAGAACGACAGCTGTACGCAGAGTGACATTAAAGATGGGGAGACATGAAAAAATAATGTTCTCGAAATTCCTTTTAAATATGCCCTTCGAGGAGTTGAACTTGTGGGGGCGATGATTGAGGGTACGGCGCCGCTACCGACTGAGCTACGCGGGCAAAGAGAAAGTTGCCGCCTGATTGCATACATAAAGGCGAGGACGACAGCTGTACGCAGAGTGACATTAAGCGTTGTACACCGTTACGGTAGAATGCATACTCTGGCTTCAAAAATCCCCCGTAAAATCTCCTGTCTCTCCACCTTTAAAAACCAAACATAACTTTTTACTAGTTTTTATGACATAAAAATTAAAGGTTTTTTAAAAGTTCTTGGGGGGTTTGAACATAGAACTATCTGATATTTGCATTTTTATGATGTTGAAATCTTTGAGTTTCTTTTCGTTTTTTTCTGTCTTTCAAATATGTCTGAAATTCTTTATTCAATTCATTTTAACACCATGTACAGAAGCTACACTGGTTTTATTTCTTGCAGTTGATAATTTCGCACTCCTTTGAATTCCCATAATTTCGCGAACTGTGTTTCGATACTGACTGGACATAATTATACAAAAAATTGAATGTGAAATTGAGTTTAATGTGTTCAATGTTACAAAATAGATAATAATGTCAACGGAAAATAAGCTGAAAAAAAAATCGATTCAGAAAACCAATGATAAAACCTACAAAATCTCATCATCTCTATCGGAAAACACTTTTACTAAATAAATAGTTCCCAATGGAGCTTCAGCGATAAAAAATGCAAACGTCATGAAAACAATCAATTTCGTTGTAATATCATTTTTCTCCCCAATAACGGCACTTTGTTTTCTTCCATTCATAACAACTCGATTATGGAATTTTCGTAATTCTCGAATCAGAAATACAGTAAGACAAGGAAATGCAATGCAAGGGATGAACTGAAAAATTTGTTAAATAAACTTTTTTTGTTTAAAGAATTTCCAGAATGTTTCAATTTGTCTTGAAACCTCATGTCAAAAAAGTGCTGGAAATTGAATTTTCGAATTTTTTTCACGACTACAAGAACGACTATTTTCCACCGAAATAAGGAATGTGACACCTACAGTACCTTGGTCACAATGGCATCGAACATGGTAAAAATACGTAGAACAAGGAAATTTGAAGATGAAAATAATGGAGTTAAAATTACAGAAAATAGAGGTCTTGAGTTGATGTCCTGGTATTCGGCACAGCTGGAAATTGAATTTGGCAAAACATTTCAATCTAAAACCTCACTTTAAGGGCAATGGGAAGGCTCTATTTTCCACAATCTGATTTCTAGAGACAAAAAATATTGATAACATTGCGCTGACACAAAAAACCAATAATGTGAAAAAACATCCAGTTTTTGGTTTTGACCAGTTACCGTACCTAGAAACAGAGGTTCAAAGTCTTATAATTGAAAAATAAATGAAACCTAGAATTTGGCATCGTTTTCATAACGAAAAGTCTAACAATTGCCATTAGAACACCTAACCAAGAGCTACACCGTCGGAAATGATCCTGAAATGTCCCGCCGAAAGATCCAAGTATATCTTGTACCGTACAGAAGCGGTGACACTGAAACTATGAAATTTGTTGAAGTTTTTCACATATTCTCAAAATATACCACTCTGGGCTCTCAACATCCACTAGAAAATAATGTTTATAAATTGTGCTGAGCATTGTGGAAATATCGGAAATTGCAATTCCAATCATTTTCACATTGGTGGAGCTGGTTCTCATTGATTTTCTTGATAGAATTATAAAATGAAAAATATTGATGATTACAGAAATGAAACTGCATATGAAGTTTGCCCGGTGTAGATGATGAGCAATGTGGCTGAAAATACGGTAATCGATTGTACATTTCAAAACCGGGCGTTCTAGAACTGGTCATTTCGCAACGGTTCTAGAACGTGTCGCTCTAGACCAACTAGTTGCGAAATGTCCCAAATCATCTAATCAATTTTTCATTTTTCTAGAACTAATCATTTCGCGACTATTTCGAAACACCTACTTCAAAAAGTTCTGAAAGCCATGAATTCCAGAATCCATATATTTTTACTTCCAAATAGAGAAAAAGAAAAATGAGCACAACAATTGTTTTGTTACTCACTAAAAAATTACCGAAAAAAATTGAGTTTAGATTCTGTAATTTGTTTTTCTCACTGAAAATTTTCTGTTTTTCCAAGTGTGACGGTGGGCGTACTAGACAAAAAATTACATACCAATTTAATAGAAAGTATTTATTTATTCTTTTGAATTACATGAAAAACAAAGACTATAAGAAAAAATTGGAAAAAGAACATTATTCACGGATAATATCATCAAGTATTATCCTGGTACACACATTGCCGGAGTAGACACAAAACTGCTCAATCTGGGTTGCACAGAAATTATACTTTTTCTTTTTCCTCCAAGAACTGATTTCAATGTCTCCCGATACTGGCTAGACATAAAAATACAAGATATCGGGTGTAATATTGAATTCAACGTTGCCACAATAACAAAATAAACATTGAGGTCCGAGGAAAATCGACTGAAATTCTTTTTGAAGAAACTTATATTTTCTGTTACAAACATGGGAGCTGTGAAAGAGAAACACAGGTGGCCTTGGCCGAAATTCCCACAACGACAACTATCGTAACCTAAAACAGTAAAAAGCAAGAAAAAAATGCTCCCAGAAATATATTCTTAGGTTACAGTAAATGTCGCTGTGGAATCTTCGGTCACGGCCACCAGCGTTGCTTACACAGCTCCTGTTTTTTGAATCAGAATAATACAGTACCAGACAAAAAAACAAGAATTTTTTTAAATTGGAAACTTACAATAACTTATCAGTTCTTTCCAGAAAAGTTTTCAGAATTGCAATTGTTCCGATCGGAGCTTCGGCAATGAAAAAATTGATTGTTATGAAAACGATCAATTTTACACTGAGCACATACTTTTCTTCATTGTCTTCAGTTGTTGTACTATTTCTTCGAATGGTTTCTCGAGTCTCATTAATTTTTTGAATTTGACGAAAAAGAAGAAAAGTCAGAGTTGGAAATGCGATGCATGGGATGAACTGTAAATTTTAAATGCACCGTAAACACTCTAATAGAACGCCATCCTAACTCCCAACTTGAGTCAACTCATCCTGTGAGAGATATCAAAAAGCGGTAAATTGGCAAAATTTTATGAAATTACGATAAACATTTTGCCAATTGGCCACTTTTTGATATCTTTTATAGGAAATGAATTATATGAGCTTAAAGTGAACGACTTGTGTGGCGCTCTATAGTGTTTGCGGTAAACTGAATGAAGTTGAAAAGTATAAATTATGAAATTCAAGAAAACTTTCAACTTATGAAACTTGAAAAAAAGTAAATCGACACTCACATTTGACAGTGTAGCATCCAATATAAAATATGTCCTTACTATCACATAATGCCCAAGATTTGCAAATGGTCTCAAAGTTACAGAAAACTTGTAGTTACCGTTTATGTCTTGATGCTCGGCACAGCTGGAAAGTAATTTTCCTTTCAAAAATTAATTTCAAAAATTTGTCATACTTTGCCACAAGCGAATAGTTACGATTTTCGACAACCTGACATTCCCATTGCCATATCACCGTTAGAACTCCACTAGCTCCAAATACGATTACTATTAGAATATATCCCATTTTTGGATCCGCCCATTTACAATGTCTGAAAATTGTATTTGAAGAATTTTAAGACGATTTTTTCGAAAATTTACCTCACGTCAGAGATTCTGCTCATAATTACATAACGGATACTTGCCATTACAATTACCAGCCAACACGTAGTCCGTCTGAAGTGGTACTGAGAAGACCAGGAAGTGACGTCCGTGTAAATTTTAATCAAAGAAGTTGCTGTGATGCTGAAAAAATACCTTTAATATTTTTAAAAGTTTTCCAAAAACTACCACTCGGGGTATTCCAAATCTGCCAAACTCAAATATTTATAAACCCATGTGAACATTGTAAAAATATCACAAATTGCGATTCCGCTCATTAGGATATTTATAGAAGATGTTCGCATAGTTTTTTGGGTGAGAACGATAAGATGGAAGAAGTTGATAACGATTGATAAAAGGTTGAGGACGAAATGAATGAGGAATGTTTTGTTTTCGAGACGCCTGGAAAGAAAAAGTTATGATCACAAATTTTGAAAGTTGATGAGTTTCCTAATTTTTAAGTTTCTGAAATTTCGGAATTTCAGTCTTCCAACTGGAAAACCCTAATTCTTTGCAAGCCCTGGAATTTCAAGAATTCCACTTCTCTCAATTTTCTGAACTTACATCAAAACATTTTGCACATTTTCAATTGACTCTTCATAACTGCTTTTTTCCATTTTCAATAGGAAAATAATCAAAATTGAGAAAAAAATTTTCAGACATCAGAATTTTCAAAAAAAACCTATAATTTTGGATCTACCCAGTCAAATTGGTATGGTGGTGTCATAAGAAGAAAGTGGAATAACAAAACAATTAAGATAAAAAAATTGGGTCCGATTGAGATATTTCTAACTAGTTAACTCACAGGGATCATAGGTGACCAGCAGTTTTTTAGCCATTGGACTGTTTTTATGTTGTTCTGCTCTTCCTCTTGTTTTACGCTTATCAGTTTCGGAATTTGCCTGAAGTTACAGTTCATTTTTTACAAGTTCAACTCCCGGACATTTGTACTTTTTTGCAGAATCTCCAATTCGAAACGAAAACACGTGGTGAGCTGCTAGAATAGTGAAGTTTATGAATTTCATGATAAGAGCCAGAAGAGAGAACATCTTGTTTCGTTGAAAATTTCAGGCAGGAGTTTTTTAGTAAAATACTGTATTGGAAGCGAAGGTTTGATTCAGCGGTTCATGAAAAATCAGTACTTCAATGCTCAAAACTTTAATTTTACTAATTCAGACATGGAATGATTGAATTTTTATTACGAATTATTGCTAATTAGTGGACAAAAATGATTTCAAAAACTTAAACTTTGGGCATTCCGGCGACGACAGCGCTCTCAATTCCACATTCATTGACTCCGCGACGCATCTTGAGAAATCCGTTCTCTCCCCAGTCAGCTCCCCAAGAGTTGGCAATGAGCCAGTATGGAATTCCGTTCTGAGTACCCCATCCGATGATCTTGATGGCGTGTCCTCCGAGAAGCCTTCCTGCAGTGTGTCTGTAGACTCCGCTCTTGTACTTGTACATGTCCTCGTACATGGTGAAAGCGCCCACGACTGGCCCATTAGTCATGATTTCGGTTTGGATGGCAGCAACGTTTCTGGCAACAGCGTATGCGGATACTCCTTAAATTTACAATACCTTTAGAGTTTCTCAAAATGTTACAACTAACCAAAGCGCTTGTCCTTAGCGTAGGCTGTTGAGTATCCGAATTGACAGCTCAAGGAGCACGTTGGGGTCTTTTCTTCAGGACATTTATAGGAATTGCATGGGGCAAATGGGTATGGTCTGCATCCAGATCCTCGGAAGTCTCCTCCAGTGACCACTCCTCTGGAGTTCCACCATCGGAAAGCTTGAATTGGGTATCCTCCCTCACATCCGTCACCACAGGAACGTCCACAGCAGGCAAGCATATCGGTTGGGGAAATGGTCGGTTGTTGGGTTCCCTTGGTAGCAATGCAAATGCGGTCGGAGATGACCTCAGCAGTTGAAAAAGCCCAGCAGGATCCACATTGGGCTTGATCACGGATCATTTTGATGGATGTGCAGTTGGACCATCGGGTACGGGAATCGAAGGAGGGTGGGATAAAAGTATATCAAAAATCAACAGAAAAAATTTTAAGTTTTCGGTCTCTGGATCGGCGGGTCGGGCCGGGCCGGTAAAATTTTTTCCAGCCCGGGCCCGGGCTGGGCCGGGATTTAGCAAGTATGGTTTTTTCTGCTCCAAAAAATAACTTTTTCTTTGTTAGTTCTCTTGCTCGGCAACCGATACCAGATTCCTCTCATAATTTTACGTATAATACGCCTAGCTGCCGAGCTAGCTAGTGTTCAAAATGAAATCGTCTCAAAAAATTTTCGAAAAATTCCTCGAGGAATTCCTCGGAAAATTTCTCGAAGTTGGGTCGAAAGGGCACACTGCTACTTACCATCATCGTTGTTAGTTGATCGAGATGATGCCTTCTTTCCCGAACTGCCCCTTTTTATACCAAATCTTTTTCCGGTTCGATCTTTCGACTCTCTTCTTGTTATTCTGCTCTTTTTTACTAAATTCTGATCGTCGATTTCTAACTGTTTCAGGAAAGCATCTTAACCGGAATTTCACAATTTAATTTCTACAAAATTTGACCAACAGGAAAAGTGTACTTTCTGCAAAATCTCAATTTGAAAACGAAAAACAATTTTTGAGCTGTGAGGGAGAGTAGAGTTTAAGAGTTAAATGATAAGAATCAGTAGAAATTAATGTGCGTTTTGTCGTCGTTTTCAACAATCTCCCTATATTTTCTCTTCTGACCCAAATTTATTTTAAAAAACTCCAACAGCTTCTAAGTTAACCGGATGTTCTCAAAAAAGTTTTAATTTCATTTTTCAGCTCCAGACTACGGTTTTTGTCTTCAGGGGGATTTTCGTCACCGGGATGTCTTCAGGTGACATTTGATTGAAAGAAAAAGAGAATAGCAATGTAAATGATATTTCATACATCTGATTATCGACCTAATTGGCACAAAGAAAATCACCAAGATATGCCCATAGGATACTCCGCCCCTTTTTTCACACTAAGATTCATTGACGCCACGACTAATCTTGAAGAATCCGTTTTCTCCCCAGTCACCCCCCCAGGAGTTGGCAATGAGCCAGTAATCAGTTCCATGCTCCGTTCCCCATCCCATAATCTTGATGGCGTGTACTCCAACAACCTGTCCTGCCGTGTACTGGTATACTCCTTTCTTATAAATGTAGAAGTCTTCATAGACTGTGAAAGAAGCTTCAACTGGTCCATTAGTCATGATCTCGGTTTGGATAACAGAAACGTTCCGGCCAACATAGTAGGCGGAGGATCCTAGGAAGAATGATAGCTCGTTTTAAAATCACTTGCAATTTGGAAAGTGCAACTTCACCGAAGTTCTTGTCCTTAGCGTATTCCTTATTGTATTTTGACTGGCAGCTCAAAGCGCAATCCGGGGTCACGCATCGGGGCATCCTGCAGACAAACAGAATGGGTATGGTTTACAACCATCTCCTTGGTAGTCTCCTCCGGTGACAACTCCATTGGAGACCCACCATCTGAGAGCCTGGATGGAATATCCACCGTCACATCCATAACCACAGTATTCCCCACAGCAATCAAGCATATCAGTTGGGGAAATAATTGGTTGTCGGGCTCCCTTTGTCACAATGCAAATGCGGTCGGAGATGACCTCAGCGGCACCAAAAGCCCAGCACGATCCACAGTTGGCTTGATTACGGATCATTTTGATGGATGTGCAGTTTTTCCATTTTTGACGAGCATCGAAAGTATCCGGGATCTTCTTGGCAAGAACAATGTTGAGCTTGGCAGAAGGAATATCACCGGGGTGAGGATCAGCGTATTTAACATCCATCACACGGGACTTCATGAATTGCTTGGAAACATCTATGTGTTCAACGGTGAACAGGGATTGGACGGAGTTGACATAGTCGACAAGAGCCTTTCCGGTAAGAGTTTGGGAATTCAGATCGATTGGAACGAATGCATGAGTTACTGCAAGCAGTACGGGAAGAACGAGAACCTTATGAAAATAAATATATAAACATCGTTGTATTGTTAATACTCACCATCATTGTTGAGGGAAGATATATTTTTTCCCTGGACTGTCCTTTTTTATACCATTATTCCTTATCAATCTTTTCACATGTTATTCAAAGCCAATTTGTTTTGCTCTTTATTGTTTATCAGTCTACCAGATAATGCAAAAACACTGTAATCTTGTATGGCTCTTATCATAAATATCATAACCTCTACTCAGCTCATCGTTTTTCGTTTTGAAATGAAGAAAGTCTAGAAAGTACAAATGCCCTGTTGTTTTTGTTATTACAAACAATCTCCGGGTTCGGTGCTTTTCTAAAACAGCTACAATCGAATACTTTCAAACAAAACAGAGCTTTTTGATGGCCAATAACAAGAGGAGAGTCGAAAGATCAGACGATTGATATGAGGGAAGAATTTGGTATAAAAAGGGTTAGTTCTAAAAAAAGGCATATTTTCACTCTGCTAACAATGATGGTAAGCATTTACAGTTACATGGGTTACGGTATTATATCGCGGCCATGAGGGGCGTGGCCTATGGGTACTATGGTCGAAAGTCTTAGAGTTGCCCCTATACCCACCACATACAATATCAGACTCCCAGGACCATTTTGAATTTTTCCGTTGCCATGGTGTTTTCGAGTTTCTTAGAGATTGTGTCTTAAGAGTTGTATATTTTATATTATGTATATTTTATATTATAGTTAAAGCAGCTATGTCACTGTTAAAACGTTTTGACAGCTACCTGCTCATTTTCAGAAAGCCTTTGTCTTTGCCGCACTGCTTGCAGTCACTCTTGCATTCGTTCCAATCGATCACCAATCCTTCGTTGAAACCCTCACCGGAAAAGCTTTGGTTGATTATGTCAACTCTGCCCAATCCCTTTTCATCACTGAACACGTCGATGTCTCCGAGGAATTCATGAAGTCCCGTGTGATGAATGTCAAGTACGCTTCTCCTCCCCCCTCCGATGAGATCCGTGCCACTGAGGTCAACACTGTTCTTGCCACCATCCCAGAAACTTTCGATGCTCGTACCAAATGGCCAAAATGCAAGTCCATCAAGCTCATCCGTAATCAAGCCAACTGTGGATCATGCTGGGCTTTCGGTGCTGCTGAGGTTATTTCTGACCGTATTTGCATTGCGACCAAGGGAGCAAGACAACCAGTTATTTCCCCAATGGATATGGTTGATTGCTGTGGGGAATACTGTGGTTATGGATGTGACGGTGGATATTCCATCCAGGCTCTCAGATGGTGGGTCTTCGATGGAGTTGTCACTGGGGGAGATTACCAGGGAGATGGTTGCAAACCATACCAATTCTGCAACTCTGCAGGATGTCCTGATGCCGTGACCCCGGAATGCGCTTTGAGCTGCCAGTCAAAATACAATACGGAATACGCAAAAGACAAGAACTTTGGTAAGCAGTAACTCTTTGAAAAGTTCTAAAACTAACTTTTTTCAGGAACCTCAGCCTACTATGTTGGAATGACTGTTAATGCTATCCAAACCGACATCATGACTAATGGTCCAGTTGAGGCTTCTTTCAAAGTCTACGAAGACTTCTACAAATATAAAAGTGGAGTGTACAAGTACATCGCCGGAAAGATGCTTGGAGGACATGCCATCAAGATTATTGGGTGGGGAACTGAGAATGGAACTGCATACTGGCTCATCGCCAATTCCTGGGGAACCAAATGGGGAGAAAACGGATTCTTCAAGATTCGTCGTGGAGTCAATGAATGTGGAATTGAAAATAACGTCGTCGCCGGAAAAGCCGACGTGGATACTTTGTGAAATCGTTATGTGATTTCGAGTAATAAATGAACGTTTGAACTAAAAATTTGTTTTCAAGTAATTCTTATCAGACTGGAATCATTGATTTTCTGAATTCCCGAGTTTTCTGAATTTTGCGGTATCTCGTTTTTTGAAACTTCAAAAAAAAGGAAAAGCCAAAGTGGACACTTTGTGAAATCATTGAAATCTTACATTCATTTTCATCAACGAACTTTTTAATAGATTTTTTTTTCAAATCAAAGTATTTTGTGTACTTTATTGATCATTATTTATTTTTTTGTTAATTTTTTAGTAGAGAAATAGAAAAAAAATCCGAAACACAGAAAATCATGTCATTTGAATTCCTTGAACTGAAACAGCACTTGTCTTATTTTTCACTGCCGTTTTGGCTTTTTTGGTGACTCCACACATTGTTCGAATTGTATTCCTGTACTGACTGGACATGAAAACACAAAAAATCGGATGTAAAATTGAATTAACTGTCACCAGAAGTGTGAAATAGATTACAAAGTCTGTTGAGAGAATGCTGAAAATTAATTAGGTAAATTAATAATTTTCAAATAAAAATTTGAAGTCCTACCTGATTGGATCGTTTCTCCTGTAAAACACTTTCACCAAATAAATAACTCCGAGCGGAGCTTCAGTTAGAAAGAATGTAAAAGATAGAAAAACGATCAATTTTGTAGTCAAGTCCTTTCTTTCTTCAGTTGATTCCTGATTTTTTCTTCCAGTGTTATTTATAGAAGGTTTCAATTTTTGAAGAAATCGGACCAAAAGAATTGTGAGGACAGAGAAGGCGATGCATGGAAGGAACTGAAATTTTTGGATCTACGAGTTTCAAGAATTCCGAACTTTAAAATTCGAATTGATTCCAAATTGATGTTTAAAAATTTGAATTTGTGAATCATAACGTTTCCTGATTAACTTAATAAAGCCAAAAGTTTCTGCCTGATCTTATTTCTGATTTTCTTCAATTTTTCGCAGAATGACTAGTCTAAAATATCATTTCACCAAATAGGATTCAATTATATATCTAGCAAATCATATTTCCCTCCTCGAAAGTTCAAGAATTGAAGAGGAAGTGACGAAATTTTTGATTGCTCATACTAAATCACGAGCTTGTTGTTTTCACTCAATTTCAGTTATAAACAATGTTAAAATCTCGAGGAAAACACTTTTTACATGACTCAACAACTATTCTTTACCTTTGTCAATATCGCATCTACCATCAGATATGATTTCATCACAATCTGTTCATCAGATGTGAAAAATGGAGAGAGCATCACAGAAAATTGTGGGCTACTGTAGATGTTCTGAAAGTCTGCGCAGCTGAAACTATTGATTTTTTTCAGTTTAAAAGTTCCAAAAACTACATAAGTGGCAGTGGCACGGATCGATTTTCCACAACAATCCATCTAGATTGGTAGAAGGTAGTTTGTAGTCCGGAGACTACAAAAACAACAAGTATCATAATCCATCCAACGCTGGCTTGCGACCAGTTACCGTACCTATAAACAGTAGAAATTGTTGTTTGGAAAATGAGTAGTTCCAGAACGTCCGGTTGCGAAATGGAAAGTTGTGAAATGGTAAAAAATTATTTACTGTATTTACCTGCTTACAGTGACCTTTTTCACAATTAAATATCTCACTGTCGCCATAAGAACCCCCAACCAGCATCCACATCTTCGAAAGGAGGTGTTAATTCCCCAAACAAAAATATCCATATAAATTTTGAATCGAAAATCAGAAGTCATACAATCCGAGTTCTCTCGATCCACCATTCCGTAATTTTTGTATACTGTAGACAACATAATCAGGATATCACTAATTGATATACCAATCATAATTATATTCGTGGAAGTGGCTTTCATATGTTTCCGAGATAGGATAAGCAAATGAAAAATGTTGATAAAAATTGAGAAAAAGCTTAGAACAGGTTCAATTGTTGGAGATGAAAACCGATGTCACTGAAAGTTCAATTTTTACAGACTCAATGAACTCAAAAAATTAAAAAAAAAATGGAAACTCACTTGACGACTTGCGAAACTTCTTGAATTGTTTTTATTTCAGTATCAGGAGAAACCGACGACATATTTTTTGCTCCAACTGAATTTTTCTTTCTTATGGCGCTCCATGGGTTCTGTAATCTGGTTAAAGTTTTGTTGAGCTAGACAAAAAAGCAGGTGACAAAATAAATACGAAAACTATGCGCAAATTGAATTTTACGTTCGATCTGTATATGAAAAAGGGGCGGAGATTCTTTTTTATATTATTTTAATAATATCCTAACGGTATTCTTTTGTGTCTCCAATAATTTACGATACGGTCAATTATCAGAAGGGTGAATTCTGTAATTGTTTTTGTACGGTATTCTACCGTGTTTTCTCTTTTAAATTCCTTTTTCCAAGTCTAAAGGAAAGAAATCTCCCCCGCTCACACGTGCGAGAGTTGTGGATTACTGTATCTGCGCGCGAAACTGTGTGCTCGCCAAAACGCGTCTCCTCTCTCTCTCGGCAATTATCATGTGTTCTTTAGTTTTCGCTGGTGTTCGCTCACGATTGGTGACAACCCGTTAAAGTGTTGCTCATTGTTACAAAGGTTTCAAGAGTTTTATTGAGTAAAATCAATAAATATTGTTTTAATAGAATACAGTGTGTTTTTGCTGTCTTCTACTTTCAGGTTACATTGGTTTTTGAACGAGGGCTTCTAGGTTTTTGAGTGCTAGATTAGGACTTTCCAATAGTCTTTCTCTGCGTCTCTTTGGTTACATTGGTTTTTGAGTGAATAGTGTTTCTTTAGTTTTTCAAATACATTACTTTTTTCCTTTTTTTGGATTTTCACATTTTTGCAATTACCCTATCTTTTAGATGAGCTTAAACTTTTGCGGCATTCACAAATCAGAATAATATTGAAAATTTTTGACATTCCATTACATTTCTAGAAAATTAGAAACTATTTTAGAAATAACCGGTTTTCCGATTTTCGATCCATTCAGAATCGAATACCGTAAAACCTAAAATAGAAGGGTTCCCTAACTTTTGATTTTGAGCCAATTTTTTTCGGTTCCTGTCAAAGGTATCAAAAAGTTATCAACTGATAAAAAGTTCATCATAATTTCACAAGTGTTTCATCAGTGGACACGTTTCTGATATCTTGTATAAGAAATGAGATGATTAGGCTGAAACTTTTAATGTAGGTTTTACGGTATTCCGAGCAACTTCTCGAAACTACTGTAATTTTTGATGGCTTCTGAAAATTGAGCAATTTGTATTTTCGCTCAAAAATTATTTTCGATTTGAACTACTAGAATATTCCTTCAAAACATTCCAATACCAAGACATAGATCATACTGCGAAAACGGAAGTGTGATTTCATTCAGGAAAAGTTCTCATGTACGAATCTGTGGGAAAATCAGAAAGTTCAAATTTTGTGTTTCTTTATAAGTTATTTCATTATTCAAATTTTTAAATTTAATACGATGCACAAAAAGTTATCCACAAAACTATTGAAGGCTGCTTTGAACAGTTGTGACACGGAAGATTTTCTGAAGTTAATTATTAAAAAATATGTTTTGAAAAAAAACCTTTTCTGTACAGCAATTGAGATATTGAACAAGGTTCCAGAATGTTCGTCGATATTGAGCGGACATAAAAAATATTAACAAACAATGAATCGTTGAATTCATTGTAAAAATGGCATCACAGATTAGGATTATGTATTGGGCGTTTTCACTTCAAGACAGTTAAATGAATTTAAAAAATAAAAATTAAAAAGCTCACCTATAACTATCAACATTCCAGATGGCTTTGTACAGGTCTACAATTCCAATGGGGAATTCGGTAATTATGAATGAAGTTGAAATGAAAATTGCCAGGAAAGAAGTTCGATCGGTTTTGGATTTCGAAGAACTACTGGACATTGACTTTCTGAGCTTACGGAGCATCAATCCAGTAAAAATTGAAGATGTGATACAAGGGAAAAGCTGGAATTCAAAATTTGGGAATGTGAAAATTCGAAAGTTGAAAACTTACCTTGACAAAACCTCCTTCCACAATCAATCGCGCCCTTGAAAAGAAATGATTGTTCTTCTCAAAAAATGCGTTATACTTCAATGTGTACACAGGAATCTGTTCTGAAATTCCACAGCCCAAAGCTGGCTTCCAAATTCCGCTTTTAGCAATATCCATATTAAAATAAAACAGCAAACTGATCCAAAACCCAACAAAAAAAGTCAAAAAGACCTCTTTCAACCCATGTCCTGGTTTGGCTAATTTGCCATTTCTTCGAGAGATATCAGTGATAATTTGATATCTGAGGATTGTCAAAGACACTCCAAGCCAAGCAGAAGAGCGGCGGAATGCGTCGTGTACACAAGAAAGAATCCAGTCAAATTGGAATTCAATTAAAGATTTCGGATATGCACTGCAAATTCAAAAAATCTGACTATGTATTAACAAAAAAAGTGAAAAAATGAATTTTCGTCAGGTTCTTTTTTGAAAAAAAAAATCTTACCACGGAACCATCAATTTTTGAATTGAATACCAATTTCTTATCCCGATAACCATGCAAACAAAATTACAAACTGCAATTCCAGCCAAAATTATATTTATAGAAGAGGTTCTCATCGATTTTTGAAGTAGTATTATTAAGCTAATTGCTGTTAAAAATGATCCAACAATTGAACAATACAATTCCAGATACAAACTGTTGAAAACGATTTGTCTGAAATTTGTTATAAACTTTTTGAAGAACAACTCAAAATAATCTTACTGAAAAAATGGAGAACTGCTTCCTCTAGTGAATTGGGATGGATCAAAATAAGAGGTGTATAAGGAAATCATGATTTTCAGAAAATATGAATATGAAAAAGACAAATATGTGAAATTCGTACTACTAGACTTTTTGATGTGAAAAAAGTTGTCAGAAACTACGGAAAATTATTTTTCGTGGGAAAATTGCAATCAGGAAATTATTTTTTCGCGATTCAGACTGTCTGGGATCATACAAATAACTGGAAAGTGCTTTCAGATAGGAAATGTCTGGAACACTCTATCAGGATTAATTTTTCAAAAAATTTAAACCGACTTCACGCTATTTCAAACATGCTGGTCGGAAAACGCGCCCCAGTGAACGGGAAAAATAACTGCGCAACGTGTCAAGTTTCGTTGGCTGAAGATCAAACTTTTAAACGTTAAGCCAAAAAAGCACGCGTTGCAATGCGTTGATTGAAATTATTTAGGTCAAATCCACGTCAACTTTGAAATTATTAAACTCTGGCCTAAAAGTTTTTTGGAGCGCGATTTCTGTTTTCTGGGCGCGATTTCTTCAGTTTCTGGGGCGCGATTTCTTCAGTTTTCTGAAGCGCGATTTCCGTTGCTTTGAAATACCGTGAGACTTCACTAAAACGTTTTGTTTTGTATTTTCTAGCATTTTTGTATGATTCCAAATGTCATCAAAATTTTCCGACATTAGAGCGTTTTTACAGATTTTGATCATTAGTAAACAAATAAAGAAAAAAGATTAATTTTTCAAAGTTTCATTAATTCAGATATAATTGAATGAGAATGTTCTAATAGCTTGAAGAAGCCGCTGCTATTTGTGATGTGTTCTGAAAATTATATTTTAATTTCAATAATTTTTTAAATTCAAAGTTCACCCTGCTCTTCCAAAACTTCAGAATCCCAAAAAGGTTCCAAACAGTCCTTCTGTACTGGGATGACATAATAAAAATAATCAGACAGTGAACAGATGCATTCACGGAAAATATGGCGTCACAAATGAATTCGAGGTTCAGACAAAAATCTCTGGAAGTTAGGAAGTTAATAAATTTTTTAACTTTAATAAAATACCTGAACCAGGATTGATCATCTGGCCAGATTCCTTTGTAAAGATCCACAATTCCCAGAGGAAATTCTGATAACAAAAATGATCCGGCAATTAAAATTGTTAAAATTGTAGTTCGATTTGCTCGGGATACTCGGATATTTTTATTGGAAGTTTCAACAGTGGACGAGTTTTTGGCAAAAGATCGTTTCATCCCACAAATCAATAACCCAGTGATAATTGGAAGTGTAAAACAAGGAACCATTTTTGAGAATATTCCCTCTACTATTAACCCAGTTCTCGTTTGTATACTCTTTCGATCGTCAGAATATTGATTGACTTTTTGAGCGAAAACTAAGTGTTCTCCGGATAAACCCGCACATTTCGGGTCTGGTGTCCATGTTCCAATTTGCTTAATTTGTTCATCAGCAAAAAAGAAAAATGTGAAAATTGAACTGATGATTAATGCAGCAATTACAACTTTCAGACCGTATTCAGGAGTGGAAAATCGGTTATTTCTGATTGTGATATTTGTGATAACAAGATATCTGACGACTGCCATTAGCATACCAAGCCATGCGGAACATCGACGTAACATGTTGTGTAGAGCAGTCAGAAACCAGTCTAGACGCAGTTGATTCAAAGTACGTGGAATTGAACTGAAAACATGAGAAATTTTGAAGTTACCGTAATCTGGAAAAAATTTTAAAGAAATTTTGGGAAATTCAATTTCAGAAATGTTTCTTTTCAATTTGAAGGTCTTTCATACTATCAAAACTAATAGTTCATAAATTCAGAAATCGCGGAAATTCAAAATTTCCAAAAAATGAAGTTCAAAAACTCTGAAATACAGCACTCACCATTCCTTCATCATATTCATCAAAACTAAATCATTTCTCCATATAATTATCATATAAATCAAATCACACATTGCCATTCCAATTAAAATAATATTTGTTGAAGAGTTTCTCATCGCTTTTCGTAACAAAATAATCAAATGGAAAATGTTCAAAAATGTGCCAAACAACGAAGCGAAAAACTCGCACATTAAACTATAAGAAACCAGTTTTCTGAAATTTTTTGAATTCAATAAACTAATTTAATAATTGAAAAAATTACTGAAAAGTTTTTGTGTCAAATTCAGCAGCGTCTTGACCGGTGTGTCCGTTAAAAGTAACAGATATTGAATAGATCATTTTATGGTAAAAGGTTTTTTTTTCAAAAAAATATACTTGAGGCAGAATGAGGGAGATAAGGCCTAACCAAAAATTTGGATTTACGCTTCAACAGTTTTCTGTGAAAACAAAATATAACACAACTAGTCATGGTTTTCATGGGAGCGAGACAGAATTTTTTAGGAACATTCAAAATGTGACCAGAAAAAGGAACTGGAAATAATGAGTATAGTCTGATGGTGACTAAAGAATTTAATACTAAAAACATTAGAGCAAAGTTTTTCAGTAATTTTACAATTAGTGTTTGTAAAGAATTTCCGAAATATTTTCAGATTTGGAACAAAAACGTTTCGAACATTTAATTGATACTTTAATTTTTCCAAGTTTTCCCTATTTTGAGATTCATTAAAGTTTTCTTCACAGTCTGAAATTTCTGAAAAGTTTAAAATTTTCGAAAAAAAATCTTTTATTAATTTTTTTTCATTGTTTGGAAAGTTTTGACTGTGAAATGTTGAATTTGAGAAATTCGCATGTTTATAAGTTTTAGAAACTCCCAACTTTCAAATTTCTGCTTTTCCGAACTCTTGAATGCCTTGAAATGTCTCGAAAAAATATAAAGTGTTTCCTGGAATTCTCGAGAATTCGTCATTTTAATGTTGATGTATGAGTTTTTGTGGAAAAATTCATATCATTTAAAAAACAAATTCCTAGTATACGGTCATTTTTATATGCAGTTTGAAAGTCCAACAGCAATTTTACATACTTATGATAAAATGAAATTATATGTTCAACACATAATCATATTTTTCAATTTTGCGAAAAAAATTCCTTCTTTCATCACTTTCCCAACTTTTTTACATGAAGTTTTCGACTCTTTTTATTTTTATTTTCTCCAATTTTTCAAGCTTTTGTACATCAAATGTATCGGATGATCTGGCTAGAGTTGTGGGCTATCATAATCCTCGTAATAAGTTATTTTTTCTATTTTCCATTTGAAATCAATTTTTTAGGCCCGGAATGTTTATTCAATTACACTCAAGTGAATTCCAGAACTATCAAAAAATTTCCAAAGTGCGAGCGAGTTTATGGAATTTTAGTTTTCAACGAAAAAACTGATCTAAGAATCCCCCAAATGTCGGAGTATTTCAAAAATATGACAGTTTTGTTTGGTGGACTTTTGGTGGAGAATACGAATTTTGAAAATATTTCATTCTTCCCAAAATCGCAAGAAAGTTATTTGCACATGTATTGTGAAAAATTTAAGCATTCATTTTTTGTATCCAAAGATTTTTAGCACTATTTCAGATGGTATTTACGTCCGGAACAATTCGAAACTGACTGATTACAAATTTCTAACTCAAATGTTTATGTACAGTGATAAAAATCTGAAAGAATGTGATTTTCAAGTGGTTGACAATAAGAAATTGAATGCTGAAAGTCTGTGTGGATCTGGATTGTTGCATTATTTCACGGATTTGAGAGTCAAGGGAAATCTCAAGGATTGTGGTAAGCGGAGAGAACGCAGACAGATTTTATTTTTGAGCTAGCTGTTATATTATAACGCCAAAATATTTCTAGATTTTCTTCTTATTAAGAATACCCATTCAGTCCGATTTCATGACGTTTCCAGGTTGCCAAGGAGACGAAATAGACGATTCCACCCTGTCAACCTATAAAACTTGTCAAAACTCATACAACGGACTTTATTTGAATAACGTTACTTCCAAAGATTTTTCCTCTCTTGAAAATATAATGCAAGTCAAGGGAATTATTGATATTTCGGATACCGATATTGAGAATTTGTCGTTTTTGAAGAACCTTGTAACTTTCAATTACCGTAACCAAGGAACAAAGGAGAGGATTTCGTTTAATCTTCAAAATAATCCGAAAATGACGAGATTTGGAATGCCAGTTTTAAGTGTGGGTTCAGACTTTCAAATCAAGTCCAAAATTTTGGAATTTCTATTGTTTAGGTTATTCATAACACAGAAGTCGAGAGGACGGATGGTCCGGAAGAGGGAATTGTGCTTTTCAATTTTGAAAATCTACACCCGGATTTTTGTCTAACAGTCAATGAGATCTTGTTATTTTTGGAATTGAATGTCACTTTTCGTAATTTGAATGCGAAAGTTTGCGATGTATCACAGGAAATTCTTAACGATCCTTCAATTTGTACATTTGAAACTTTGGAAAAATTACACGAAAAATGTATTTTCGTAATTGGAGATGTTATAATCGATTCTGAAAACGAGCACGATATCGTTAATGTTGGAAATGTTTATTACATTTTTGGCTCGCTGACTATCAAAAACACAAAGTTAAAAAGTTTGGCGTATTTTTTCAATCTTCTGGCAATAGTTCATTTGGGTAAACCATTTTTCAAAAGGAAAGTATAATTTTGGAAAATTTTAAATTTCAGGTGATGGACCTGTTATTCAATTGATATCTAACAAGGAATTGAAAGATGTCAAATTCGATAACCTACGAGTAAAACAACTATTTCAGAACCAATTATTTTTGCTGAAAATCAAAATTTCAGAGCATTATTACAAGTGGACATCGACAAGCTTTTATTCAGGACAATCATCCGGATATTTTCAAATCCAGTGGGGGAAATTGTATAATTTCAGACCCGGAGAATATTTATATTGCATACAGAACTAGATTGAATTTCACTGGAACAGATTGCGGTAAGATTTTTATAAATAACTCTTTTTATGAATTCAAAAATTATTTTTTAGATGGCAGCAGAATTGAAGAGCAGGCTGAAACAGGGGCTGTAACTGGGCAGCCTGAGCAACAACCAGCAGAAACTGATAACCTCTGTGTTTTAAACTCTTTTGGTTTGGCCTTTTTAATTTCATTTTTGTTGTAGAAATTTTAAAGAAACTGGCTGAAGTGAACTGAAATAAAGTTATATTTATTAAATTAGAATCAAATATTATTCCCATTTTCTGCATTTTCAATAATTTGTCGACACATCATGAAAACCTAAAAAAAGATTTTTTTTTGACTTTGAAATTTTTTTTCACAAATGCACCTGCTTGATCGAACAACATAGATTTTTTTGCATTTTAAAACATTTTTCGACTAGTTTCACACTTAAAAATGGACCTAATAACTGTCATGATAATTAGAATTGGTTCGAATAATTCCACAGATATTTACGGAGATATTGTTGATTATTACTTCACATATAAAATTCTCGCTGATGTTTTTAGTTCAGTTTCATTTTTATTTTTATTGATTTATCGATTATCCAGACATCGATCAGGTGAAGATATTCATGTGCCGATTTTCAATCAATTATTTTATATTTCCCTTATTTATGTGTTTCTGACCATATTCACATTTTGTATCCTAATATTTTCCATGAGCGAAACATCGAAAGAATTAGAACCATGGTTTTTTTTCTTCGTTTTTGTTATTCAAATTCTTCGGATTTTATTATACACCGTCATCTTCTATGCTATAATTATTTTCTCATTTTTAGCTGCTCTTCAAAGAATTGTATTTTTACATGTACCAAGTGTTAGACCTATTTTTTCGGGGTAAAATTGAAAGTTTTAGTATTTTCAGAGAAAAAATCCGAAAATTTCAGAACGTATCTCTCTGTAATTATATCATTCTGCTGGGCAAGTATCATTTACGCACATTTTATTTCTTTTTGTAAGAATCATCCCTAATTTTCATTTCCAGTGGGAACTATGAAACTCTGAAACCCTCAAAAAGGGTTTTTAAGATTCTCGATTCGGTTTTTAAATTTCAGACAAATGTGAATCGTCTTTGGGAGCTACCAAAATCTGTGAACACTTTCCTGACATTGCTTTCCTAATGATCTATAGATTTTCCCTATGCATGTTGAACTTTCTAACGGCATATTTCTACTACAGTATACACAAAACTGTGAGAAAAATGAGCAATCATTTTCAGAAAATAAAAGTTATCCATCAATTTGTTCCGTTATTAGTTTTACAGTCGGCAAGTGAAAAAAGTTTTGAATTACTGAATTTCAAAAATTTCAGATTTTCACGTTTTCATCTTGTGCTGTGACAATTATACATAACATTATTCCTTCGGAGCCTATTGAAGAATTTCTCGGAGATATTTCCTGTTATTATTTAGTATTTTTCACTCCAATTTTTCCAGCCGTAATTTCAATTTCATATATCTCTTCCATGAGTCATTTGAAGAGCTTGGTGTCAAGAATTATGCGACATAATTAACTGTTGTTTCAAATTTCTTCATATAAGACGGTTGAAATTTGAATAATTTTTTTCTCATTTCTGAAAACCGGAGTTTCTCAAATTTTATGCACAAAAAGAACAGAGTTAATAGAAAGAACAAAAGTTTTTCGAAAAGTTTGTTTTTTTTCGACAGGTTTCGTCCAGTTTCGTCTTGCCTTTTTAGAATTCAGAAATTTTCTGTATGAATATTCCAGAAATTAGTCAAAGTTATTGAAAATGCTTATTTGAAGGATCTGAAAATGATCTTGAACAAAAAATAGGCGGACAAATCAAAATTGGATAGTGTGGACAGTGTAGTAGTAGTTTGCTCGAATCCAGGTGACAACCAGTCTTCCTGCATTCTAAAAATTAACATGGTTTGCACTGAGTCTGCAAACAAGCAGGTGTCAATTTTATAATTCCGACAATACGGTATATAAAAGTAATATTAATTTACTACTGCCGGAAAGTCAACAGTTTCTCTAGGTGTCTGCTGAGTATCTGCGCTATTGATCCCAATGTGTAAGCAATTGATAAACCCATCGAAGACATCTAAAAACAAAATGTTCCGAATTTTTATTCATTTGTCTTACTTTTCATGGCCTTCCGATAGTCTTGTACAACATACATCACAATAATTGCATCTACTGCAGGATAAAAAGCAAAAAGATGCTACTATTCTAAGTGGCAAATCGAGTTTAATATCAAAAAGTGGCAAACAAGTCAATACAATTACTGGGAATTTTTGCATCAGTTCCAGTTTAAAATACTGTTTCGTGTAATCATCAATTTCGTTGAAAAAATAAGCGAAAAGTGCCCATTGGACGCCAAACCAGAAGGAATAAAATATTCAGATTAGGAATTTCCATCCTTTGAAAAATCGTAATTTAGATTCGCTGAAATATTTACACATACGATTTTATCTTTTCAGAAGAGAGATTACTGTAGAATGGCCCAATATCTATACAAAAACTGGACGGCTAGATTGGAAACTGTGCCTAAATAACTTCCATTGTGGCCAACGAGAAGGATCCTTGTCAAAGCAAATGGACGAGTTGTCGTGAAACAAAATGTAACCGGCATTGTGAGAATAGGTGTTCTGAACTACTAAATGTTCGAAAAACCCAAGAGTTTCAGTTTTTTCTGTACCGGGTATAGAATCACTTCCAATGTTGCAAAAGTGATTCCAAACACTGGGAATAAAATTAACAGTCTCTTATAAGAACCGAAATTGCGTTTCACACTCCACACTGTTAAATAAATTAAAATGGAGCCAAAAAATGTGGTTGAAAGAAATCCAATTCTGGCGATAAGCTCAGAATATTCGGCGTTGTGTTTATAAGAACCTGATTTTTCGAGAAGCATCGTTTTCAAATAGTGACTTTACTTTCCGTTCATCATATAATATATAAACATGCGTATGATCCAAAAACAAGTATATAAGCATACTAACAAATGAACCGGAAATTTGAAAAAGTCCGTATGATCAAGTACCAACAACTTCCTGTTATTCGGTTGTTACCGAATTCTTGAAGACGTAAACCGGAGTTCCGTTCCCAAGAAAATAATTGAACAAAGGACATTGTGGTATTCTAAAAGAGAAAGTTCGAAAAAAACAGAGAAACGAATAAAAAAGCGTTTTGAATTGAATTAATTTATTGACCAGGTAATGAAGCAATAGAGGGCAGGACATGAAAGACTCAGAAAGAATGCCCCTCACGAGGCCAACCCCTCACGAGGCCAACTTTCTTTTTTTTTGTTTCCGGAAGATCAAAAAGAACAAAAATTTTCCCAACAGGGAAAATTTATGAATTGGAAATATTTGGCAAAAAAGTTTTATTTTGTCAGTATGTCGCAGTGTGAGTTTCTTGAAATCTATGAAAAAACAGGTCCCTTCGTAATAGTTCTAAAACGAGAGGTTCTAAAACATCCGTTTACGAAGTTGTCGGTGAGAAAAAAAATTACTAGTGTGATGGTATTATTTATTTCACCGATTCCTGATTTCAACAATACTGTTAACATTTTTATTCATGTCGAATTAGCAAATTCTAAACTACATACATATCTATGTATGCAAAATGAGTTATACAAACAATTTTTAATGCAAAACTGTCGGAGAACGATCTGTCGTTGTAGATATCTCCGCAGCATCTGAACAATACAGCAAAGTGTGTAAACAGCGAGCAACTTGTTAAAATACCTAAAAATTGTTTATTTCTGAATTCTAACTTAAATTTCATACTTTTCATGGCTTTCCGATAGTCCTGAACAACATACATCTCATGAAAAAGTGACCGACTTCTCAGAAAAATGAATTTTTCTTTGAATTCCTAATTAAAAAATGAAGCTCATTTTTTGTCTCAAGTTTTCTGAATATTTTGGAGAAATCGGAAAATGTTTGGATCTTTTTTTCAGCACATTTTTTCAGAATCAAGGGTTTTGGGACATTTCTTATCTAAATTTTTGCATGAAATTTGCTAATTAGAAAATCTACTCTCGCGGCGCTGGTTACATTTTTTGTTTGGTTTGAGCCAAATTTCATTTTTTTTACAAATATTGTGCGGTGTTTTTTCCAACAAAGTTACATTTTTTTGATTAACTTTTCCAGGTTTTTCGTTTTCTTTTTTTACTGAAAGTTGTGAATCCTTAAATTATTTGAATGATTTTAGAATGTATCGGCTCTGTATTACTCTAGAGGCTTGAAATGAAAAAACAAGTTTAAATTATCAAATTCATTTCTTCTCAGTTTTCGGAAATCATTTTTTTGACAAGGTATTATTCGCTTTCTTAAGAACTCTCTTTTTATTTTATCCGTTGTTTTTACCCCGACCCAGAAAAAATCTAATAATAGTGCATTGTTATACGCTACTGCCGAATCGAACAATATTTTTCACGATTTTTTGTTTTCAGAATCTTTTTTGGATTTTAGATTTCTGGAAATTTCAAATCATGATAACGAAAAAACCGAAATTCCCAAGCTACTATTCGCCTCCGGATATGACTAGTGAATTAGCTACACGGATTGTTGGAGGTCATGTTATGTCTGTTGCCATTATTGGATTATGTTTTAATATTTTCCTGTTTTTTCATTTTATGTCCTTCAAGGAAAAATTGAGTTTCTATATTTTGTGCACCTCCAAGACTATTTCAAATTCGATGTCATTATTGGTATATTTATGTTACATTGGTCCGGTGAACTTGTTGTAAGTTTCTTATTTGAATTACTCGAAAATCTGAAAAAAATTCAGTTTTACTGACATCGGCTCCACATTTCTTAATACTCGAATTCAACAAATTTTTGGATTTGGACTATTTATGCAAGGTCCCATGACCCAAATGATAATCACCGTGAACCGTTTCCTTGTTATCATGTTCTCCCCAACCACAGTTCCAAAATACAACATTCATATTACTGTAGCTACTCTGTCACTAGTTTGGCTGGCTGGCATCTGGTGGTCCACACTTCCCGGATTCAAAGAAGAGTGTTTCGCTCCCTTTGTATTCCCCCATGTTGGATTTTTTTTAACCGAATGTAATCAGAAAATTGTTGTTTGGGTGGCATGTATCATTGTATCATTGGCCGTTTTCAATAATTCTATGAACATAGTTTTAGCTATCAAATTAGCAATTTCAGTGGTAATTTTTTTCCTGCAGTTTCAGAACTTCATATATTTCCAGAGAAAAATGCGTGGATTTTCATCAGAAGTCGCAAGAATTCGGCGCCGCCAAACCACTCGATTTTTCATCCAATCGTGTATTCAAGACTGGTTTACTGCGCTGGTCTGTGCCACTAACATTATTTCCGTTGATCACATTTGCCCAACTAATGCCTGTTCGATTTTGACCACTTTTGCAGTGGATTCAATGAATTACACTGGGGATGGGTTGGTTTTTGAATATTATCGGCATTTCTTATGCTTTTTTTAGATTCGTGATGTTCGTGTTCAATTTCAAAAGAAGAGCCAACAAGACTTCTGGTACAATAGTCGTCAGCTCTGTTGTTAATAACTAGAACTATTAATATGAAATAAAAGTTATATATAATCATTACTACAACAAATTCAGACCGAAATAACAAAATCTGCTTTACTTGAAAAATTATAACCATCAGCCAAGACAATTTGCTGAATTACACTGTACTGGAAAACTGCTGGAAAATACTTTTTTCACACTAAATCTTAATTTCCCTACTCCCACCACAATTTCCTCTCACTTATCTCCGAACTAAAATACTAAAAATTGCGAATACCTGTTTTTCCAAAATATTCATTTCCCAGAAAAAGTAGTGACAAAACCTATTTGAAACACCGTAAGCGGAGCCCTGGGACAACTTCGAAGGGCCATGAACCGACAACAAATGACATCCATCATTTTGCAACTTTGACCAAACATATCTCGGTTCCTGTGAAAGATATTCAAAATATCCAAAGGCAAAACTGTTTTTCTTGATAACAACAATATTTTAACAGTTAAACAGAAAATATTTAATTGTTTATAAAGAAATCTACATTTTAAAAAATTTCGAAATTATAGAATAAAAACGCTGCGTGGTATAGACCAGTGTGTCCTTTCGACACGACTTCGAGAAATTTTTCGAGGAATTTCTCGAAAAATTCCTCGAGGAATTCCTCGAAAATTCTCGAAAATTCCTCGAAAGGAATTCCTCGAGGAAAGGGTGGCGGCATTAGTAGTGTTCAAAATGAAATCGTCTCGAAAAATGTTTCGAAAATTCCTCGAGGAATTTTTCGAGAAATTTTTCGAAAAATCCTGAAGACGTCACGAGCCACTAAAACTTCCATCCATCATAGTTCGGTTCATTTTTACGCTAGAGAGTTTATCTTACCACCATTCGAACGCTCTCTTCAAGCTTAACACATTGCAATCCACTTTAGCACAAAAAGCAGGCGGCACATATGGGTTACTTGGTGTCCTGTGGTGGAAGCCACCTCGGCAGATTTTTTGGAGGTTCTTACACGGCTTAATTTTAAAAAGCTAGCTCGGCACCTAGGCGAATTATACGTAAAATCATGAGAGGAATCTAATGGTATCGATTGCCGAACAAGAAAACTAACACAGAAAAAGTTATTTTTTGGAGCAGAAAAAACCATACTTGCTAAATCCCGGCCCAGCCCGGGTAGGAATACACCCCCACCCACCATCTTTCATAAGGTGGGTGGGGGGTTCAAAAAATATTTTTCCTTATTTTTTGCCTGAAGATCAAACGTACGCAGCCAAATTACGCATAGAAAAGTATTTGTTATTTATCGATTTTGCACCGGTTTTTTGGTTTATATTACCGTACATTTTTTGTCATTCTACTAGAGAAATAATAATTTAATGCCAGTCCCCAACAAAAAATAGGCTTACTATTAGCCAAAAACGGGTAGAAATGTTGAAGATTCCAAATGAAAATAAGCTTAGCACTCTAAATCGGCGTATACCTTAAAAACAAGACCCCTAGAAATTTTAAAGATTTCAAATAAGCCCCCCACCATTTCAATATGACCCCCCTTCCCCGCAATCCGTTCCAATCTGATCCCCCACGCGGACTGGTATTCCGAAGTTTCCGTTTGGGGGTGCATATTGGTTTGGTGTGGGGGGTTATTATGAAAGATTTCCACGGATTCCAATATAACCCCCCAAATCAACGGTGGGGGGGGGGG